GGGGAGGGTAAAAAGGATAAAAGAATAAATAATCAACAGAAGAACTTCAACGAAGCGAATTGAAACAGCAAAAGCAAAACGAAATGTCCCTAGCAAGGCTCGAACTTGCGACCTTTGGATATCCCTAGATGTTCTAGAGTCATATATATGGATATGAGACCAACGCTCTACCGACTGAGCCATAGAGACTGGGAGGTTGAAAATTTCGAAGGGTGAGTTGGCTAAGGACCGCTGCACTAGGTCTTGTGGGCCAAGCTGGTCTCCTTCATCGACTAGTAAGCGAAAAGACTAATCCAGTGCCGCTGTATGGATTGTTCATTAGTAGACATAAGATGAATGTATCAAGAAGGTTGACTAACGGTTACTGTGGAAATGCGCAAGCATTCGTAGACCTTCAGTCACAGCAAACCCGGCCTAGCTTGTCCTTCTGCTCCGATGCCGGAAAACAGACTTTCCCGGCCGAAACCCAACGTCCATTCGCACTAACAGGTGTACTTCCAACGCAAAACAAAGCAATTTAGGGGAGCAGGAACTTTCCGGACGGCCGTGCTCGTCCACTCCCACAGTCTCCGCACGAGATAACAGTCAAATCAACATCTCTGCTGACACATACGGGCCGGCGACGTACCCCAGACTTTCGGACGTCTGGTCTCCATTGTCGTTTACATGCTTTCAAAGGGTTACGATATCTGACTCTCAAGTCTCCACTGTGCAGATCGGGGGTTCCACGCCGTTTGGCCTTACTCACTTCCACCTTGTCTAGAGAACACAATTCTCCTCCTCCCCCCCCTTCCTTCGTTTCCCACAATGAGTGGTCAAAGAAGCGGCAGCACCCATCAGGCCAAACGCCCGCGACTCGGCGAGCGTACTATGTTGGCCTGCATCGGTTGCAAGCAGAAGAAGCTCAAGGTCTATACAAGTCTCCTCTATGCCTCTATGCAAAAAAGAAAAAAAGAAAAGAAAAAAAGGAACCCCGGACTGACTCACGTTGGTCCCGTACAAGTGCGACGGACAAAGTCCAAAGTGCCAAAATTGCGTGAGGACTGGACGAGGTAGGTCCAAAGTGACTGGAGACAGCATGATGAACCGTGGCTGATGTTGTGGAACCAGACTGCCTCGTGGAAGACCCTGGCACCGGCTTACATCGCCCGCGCGACTACATGAAGTCGTTGGAGGCGCGTGTTGCCTATCTCGAAGGTCTCTTACAGCAGGCCCGGCCCGAGGTCGCCCTCGATCACTTCGGCCCCAACGGGAGCGAGGGTGGTGGTCGTGACGCGAACCAGCACGCCGCCGCTCCACACAACGGCCCTACGCAAGCAATGTCCATCATGCACATGCCGTCTGCTCTTGCCCCAACCTCCCTCCAGGGCCACCACTCGTCATTCGAAGACGTGGATTTCTCACGTGCGCTGCGCGCGCCTTCTGTAGAGGCCGATGACCACCATGTCGATACCTTGTCGTCAGAGGTTGCGCTGCTCTGTCTCAGTGCCGCTGGCCGAGAGCCGCATTACTTTGGCCCATCGTCTGCCGTCTCCTTTTCACGCATCGTTGGCGCTACCATGGGCCTTGCCAGTACTGGCGGGAGCTCGCAACATAGCCATGCCGGCCGGGGGAAAGATATCGGCCCTGAAGTCGTTCGAGAGGTCCCGTTGAGGTTGCCGTCGCCAACTCTGAGGGCAAGTTTATCTGAGGCGTACTTTAACAACATACACCCCCAGTACCCATTCCTTCACAAGCCCACGTTTCAGATTTGGGAAGAGACTTGCCTGAAAGCAAGCCTCGACGGAGATTTGAGCAGTGTCGGCGGATCAACACTGTTCTTCGTGCTTATGGTGAGTCGAAACGCTAAAATATCTAGGCTAGATGGTATATCTGCAGGAGATCCACCAGTTATCTAACACATTTCAAAGGTCTATTCGATAGGCTCCTTGGTTCTCGGTCAAAGCCATTATGATGCTGCCGAGGTATGCTTGTTCATCTCTCTCAGGGGCAGTGTGGTCCGCAGCTTTGGGTACTAACACATGGGACGGCAGGCTTACTACTCTATGGCATTGGATCACATATCTGCAGTCCTAGACCTCGATAGCCTCGAGTCCATTCAAGCAATATTGGCATGCGCCGTATACTCAATCAGATCGCCCGTTGGCGTAAGTCTATGGTAAGTTCCGGGCCTGTTCCATGTGTCGGGACTATTTTGACTGGCTTCTAGGAAAGTCTCTGGCATGGCTATCCGCCATTGCATTGAACTCGGCTACCACCGAAGTGCCGAGAGGTATCATAGAAACACAGACGCGTTGACGAAAGAGATGTCTAAACGGTGTTTCTGGGTGGCATACGACATTGACAGAGTCGTTGCCTTCACCCTAGGTCGTCCAGTCGGCATCCCGGATGACTCAATTGACGTCGAGGTAAGCTTTGCACGTCACAATATTGCAGAACAACTCTGTCTCCGTGCTATGCTAAATTCAGCTGGCAGCTACCACTAGATATAGATGATGAGAATGTGACCTCAGGTGGCCTTTTGTCAGCCTCACGAACGTCCAGCACAGATCCGCCGACGCTCATGACCGGCTTCATCCACGCCATCAAACTGAGGCGTCTATGGACAAAGATCAGCGATAACCTGTATCCCCCCACAACTCGACGGTGTAATTGCGGACACACGGCCACCGTAGAAGGCCTTCGCCAAGAGCTAGAAGAGTGGCGCGCGAAAACGCCCGACCAGTTAGACTACTCGAGGGCGCATCCGCTCTCGGTATTCACCTCCCGTTCCTGGTTCCAGCTCGCCTACGACCACTCGATACTGCTCCTGTATCGCCACTACATGATGGGAGGATCACCCGCACACCACGCCACGCCGGACGGCGGCGGCGGCGGCGGAGGCGGCCACGGAACCAACATGAACGACAACAAAGCCACGGAGCGAGCGCTGGAAGAGTGCGCGGTGCGCGCGCGGGAGATGTGCATGCTCTACCGCCGCGTCTACCAGAGCTCCTCGGTCCAGTTCACCTGGGGCAGCCTGCACATCCTCTTCCTCGGCGGGCTAACGTACCTGTACTGCCTGTGGCGTTCGAAGCGCGTCCGGGACTCGACGAGGCAGGCGGACGTTGTCGCGACGTGCATGGCGTGCACCACCGTCCTCATCATCATTGCCGAGCGCTGGAACCTGGCGACCTCGTACCGGGACATTTTCGAGGCGCTGTCGCAGCGGACGATTAGCATGGTGTGCAACGATGGGCAGAAGCCGGCGGCCCCTACTACTTCGCTGCCGGCGATGGGGCCTGGACCCGGGGCGGACATGCATGCTCCTTTTGGCGGTGACGCGGCGCCGTCGATGCAGGATTGGATCATGGGGTTGGATGACTTGTCGATTCCGCAAGAGTCTGAGTGGCTGGTGCAGGAGTTGCTTCAAGGTGTGCGGGATTATTAGCTGTGACGATTCTTGCCTTGCAATACATGACATGAGTTATATTGAACGCAGTTGATATATGCTTGCGAGGCGAAAGGACACCATTCATTTTACAGAATTAGCTAACGTCGCCTAAATAGAAATGAAAACTAAACTATCCTGATTAAAGCAATCTACACGTAATTCAGTCACGGACCAGACTATCACATCAAGTCAAAAGTCAAAATCCCGGATCTCTCTTCAGACCTTAGAATTTCGTCAAATTCGAGGAATCATGCCCATACTCAGACCCAGCTCCTCCGCGCAGGTCTGCAAACTCTTCATCTGGGCCTGCGCATACAACTCGTTCGCGTCAAGAATCTCTCTCGCCAGCGCCTTCTCGTACCCATCCACATCCGGCCCCGTCAACTCCTCATTGCCGCCCATCGTAGCTTCCCTCGAGCCGGTGCCGGATTGAAGGTTTGACTGGAAAATCCCAGCAGCCGAAAAGGGCAAAAAGTCCTCGTACGTGATGGGCAGCGCTTCCAGCACGCCCTCAGAGACCAACCGATCCAAAAGAGAAGCGGGATCCGCTGCGTCGAGGTCAGCGAGGCTTCGAAGTTTCTCTTTGGCGGTTTTGGTGCACCGGTATTCCGAGTAGACGAGTCCCTGCCGTCGCAGCTCATCCCAATCATCCGGGTACTTTTCAAAGACCTTTGCAAAAATCTCGTCCACGATTCCAGCGTCAGCAGGCTCTCCCTTTTCTTGTGCCGTGGCCATTGCCTCCTCCAACAGCTCGTCATACAGCCTCCTACCAGCAGGTGTCACGGCGGCGCCCCTCTCCTCAATCTCTCCAAACCTCGCCTTGTGGAAGCCGTCCACGAACTCGTCTCTTCCCGACACTGCGAAGCGAATCCCCTCCTGGAGAGCAAGGAAGCTCGTCTGACGCAACAGGATCGGGCACTGGCGCAGCGGCGGGCCCTCGATGCGGCTCTTGACCGCCATACCGGCAGCGAGCATGGCTTCCTGCGCGGCATTGATGTCCAGGGCCCGGGGTGTGAGGTGATTGATGTGTGACGACCGAAAGCAGGCAATGTCGGCCAGGATAGGATGCTCGCTGCGCAAGAGAGCGTATTCCTCGTGGGTCGCCGCCGCCAGAGGCTGCCAGCTGAATGTGCGAATCGCCTCGACCACGAAACGCTCCCCTTGCTCCGGCGTCAGACGACCGTCCTGGACCTCCTCGGCGGTCGTCAAAAGCTCCAAGAGGGCGTCGCTAAAGAGTTTCCGTCTGGCCAGGAGCGCCAGGGCGACGACGCGCGCCGTGCCGGACGTGAGCAGCTCGGGGCGGAGGAGCGTGGTGAAGACGCGGAAGGGGTTGCGTTCCAGGGACCGCGTGGACGTCGGGCGGAAGCAGGTGGCGTGCATGGGCAGGCCGGCTACGGAGAGGTCGTAGTAGCCGACGGGGTGCATGCCGAGGAGGGCGAATATGCGCCGGACGGTGTGGAGTTCGTGGGGGGTGCCGAGGCGGATTGCGCCGTGCCGCTCGAGGGTGAGGCGCTCGACGCTGGCTTGCATTGTCGCGGAGCCGTCGAGCCCGTGTCGTTTTTTGGTCTGGGCATTTTTGTTGATGGTTTGGACGATTTGGATGAGGTCGCCGTAGAGAGGCACCTCGGACTTGTACATTGCCGACATGGCAAGCGCAAAGGTGGTGCGGAGGGTGTCGGCGTCGACGTAGTTGGCGTCGGGTGCCGGATGCCCCGGAGGATCTGACCGGTGCGTGGACAGAAGGCTGGTCGACATGATGATATTTGATAACGAAATGTTTATTCTTCAGAAGCCAACAATCGATCTCTTGGCGAAGATGAATGAGGATTTACAGGTCAAGAGAAGGGTTGATGTGGCGAGGTTTAGATCCGAGCAGGAGGATCAATGAAGCTACGACACTAGTCCGTAGTAGAGCTTCAAAGTTTTTAGATATCTCGCAGAAATCCTGGATAATGAAACAAAGAGCCAAACCGGTAACAAGCAAGTGCAAATGATGACTTGGATCGTATAGTGACTTTGGAGGGAAATATTGTCAGCGAGCCAGGCCTCTACGTGGTTCTTCCCGAATGTATTGTTCACATCATTAATTAGTCTGAAACTTTGACTAGGAACATGCCAAAAGGCCGTCAAATGACCTCGCTTCACGAACATGGCCGAGGTCATCAACTACGTCGTCCTGCCTACAATGGAGACTACCGATAAGATGCGAGGAGCATGACTGTCGGGTGGCTTCGGGTATGGGGCTATGGGGCGCCGGCATCTCGTTGAGTTACCGAATGGTGGATCGGAAGCAAGGAGGGGCGTGACGGGCGTTAGTCGGGCATAAACCGTCTCCAACCGCCGGGATCGGGGGTTTCCGAGTGATGGCGACATTGCGTGTGTGTGCTTATCCGTCCCCATCGGAGCAGCCGCCAAACGTTATCGGTATCCCACAGCTCGTTGACTCGACATCTTCATTCATTTGAAAGCACATAGCGAAGATCATCTCGTATGCTGGGTTGATAAGAAGACTGGATAGCTGAGGAAGAAAGTATCCTTTCTCACGGCGTATTGCAGCTGAGAGACAGCGTTTCCACATCACGCACAAAACTCTACCACCATGTCAACCACCACGACCGTTACGGCATCCGCATCAGCACCGCCAGCATCGCTCAGTTCGGCGCTGGACTCGGGCAAGACGGGTAGCGGCACGTTCAAACGCCTTCACCAGATCCCGGTTCCCGAATCTAAAGAAGCCGCCCGGAAATGGCAGCTGGAACATATGGCGGCCGCGTTTCGCATCTTTGCCAAGTTGGGCTTCTCTGACGGCAGCAGTGGGCATATCAGTCTACGCGGTATGCTCTTCCTCTTCTTGATTTCCATACCAGCAAGCAACATCATGTGTTTCTTGGCGAGGCACTATGCTAAAACATGTGGCCGGAAGACCCTGTCAGACCGGATACGTTCTGGATCAACCCGTACGGGGTGCACTTTGGCGTTCTCAAGGTGTCGGACATGGTCCACATTGATGAGGACGGCAACCGTATCGGAGGTGCCGATAAGCCGGTCAACACCGCGGGCTTCACCATTCACTCCGTTCTCCACAAGAGAAGGCCGGATATCAACGCTGCCTGCCACATGCACAGCCCGTACGGCCGAGCATGGAGCACTTTCGGACGTCCCATTGATATGCTAAATCAAGGTAGCCACAGCCCCCCCCGCCCTCTTTCATGTGGATAGTTTATACTGACCGAATCATTAAAAGACTCGTGCATGTTTTACAATGATCTCTCAGTCTACCAAGGATTCGGCGGCGTGGTACTAGCAAAGGAAGAGGGCGAGCACATTGCCGAAGCCCTCGGTCCTACCAACAAGAACATCATCTTACAGAACCACGGCCTCCTTACCGCCGGCGGGACGGTGGCCGAGGCGGCCGCTTTCTTCATCGCCCTCGAGCGCTGTTGTCAGGCTCAGTTTCTTGTTGAGCAAGCTGTTGCTCCTGGCACTAACGGCGCTGCCGGTGGGCTGGAGAAGAGGTTTGTTGGCGACGAGGAGGCACAGTACACAAAGGATGGCACCGGTACACCTGAAGTCATGTATATGCAGTTTGTGCCGGAGTATCAATTAATCCTGAAGGAATCGGGAGGTGATTTTCTATCATGAGACAGTACGTAGACTACATTTAGGAATCCGGGAAGGGAGGAAAACTCGATATGCTCACAAAACCAAGCATCTTTTATCGCCAATTTAATTTTCGTGTCTGTCGCACATAGCCCAACATGACAAAGTTGAAGAGGAGCAATATTTATTCAGTCTCAATTGCAGAAGTGACGGCGTGAGTGGCATTTTGACTGTTACTGTGACCCATGCCAATAAACGGGTGTTCGTCTCGTCAACCCAGAGTAAAACCATTGACCCATGGTGTACACATCGTAGATAGGAATCTTCCCACCTAGTGCTTTGAAGATTGCCTCTGAAAATGGAGGCATGTTAGTGCACTCAAGCACCAGGATTCTGATATCAGGCCGACTCGCCACCAAGTCTCTTGCGACCGCGATGAGTTCTGCCTCAATATCTGCATAAACGTATGGGGCGCCCTTTCCAATCGTCCCTCTCAAGTGACCCTCAGCAGGTACGCCCCCGATGACTATCTTGGAAAGCGACTGCTCTGGCACAAAGCTTGCGAGATGCTGTGAGCCCAGCTTTGATTCGTCGTACGTGAGGACCCCAACACTCTTGCCCGGCGGAAGTAGAGGTAGGATGGAGGGTAACTGAGCTAGTGATGATGTCGCGATTGGAATAGGCAGCTTTGCGGTGAGTCTATTCCGTTCCACGAATTAGAAACGGGTCTCTTACAGCTGATGGCGCGAAACTCACTCCGCCTGGGCCAGTGCCAGAAAACCACAGCTGGTGATGATGCCTACGCAGCCCCTGGCTGCTAGACGGAGACCGGCATCCACGAAACGGCCTATGAACGCAGAGTCGTAGGTAGACGAAGTTACGACTTGCGAAACTTTTGACCCTTCGGCCATTTCACGGATGAGAGGGAATGGCCAGGTCCGCTCATTGTAGGGGTCACCTGGTGGTCGGTGAATGTCCACGTCTATGGCAATGAAACCAAGCGGTGGGATACTTTCCACAGGTTCAGCCATGTTGAAGTATATTCTGGCTATTTGATTCAATGATTCACCGACCACGATACTGGCGAAGCTCGAATCGTTTTTTTTTTTTTGGTCAATGTTTCTCGCTCTGGTAATGGATTGTTTTTCGTAATAAAGCACCAGCCACGCTTGTAGCTGCCAAAGAAGGGCCCTTGGCCACCGATTGTTATCTAGATCCCGCTCGCAATCGCAGTGGTGGTGATATCGCCATTCCTCGATATACCTGCTGAAGGTACTGTGTTGATTGCACCGTCAACATTTAGCCGTACTATCGTCCAGTACAACAACGTTACCCCGCAGTTCGTTCGTGAAACGATCAACGAGGGGGGAAATTGTTAGGACAGACAGCCAAGGTCCCCCCAGAGTCGGATCCTCCCGAATGGGGGCCACTGCGGCTCGGGAGAATCCGAACCTGTATAAACCCCTCCGTGATTCGGATCCGCACCAGCGACCGGGGAAAAGTCGGGTGTAAAAGTGGTGATGATTTGTGGCGACCTTGATAGCTGTTTGTCACTGACAGAAAGCAATTTAGGTAAATGTGGGATCCTTCGGGCATCTCTCAGTGTTATTTCAACAAGGAGCCAGGGATATTGTGCGGCTAAATGTCATGTCTTTTTCAATCGGCTGCCTGTCTGACACGTCGCATATTTCTTTCCTCTCGCATTCATAGGCCGCGCGCTCGTTGTTTCATACCCAGCGACTTGCAATTGTACAACAGCTTTTCCTCTCACCGTTTAGGAAGAAGGCGTTCTGCTTCGCAATGGCCCCAGCTCGGACAGATGACTTGGGCGCAAGGAAGCCGCGCGTCGTGGCCCTCGGCACCCCAAAATACGTTGGCGACGACTACCTCGCCGACTTCAAGACCGAGTTCGACTACTCCGTACTCGAGGCCACAGACCGAGCGGAGACGATAGCCATGCTTCCAGAGGACATTGAGAAGAACGGGCCTATTGACGCATTCATCATCCGCATGGGCACGCCGCCGTACGAACCCTTCGACCGGGGTCTCTTGAGCGCGCTGGCGCCCAACTGCAAAATCATTACGTCAGCCAGCGCCGGGTACAACGAGTTCGACGTCGAGTGGATGGCCTCGGAGGGCATCTGGTTCTGTAATACCGTCGACGCCGTGGCTGAGGCGACGGCGGATATGGCTTTGTTTCTGACCCTGGCTGTTTTGCGCAACACGAGCAATGCTGAGAAGAGCGCAAAAGCCGGTACCTGGAGGGCAGTTCCGGGTCTTGTTCCTGGGAGGGATCCGTCTGGCTTGACTTTGGGTATTGTCGGAATGGGAGCCATTGGCAAGGTTTGTTCTTTGCCATGGTATCAGAGTTGCACTACCGAGTAAGCAAGCTAACCTCGTAACGGGCAGTATCTCGCAAAGAAAGCGGCCGTCTTCAACCTCAAGATTAGATACCACAACCGACACCAGCTTCCCACAGAAGAGGAGGCAAAGTACAACGCAGTATACTCCCCAACACTGGAAGATCTCCTCGGCAAGTCCGACATCGTGTCACTCAACTGCCCGCTGAACGCCGAGACGACGGGCCTGATCGGTCCAGCAGAGTTTGCAGCAATGAAGGACGGCGTTTTCATCGTCAACACTGCCCGTGGGCCCGTCATCAACGAGGCGGCTCTCAAGGAAGCCCTCGACTCTGGCAAGGTGGCACGGGCTGGTCTCGACGTCTTCTGCGACGAGCCCAAGCCTGACATGGCCTTGGTACAGCACGAGAATGTTATTGCGCAACCCCATCTTGGGGGCCTCACAGATATGGCTTTCCAAAAGGCCGAGAGGGAATGTTTTGAGAATATTCGGGCTTTGTTCAAGAATGGGAAGCCCAACTCCCCAGTTATTGACATCCCTGACAGGAAAGGGAAGGCTCTGGCCTAGTAACCTAAGCCGCAGTTGCTTGTACGGAATTATCTATCAGCATATTGGAGCATTAGCCTTGGAAAATTGAAAGAACGACCCGCAAATTCCGGGTGACCCGGTAATTGCTTTAGGCAGGCATGACAGCACAAGTTTTATTACATCGAAACTCACTGGTTCAAGCCGAAACTGTATATCTCAACCTCGCTCAATTGGTTAAGATGCGTCCCAATAATAGTCGCGTCCTTCACAATATGTTGGGTTGCCCAATACTAATTTCCCGGAACTCCGTTGCGGTTAGTTTTATCATGTCCAAACTACCCTGTGTGAAGATTTCCAACCCAAGTAGCAACTACATTCCTGGTCAAGGTAGATCTGTTCCTCACGCGGCGGATACTTGCGTCCGACAGAGTGACGACGGAACACGAAAGGCCAGACTTTGCCACATATTAAGACGAAGATTCAAACATGATCGATTCATCGCTACCAAAACCAAAAGAAAGTAATTATAAGATGTCTTATAAGCATCTTCCTTAACTGACCAAGGTTCTCTCAAGACCGGTCCTCCTTCAAGCCTCGCTGCATCCGCACATCTGGTCAAACCTTCTGGCTGACGGCACGCGCCCCGTTCTTTTCGATGCTGGACTCGTGCTCGCTGTTTTGATCGCTTCTAAAGATATATTTCGGTCAGCTTTTTGCCTTGAACCCATTTGTAAGTCGGTGGCGGTACTAACGCTGACTCTTGAGCCTCGATGATTGCCTCCTGCTCTCGAGCTTGCTGCTTCAGCTGCTTGGCTCTGCGGCTGACGTTCCACCAAGGCCCCTTGAAGAGCTCATCCAGTTGCTCCAAACTCTGCAGAGACGTTTCGGGGACGACGCAGTAGACGTAAATCAACGACAGGAAACACCATCCCGCGAAAAAAATGAAGGCGCCCCAGTTGTGAGTTTGGCTGAGAAGTGAAGGCATGCCCTTGTTGAGGCCAAAGAAGAACAGCCAGTGGAAGAACTGCGCAAAAGCGCTGCCAAAGGAGCGTAAGTGGTTGGGCCACAGCTCAGCACCAAAGACGTAAGGTAAGACGAGTAGACCTGTAGAAAGAGATTAGAAGGCTTCCTTTTTTTTTTGGCCTAGCACTTTTCTTGAGTTTACTCACCGACAGAGTATCCAAATCCGTGGATGAAGATGGCGGCGATGGCTGCTTCGCTAGACCCAGGTGCAACGGAACCCTCCTGTCGGTGCTTGATAAAGATACCGATGTACAGATCAGAAATCATCTGGATCGTGATGCCGGTGAAGAGACTGCGGCGGCGTCCAAGGGCATCGATGAAGAAGAAACTAGCAATCAACGTAAAAAAGAACTTGGCCATGCTGTACATGCCGCTGAGGAACAAGCTACGGGCAGTGCCGCCGCCAAGTCCGAGCATGCTCAGGATGGGAACCAGGTATGACGTGACGCTGTTTGCTCCGGATAATTGAGCCAGTGCATACGATAGAACGGCCTGCTGCACGCGGCGCAGATTGGAGGGGACCAGGAATGCGTCTTTTACCAAGACAACGAAGCCGGGATTACGTCCGAATTTCTCTTCCTCTTTGGCGATCTGGTCTTTGATATCTTCAATCTCCGTCGCCACGCGAGGGTGATCAACCGGCAGCCCTCGAAGAGCCGTAAGGTTTTGGATGCCCTCTTCGTCGCGTCTGGCAATGAACAGCCAGCGGGGACTTTCGTAGAGCAAGAAGCTTGCGGCGATGAGAATGGCCGTGACGATGGTTGGGGAGAAGAAGACAATCTGGTACTGGAGCCTGCCGGCAGCGACATGGATGAAGCATGCGTAGACAATGAAGACCGACACGGTCAAGGAGAGCAGCATGACCACGCTGAACCACACTGCCAGGAGACCCCGGATCTCGGTAGGGGCGATCTCGACGATGCTGACGGGTCCGGTCACTGTCAGGGCACCGATGCCCAGGCCCGAGACGATGCGAGCGAAGTAGAGGGCACCGATGTTACCCATCGATACTGTTGCAATGATTTGTCCAATGATCCAGATGGTCATGTAGAGACGGTAAGACCACATCCTGCCAATGCGGTCATTGAGGAAGAATGACAGGCCGGCGCCGATGCCAGCTCCGATGTAGACGAAAGAGATGAAGTTGGAGACTTGGGTTGGGTTCGTGGCCGAGCTGATTCCAAAATCCTTTTGGAACCCGGGAAGGGACGGCACCACCGAGGATGAGCCCTGATCCCATGCTACGTTGTCCAGGTCAGCCGTCGTATGTATTATAGTCTTGACGAATGACATGTACTTACTGATGGGGATGCCACTCGTGGCATAGAGGGCGGCGGTAAGCAGAAGCTTGCGATTCGAGATCAGTTCTCGAGGCGACTCTCTGATTGCCTTGATGTACTTGGCGAAGGTCGACTCGGTGAAGACTTGGCTGAGACCCATCTTACCGAGGACGACGACGGGTTGTTCTTTTTGAGTTCAAGTGGCGCTCCCGGCAAAATTGACAACTCTTTTGGATGGTTGGCACGAGAACCTTGTTGGTGTTGCTGTGAGCAGATGAAACCTTTGCGGCAAGTGAGAGATTATATGAATCAAAAGGAGCTGCGTTGCGCCGTTGGGTCCAGCGATGTAGCATCGGACAGGGAGGAGTCCCAATGGATATCTATAAGTCAACCTGATTGCATGTCTGTTGGCTCGGTACGCATCAGCTGGACGTTATCGGAGCCAAGATGCGAAAAAGAGATGTCTGGCTCAAACCCCCGCCTTGAGCATGCCTCGCTTGTTGACCAAGAAGTCCCAATCCGCAGGTTTGTCGTCTCTGCAAGCTCAAGATCCGTGGTCACCACCTTTGCGCGGGTGTTTCCAGTCCGCTTTTCCCTTACGGCTCATGACCAAGAAGGTCTTGAGATAGGATTCTTCCCTCCCCCCCCCCCCTTATCATAACCCAAGGTACGTAGGTTGACAGCCACCCGCTTGATCCAGTTTGCACTAGCTTGCCAACCACCGCCCTGGAACGTTATCCGGGAGAATCCGAGCAAGGGTATCCATGTCTGCGGCACACTGCGAAATGATGAGAGCGGGGTCGCAGACTACTACGTAACGGGCTATCAGCTGCCGGGACCGGACCAAAGACCGCGCGGCGGGGGAGGGCCCGTGGAGCGGCCGGCAGGCAAGGGTCCTGTTAAGGCAAAATGTATATTTGATTGCGAGGGCGACCGGGGCAGATGATTATTTGATTGGACTGATTGCATAGTTCCTGATAATCAAATATCGCGTCTTAACATCCCGACTATCTTGTGTTTGACGCCATATCCATACTTCTACCGGGTCACCAATTATCGCCGATGGGATTTCATTCACGTTCTTTCGAAAGCGTCTAACAGTCCTTGATGCAGTTATTGACTCGCTTAGGTAAGATATCTTCAGAGCTGCTTTAGCTCCCTGCACCTTTCTTCTAGCTCCGACCCGGCCGACAACGGTGCCACGGCGTTTGCCGAAAGATCAAACCATACGAATCGTTGGCACACGACTAGCTTGCTTAATCCGCGAAAAAAAGATTGTTAGACACCGTACCATAAAGCTGGTGTTCAACATCTCGGCCTTGTCGATGGTCGTCGCTCAAAGCTTGGCAGACGCTACAGAAGCACGCACAATCCTTTCGGACTCCTCTCCGAAACCTGGCCAGAGCGTCTAGGACATCTTTTGGGCTAAAACTACCGAGACAACAACGACGCTCTTCAGCTCGGTTCAGCCGTGCATATAGTAGCGCGCCCGAAAGAATGGCAGGCTCACCTAGCAAGGACGATGAGGTCATCATCGTCGGGGCCGGCATCTTTGGCCTCAGTACCGCAGTGCATCTCTCCCGCCGGGGCTACAGAAATGTCACAGTCTATGACAAGCAGCCCTATCACAAGAGTCTGTACTCGTACTTCAAAGGCGCCGACGGAGCCTCTGCAGGTAACAAACCTTATTATTCCTAGCGCGGTGATCATCATGCTAATGTACATTCCAGACATGAACAAAATCATCAGATCTGCCTATGGCGCACAAACGGAGTATCAGGGCTTGACCATTGAGGCACTAGAGGGCTGGACCGCGTGGAACAAAGAGTTGGCAAGCGGGAAGACAGTTCCCCCCGGTCTAACCACCAACGACCGCGTCTTTGTCAACAATGGCAACTTGTCACTCTCAGACTCGGCGACTCTTCCACAATTCGAGCAAGATACTGTCGACAACATGGAAGCAGCAGGGCACCGAAACACCCAACTCATCACCATTGACGAGGAACATCAGAAGATCGCTGCTGAGAAGGGATGGACTTTCGGAATGGACCCGTTCCGCCGTCTAGAGAGAGGTCTCAACGCGGCCGGTGTACTCGACACGACAGGGGGGATGGCCGTGGCGGACAAGGCCTGTCGTTTTGCTCTGCATAAAGCGACAAGCCAAGGCGTCAAGTTTATTTTAGACTCTCAGGCCGGTGCTCTTGTCTCGCTGATTTACGAGGGCAAAAGGGTCGTCGGGATCAAGACCCTCGACGGCAAGGAACACCGCGCGAAGCTGACTATTCTGGCGTGTGGTGGCTGGACACCCTCTTTGCTTCCAGCTCTGGACGGCCTCTGTGAGACGACGGCAGGGTCTGTCGTTCTGCTCAAGATCCCTCGCGGATCGCCACTTTTTGCTCGCTTCGCACCCGAGAATTTCCCAACGTTTACATACAAAGTGCGGGACGGCGCCGAGGGCGGCCTGTATGGATTCCCCAGGGACGAGAACGGCTGGCTAAAGATTGGCTACCGCGGAACGAAATACACGAATCCCGTCACGCAAGCTGATGGCAAGGAGCGCAGTGTTCCCATTACGCGGTGGTCAGCTGCCTCGCCTCCTGGCAAACCTGACGAGGCCGCCGGCGGGCTCTTGACGACAATTCCCCAACAAGCTTTGAAAGTCTTGCGTTCGTTCTTGGCAGAAAATATCCCCGAGCTAGGCGCCGAGGGCATCGACATCTCTTTTACCAGAGTGTGTTGGTATACTGATAGCTATGATAACCATTTCGTTATCGATCATGTTCCCGACACAGAAGAGTCACTCATGGTGGCGACTGGTGGCAGCGGACACGCGTTTAAGTATCTTCCCAATATTGGCAACTGGGTTGTTGATGCGGTGGAAAAGAAGGGGCAAGATCGGATCCCACCTAAGCTTTGGAAGTGGAGACATATTGGGAAGCAGGAGAGGCCATATAATGTTCTAATGGAAGGAATTCAGGGCCTGAGAGCCCTTGGCAACGTGCCTCTGGCGACTGAGATAGAAATCGGTGGTGATGTAAAGGCTAGATTGTAGGAAGTAGATACCGACAGCTAGTGACTGAAGCTTGAGTCAGTAACTGCTGTATCACTCGAATGGATTTATGCAAAAATCTTTTTACTATCTCCTCGTCTCAAGATTAACTTGGCTTCATAATCGACCTGAACTATTAATCGGATGACTGTGAAGGAAGGATGTCAGATCCAGAGACTGCCAACCCGGGCTCGGAGGACACGGCTGTAGCCTCAGAAGTGCTTCCCGACTGCTGCTAAGAATCTGTTACATCTTATCATGCAGCTAAATCATTGCTCAAAACACGCTACAATATACCCCAAAGATAGTTTGGTCCGGGCTTCTTCGGACTGCCTGTCATGCACGAGGTGGTGGTCCAGAGACCCAGCCATCTTTTAACACAGGCTCTTGTTGTGGATTGTCTTCTAAATTACATTCATCTACGCATCTTCGAGTTCTTGCCCTATTTTCAACAGATACGGCTGGTTTTCTATCCACACATGAATTAAATTATGTATTAAACGGCTGCAATCTATGATAATATTTGCAACACCATGTTTGCGGACATGTAGTAACCGGGAACGGCACTATGCACACCACCGTATTTAGCATCTCAGCTCCTCCTCAAACGCCCTCGCCGTCGGCAGCGGTGGCGGTGGCTTTTCTTCCAAACTTCGATTTTGTGCATGTGTCGAGCTCAACTTTTCTGCCCGCCTCGACTCCCTCAAAACGAAGCGGCAGACGAATTGCCGCATGTTCGGGATGCAAGCTGTGAAAATTCCCACGTCGAGCTCCACGTCTGACCACACAGCGCTGGGCGTTGAATCAACTAGAGATGGTTGGTCGGCCGTTCGTAGGAGCGCGTCACGCAGCACTTTGAGGGTGGATTTACATACCAGTGGGATTCGTTGAAGTAACCGTATACATCATAATTGCTCTCAATCGTATAATGCTGGCAATTGTGAGGCTAATCATCAAGAAGTCAGTCATCGGCCGGAAGAGCTACACTCTCTAGATCGGGACGGGAGGTTCGCGAACAACACTTACAATAGACCGAGACTAAACATGAATAATACCGCCCACTTCTTCTGGCGTTTCATATTCAGGGCCATCACCTGAGTTACCGGTAATAGGAGCATCCAGACATCCAGTGCGATGTTAATCGCTCCGTGGGATAGTCCTATTGTTATCAGCGGTACACAGTGCCCTGGATACTCCCTGGACCACTGTTTCCATACCAGGTCGATGGGCTGGCACTGGAACACTCCGAGTAGTATGTATGCGACTCCGAGCGCAAGACTGAAAGCTTGGGTTGCCCATAGAACCACACGAATCTTCTCGCCCGGAAATATCCGGAGAAATATGAATAAAATGGAACATTTGATCAGCATCAGGTTGGTTGTGTACAGTAACTGCGCGATAAAAAAGGTCTAGGACCAGTCAGCTAAGCGCTCTCGTCTAAAAACCCGTTAAATTGTGATAGGAATTTCGTTACCATGAAATAGTGGTCAATCTGGTCGAAGGAGAGAGTCCAGATATCTCGCCCAGCTCCGTTCATCTCATCTGTGACGTAATTAGCATCATCCTTGTCGGATGCCACGATTCTGTGCAGGGTGTGTCCTCACTTAGGTGGTTGAGCGGGATTATAGTTATCAAAAAGATCTTGATTCCCTCGTCAGACCTTTCTCCATTCACTGAACCATGTATTTTTGAGGCTGTGACTTACGTATGCCAACACGATGGTTGTATCGTCAGCTCCCCACGTTGATATTCGGGCGATCTTCACGATCAAACGGAGTATGATAGCGAGAGTAGGCAGCACAAGAAACAAAACTATGCGGATGATTTTGATGACGGCAAAATCGTTCGTCGTTGGAAAGCCGCATTCTGTTGTTGTGATATTTTGCGTGACTGGGTGAACAATCAGCAGGGGCTCCTTGAGAGGGGGTTTCATGTACTGACCCAGGGCCTCTTTGACTTTGCAATTTGCTTTGACACATGGCTCTACCAGATTGATGTATGACGTGTCTTTGCAGAGGCATGTCTGATTATTGGGAGCGCATGCTGTCTGGGGAATGGCTTCTAATTGGCAACGAACCTGCTGATGTTAACGAAACACTATCGTAGGGCTATCTTTGAAGCGAATATGCTCACAGCGCATTGAGGAATGTCGGGCAGGTCGAATGCTCTTGTCAGGGTGCCGAGGCAGAGCAGAAGCAAGGGAGGCGCGAGCCGTGCCCAACGCATGGCTGGGAAAGCGACAAATCGTACACAGAACGACGTACGGCTGTACCCTCTCAATGAGGCTTCGTTTTTCGTTCCAGTATATGCTTGTTCCACGGAATCCCTGGTTGGTAATGGCCACGATTAATTTGTTGCTTGATATGGGCAAGTTGCTGGGATCCGGTTTTACCTCAAACATAGGATGGAAGAGATCAAGCGATAGAAGGACGTCTCGCACAACTCCGTTCGGGCCGCTTAGGTGAGCAGGCATATGCACACAGAGGAGGCAGTGTTTTTCAGTGCTTTCTTTTGTGGCTTGATTTGGCGCCACTGACATTCCAATGCCATTTGCATCAGTCTAGATTGGGTGGCGCTGGACGGAAACAAAGCATGCTTTCTATCGAGCATCACCACAAATGCTGACCCAGAGCTAGCCTCGGTCATCTATTAGGGCCACAGAAGCTGTTTTCGGGCTAGAATGCTCACCTCGGGCGCTCCAGCCGAGCCGCTTCTCGATCTGCCAAAGTGTTTAGCTTTGAGCTTATCTGATTTGCCATAGCCTCTCATCTACTATGGAATCAAGATCCTGGAGGCGCCAGTAAAAACAATATGCCTTACAGTTCCAGCCCGTTAGCATCTCCCTCTGTCGGGCCGAGGCCAGTCGCCAGAAGAACACTTTGGCACGTCCGACTGAAGTAGAATCCAGTCTGAGAGAATCAAATCGAGCCCTCCTTGGAATCAGAAAGACCGTGCGGCAGACTGTATTTGTATTTGAATTAAACGTTCTACAACACTAGCGTGAGAGATCCGTAGATCCTCCTTACGTCTCCTGGGCAACCGTTTCAATATGCAAAATATTCTTTCAACGTGTGCGTATTACTTTAGGTAGCAAGGCTACCACTACAACTTAATGTGACATGTGACCGCCATGCCGTACAAATGACGAGTAAACTGCCACACCATTCTTTTGCTAGAACTATATGATGCAAAGGCTTCTCGTTGAAGGATCAAGAATTATGGTGTAAGTTCCCTCAACAATTCTAATGGCTTCTTTTCAAAGAATAGCTTTCAGCATCTCAAGCAACTAGACATTCGATCTCAACATGGGCGTAGTCTATGACTCATGGCGTTAATTTGAACCTCATACACTGCCATCCCCCAAACTAGTTAAGGTTTGTGGCCATCCCCCTTGCGGTCAAGCCAAGAGAGTCGTCTCCAAGAGCCTCAATGATGATCCTCTACGGGTCTACGACCGTTCGTTGGGCTTTCCACTCTGACCAAGACAATCATCAAACAGCTCTTGGGTGAATTTCCACACCTTCTCATCCAAGCCTCGCCTCCTCATATCCCCCAAAACCTCTTCATTCTCTACGCTCTCCCCCTGCTGATCAACCAAAAAGATCCCACCCCCTGATTTCTTTACATCCTCAACCCCCTCAGGCACCCTCACGAGACCCTCGCGTCCCCGACAATCATACCGATCACTCGTCGCCAAAAATAAACCCCTCGCACCCGCCTCTTCCACGCTCATCTCCCCATCCGTACCCCCACCAGCCATCCCGAATCGCCTCACTCTCTCCAAGCCCGGCGTGGCGACCAAGCCGGGGAACAGGTGCACGAAGCTCACCCCGGGGTTCTCCCTCGCCAGCACCTCGAGCGCGAGCGTACCCATGGTCGTCGCCTGCACGGAAGCGGGCCAGAACCCCCAGTTCCCCGGCCGGCGGAGGTCGAGGTCGTCCTCGTCGACCATGGCGCCCTCCAAGCCCGCCGCCAGCACCGAAACGACGCGCGGACGAGGGGCGTTCGTGAGGAGAGGTAGGAGCTTCTGGACGGCGCGGAGGCGGGTGTAGTAGCGCGTCGACATGGACGGGTCGAGGCCCTCGCGGGTATCTTGCCGGCCCTCGAAGGCGATGAAGCCGGCGGAGAGGAAGAGGATGTCGACTTTTGTCTCCCTTTGGATAATGGTGTCGAGGGCAGCGTCAATGTCGGAGATGAGCGTGTGGTCCGCGGGGATGAGGGTGTAGATGCCGTCTGGATTCGTTTCGCGCAGCGAGGAGAGGAAGTGCTCATGGGATGGTGCGGTCTGGGGACGGGCGACGGTGTAGATGCGTGGAGATTGCGCGTGTTGGGCGAGGTGGTGGAGGGTGCTTTGGCCGATGCCTGATGTTGCACCGATGAAGACGGCTACTAACCCCTTGGGTAGAGATGCAACGAGGGCATTCGACTGATTGACTATCTGGAGAGAAACCATTGTTGAAATCTGTGGCAAGTTTCCCAAGAAAAAAAATTGTTGTTTATTCTTTGAACCAGTTAATAACAACGAGATGTATATGTATGTACAATCAGCGGTAGATTAGCCCCGCCTTCATTTGATCTGAGCCATGTCTTATAACCTACTTAAAGACTGAATTTCGCGAATGGTTCCTTCGTGTCGTTGTTCGGTGTTGGCAGAACCTGTTTGTACATTTTACCCGAAAGCCAACATTCGATCGAAATTCGGACGAGAAGCACGAAACCTTGACGTCTTGGTTCGGGCCATTGGTCAGCCCGTACTCACTGACGTCCCGCCATCGAGGCCGAGCCCCGAGGGGGTTGGTCAGCAGTAAAAAGCCATTCGGATAGATAGCTTTGCGGTGGATAACCAAAATTGTCCGACCAACCAATCCGACGGAATGGCATGATAGCTGAGCTCGAAATGTCTTGGTCCGCCATATTTTGCTTGACATTGGAGTTGAACAGTTTCGACGCACTCGGTAAAAGATGATGAAACTTAAGTAGATGAGAGTAGAACCCAAGCACTCTTTGTACCACGCAAGACTTGGAAATGCTGTTCATATTTCGGATAAAAGGAGAAATTAGGTAACTATCAGTGTAACTACCTATCAGTGTAGCACTACCAGTACAGACAAAGGAAATCTATAGAAACGACTATGGCTATTCTGCTGTGGTATCATCAAATTCGTGAATCAAGCAAAAGCCATAAAACGCCAAGCTGCCCCAATTCTCCACTGTTTTCAATGAATGTCCATGATGAAATCCCCCTTACTTGGCGCCGTTGACCTTGGCGCCGTTCTCTTTCTGCATAGCCTGCATACCGGCATTCATTTTGCCAAACTGCCACTCGGGCAGCGTGATGCCAGTCTGCTCGTTGATGGTCGTCATCAGGGGAGGCAGCATCTGGTAGACGTTGCGCATGGTGTCGATACCAGAGTTCCCGCCAGCAGCACCCTCACCACCAGCCTGGCTGCCGGTGTTCCAGACGCTGATCTTGGGCTGCAGGCCGCGGATGGCCTCGGCGTTGGCCTTGGCCAGCTCAACGTACGTGCCCTTCTCGATCATCAGGTACTGCAGCAGACCGGCCGGCCCACCAAAAGCCGTGGACATCTTGCCGTAGGCATCCGCCATGGCCGACATGCCCTCGGCCTTCTTGAGCATCAGGGTGAGGTCGGCCTCGGCGGTCAGCTGCGCCGAGTACTGGTGCGCGTCGGCGTCCTGGCGGGACTTGTAGGCGTTTGCGTCGGCCGTCTTGGTGGTGCGGTTGAACTCGGCCGCCGTGTGCGCGTCGGCGTCCTTTTGCGTCTTGAAGGCCTTGGCCTCGGTCTCGCGCTGACTCTTTTCAAAGTTTGCTTTCGCGTCCGCCTCGATGGCGTACGCCGCGGCGTCGGCCTCTTGCTGCCGGGCCTCGCGCTCGATGGTGGCCTTCACGACATCGGTGGCACGCAGGCGCTCAATCTCCGCGGCGGCGCGCTTGACCTCGACTTCACGCTTGAGGTCCTCGTCCTTGGACTCGAGGGCGCGGCGGGCCTCGACACGGGCAATGTCAACGTCCTTGCTCAGGGAGGCCTGGCGGGTGGCGAGATTCGCCTCGGCGGTGGCGCGCTCAATGTCGCGGTCCGTCTTCTGAACGGCGGTCTCGGCGTTGATCTTTGCAATCTCGCGCTCCTGCTCGCCCTTGCGCTTCGCCTCGCCGACGTTACCGCGCAGCTGGGCCTCGGCGACGTCAATCCTGGCCTGGTTGCTGGCGCCCTCGTGGGCCTTGCGGGAAAGTGACTCAAAGTAGTTCGAGTTGGGCGCGTCCTTGAGCTCCTTGACGTTTGCATTGTAGATTTTGAGGCCGAACTGGCTGAGCTCGGACTGGATGTTGCGAAAGATGCGGCGCTTGAAGACCTCGCGCTCGGTGAATATCTCTTCCATGGTCATGCTCGAGACCAGGACGCGGACCTCGCCCTCGATGATGCCCTTGACGATGTTCTCGAGGTGAGCCAGAGAGCTGGTCTTCTGGTCTGCGGACTCGGCCAGGAGCATGGCGTACTTCATGAGGGCATCACCGCGATCCTCACGCCGGTTGGAGGAGATGTAGTTGTCATCCTCGTCGTGCTGCTGCTGCTCAGAGGCTTCGGAGTGGCTTGGTCTGTGGACGGCATTGGCGCCGCGCTGGTTGACGTCGGGGCCGACGGTGAAGACCACAGGCAGGAGGAACTGGAGCTTCTCCTTGGTCATGGCCTGCAGGCTCATGGCATAGTCATGGGGCGTGATCCGGAAGCGCATGCAGCGCTGGAAAGGCCATACCCAAGCTGCCTTTGTGATCTTGACCGTCTTCACGGACATACCCGTGATGGCGAGGTACTCATCGGGGGCGGCGACTCTGTACGACATTTTGGCGGTGTTGTTGAGGTTGGAGGAAGTGAGAATGAGATTGGCAAAAAGGGAAGGATGGAGGCTTGTGAAGAAAGTGAGAAAATATAAGGCGACTGCTCTTATACTAGGTTGATATTGAGGCTGATGTGAGAGACGTGGGTAACGTAACTCAGGTGATGTTTGGAGTAAAGGTTGTTCGGAGGGTTGTTCTGGAGTAACGAATGTTCAGAGGGTTGCTTGTTGATCGGTAAGTACCCTGGTAGAAAGGGACTTGGGGTATCTTTGAGTACCTAGTTTAATGCTTGTGTGACGCAGCTTTGCGAACAGAAGGAGACTCGCCGTATTTTATAGAAATGAACAAGACAGCGCAAGAGAGCTCCAGCTTGAGAATGGACTGACATCTTGCAACTTAACCCATGACGGGGGGGGGAAGCCCAGCCAAGCAAGCTAAACTGCCGGTAAATGGCTGAAGCTAGCCTGTGCTGTGACCAGGCATTTTCTCGTTGCACCAAATATCTGGCAGCCTATGGAATGAGCCTCGTGGCATGCCTAGCATTATGGGAGTGTACACAATGCGTGGGTGGTGGGCATTGGGAGACCGTCACCGTCAGAGCACTGTTCGTTGGATTGGTGGCAGTGGCAGTGCATGATGTGAAGGAAGTGGAATGGCTGAATTGACCGTTCCGATTGCTGGATCAGACGGCAGGGACCCGGTTAGTCAGTCCTGCCTCTCCACGTGACCCAGCCCAATATCTTCTAGCCAATCACGACTGGTATGAGGATGAGTCAGGTTGGGTGGTGTGGTCCGAGTGCGCTAGAGCGCTTCTCGAAGGCTTCCTCAAACGGGTGCCAGGCAATGCCAGCCTATGTAACCGCCTAATAACAAGGCTTGGTCTGGGGAAATTAAGGTGTCGATCAACCCCAGCGCGTCCCATGATTTATTATCTGAGGCTTGCCACTTCTTCGCCCGACACTAAATATTGGCACCCTCATCCACAATATCGCCAGGTCAGACTTGCACCAGGGGACGGAGAAACACCAGTGAGCAAGGTCCGAGTCATCTCGTCGAGCTCATCGAGACATTGGACATAATGGCTCATCCGCAAAATCTCTCAAACGGCACATTGCGCTCCATTTTCGGGCACCGCAAGATTTCAATGATGGCCTGTCGTTCCCGTCACCGAACACTTGCTTTGTGACTAGCATGCCAGCATGTTTTGTTACTGAACAACATGAAATCGCTCAGATAATTGCATCGACATCAGACTCGACTTGGCCTCTATTCCTCAACCAGCGACCGAGGCTCCGGGACCGATTCTCCCTCGTGGAAACCGACCAATGCGCCTCATTCTCGGTCACCTGTTCCGGGAATGCTGAGCGACGGAGGCGCGCTAACACCTCTTTGCCGCCCCAATGGAACCCGCTGCGGCGCAGCACAGCACTTTAGTCGGGCGCATCGCCCCTCTCTTCTGTTCATTGAACACTCTCACCTCTCAAGGCACTCGAGAACGCCCCCAAGAAACCTCGAAGCATGCCAGTAGCGTAAACGACTAGTAGCATAAACGATAAATGTCGACTAGCCTTCACAGAAACCTACCTTACTTCGCCCAGCCGCACTGCCGCCTGAACCGGCCCCAAGAAACATCAAATTATTGAAGGATCTACAACACCACGAAGCGACCCACAGCCTCTCTCGCAGCCTCATTCCGTTTCTATCCTTCGAATCCGCATGGTCAAACGAGTTCGCCCCTGCATATCACTCACTGGTCGAAGGACCCCGTGGCCACCAAATCCGATAATCTACGCCGCCATCCCCGGATTGTGAGTCCTACCACACGCAGAAATTCCTGGTCCCAAAGTTCAGCCCTGTGGAAGTGGAAGTGGAATTGACGCTCCCATCGGGGTCGGCCGAGAGCACTCCAACAACCTCATTCACCTGATTTCGTCCCTGCAGTCTTGCCGCCTCGGCACCGAAAGTCGTTGCCTGCCTTTTCTGGATCCTCCAAGGTTCATTCACAGCTGCGGCACGCACCTGATGTCAGACGTCGCCCGAGGCGTTTTCTGCTCAAGGAACTACGACTTGTAAGTCATCTCCTAGGTAGTTCACGCAGTCACCCACGAACGCCTGACTTCCAATCATCTCACACCCAACTTACATTGCATCAGCCCTACGAGTTCGTTTCCATACAGGTTTCAGTCTGTGTCTGCAGGGGACACATCACGAAGCATCAGATAATACCCCAATCCTTCCCCAAGGTATCGTCGTAATGTCGAAAAGTCCCGGCGGAGACGGGGACCTCCCCCCGTCATACAACGAAGCCACGACATCGTACGATGCACCACCATCATTTCGTCCCGACTCGTCGGTCTCAACAACCCTCAATAACCTCTCTTCCCTCCTCCGCGAGACCCAGGCCCAACAGACCGCCCGCGACACCGTCACAACGACAAACCTTCTCCCACTGCTCACCCCTCACATCACGTCGCTCCTAACCCGCCTTGGAACAACGCCCCACCCGCCGGTATCAACAGAGCTCTATCTCGTGCCTGCAGCAGCCGTCGGTCCAGAATGGATCATCGCCTCAGACGCCGACCCGAAGTCAGGACAGGTTGCGGAAGTCATCCGCGTGGAACCGGAGCCCGATCCCGATTCAAAGGCAGGGGGTGGCACGAAGCGTCAAAGCGCGGGCTCAGCCTCAGCCACGGGAAATGCAGTCGCAGGCTCGTCATATGAATTTGACGAATGGGGCCGTTGGGACGACGACAGTCGTCACAACACAGGTTCGTCATCGAGGGAGGGAGAATGGTGGTGGAGCGACGAGGGCCTGGCCCGCCGTCTCGCGAAACGGCTACAGCCTGAACCGAAACTCGACCGCACCGTCGTCCGCGCCGTGGTCGAACAGGCAAAGGAAGACAAAAAAGCCGGCCGGTGGGGGCTTTTCAGGTCCGGTGCAGAGCCTTCGTCGCCTCTGTCGTCCTCTTTGAACCTACCGCTTCCTCGGCAGTTTGCAACGCCCATGCCGCCACCGGCAATGCCCGAAGAGATTGTTTCCATGACGGTGCGTGCGGAAGAAGTTACCTTTCGTCGGGAGAATGAAATGGGGATATGGGAGAGCATGCGCGGATTCGGAATTGTGGCGAGGGTGAGGATACGAAGGACGTGAGACCTGGTCGTGGCACCCAAGCAAAGACCGCAGATGAGTGCTGTGCAAAAAGGAAATGGACGTCAAAAACCATGTCTACCCGCTATCCCATCAAACCTACGTGTATCGGTAATCACGCTCATAGGTCTCGGGTCTCTAAATTTTCAACTCATCTAGAGCGATACCTTTCATAGACAAGACTTCTCTCCAGTTTAATTGATTGCCCTGATCCTTGCTTGTAAGCCTGTAGATAAGCTTAATGAGGTATGAAAGCTGGGCATCTCCACTCTGAGACCGGGATCCATCGACAATACACAGATCCCAAGCAATTTGGTTGCTGGGACGGCAAAATCTTCGGACTTTTGATCATAGACATCTGGCGAACACCCGCAGAAAGGAGCCCGGATTCTTGTTCTAGCCGTGCCAGAATATCTTTGGGATAAACTGAACGCTGAAAAGGAGCAATATTCTCGCTGATGGTGTTATAGTTCAACCCCAAAATTTTATTCTCAGCCTTGGAAAGATATTGAAGACGAAGCAAGTCAAATTAGTTTAAGGTGGGGCTCCAGATAATGAGAATATCCTCACTGTATAATCAGGATTAAGAGGGCCTCTCTGTCTAAGGCTCTGGCCATATCGATACAACAGAAGCGGGACTAGAACCATAACCAAACTAATTAAACCTAGTACCGATTTACCCTATCCTAGATCGAGGTTTCTCTATTGACTAGGTCCAACAAGGGGAAGGAATCCCCACAAATGACAACGTGCCGATGTGCAACAGGCAACGGAAGAAGATACATAAGGGCCAGACGCGTCCATCAAGTAAGCCTGAGCAGAGACGTTGATCCCAAGCTTGGCAAAACCGAGCGGCTCAAAACTGATCAATGGAACGATCCATTGCGTCCTCTTGTACGTCGACCAGCCATACCAGAAAAGGTAAGGGGAATGAACAAGGCTGAGATTAAGGTAGTAAACAGTCTCATCTACGGCTGATACAGGCCTTCATTTGCCTTTGTGAGTCGGACCGCGATGAGATCTGGTGTTTTGGCAAAGAAGAGCAGACCGGCCAGGCTCCCGAATCCAAGACCCAATTAGGCAAGCCCGGCAGGGTCTAGAGGCCAACTATACATTTCTCGGAAGAAAAAGGATATGTACGTAAGAATAATGTTTAAAAGAGCCGATGTAAAGCCCGTCATGATTCAAGAGACCGGCACGAGGGGCGAGCGGAATAGTATCCTCCATGGGCCATAGATTTCTCGGCCGAGTGTCTGAGGGCTTAAAGGACAGTATTAGAAACTCAAGGACAACTTTTCCAATTACTCATGAATTATCTTTGGCATACCTTGCTTTCACACTAAGAGACTACATGGTTTCACCTGACCGGCCGACCGGCCGACCGGCCGAATTGGGACACGTGGGGAAACTTCGGTAGGCGGGCCGGTTGACTCATCTCATACACCATCATCATCGTTGCGAGCGCACTGTTGACTACCTAGGTCCTGGTTACCAAGCTTCTGGTGAATTATAATGCGAATCTCTACCAGGGTAAGCAACGCAACCGACGAACCAAGACTTCCCGGATAGACTCAAACGCGTTGAAGGGCTGGTATCTCATCTCGTTTCTTCTCTTCGTAGTGGTACTATGTTGCGAGACTCGGGTTAACAGGGCCTGAATGTGACGGATCCCGTGCCGGTTGCACCAATTATACCATCACAAGAATTACTTTTCGCAGATGAGGAGAGAGGAAACTATGTCGATGACTCGGCATTTGTTGGGCTGTTTTGAAGGGTAAAACTCTTCCCAATGTGCTGTCTACGAGACTTATATTGATGTATTTACAGTATTCTCGAGGATCCGCCTCGCCGGCGGCCTTTCGCCGACACCCAGTCAAAGGATCCTATAACGCAACGACTATGGCATAGCTGCCATCGATATCTTTGGATCTGAACAGGAGCAGATCTCCCTAGCTTCTCAGAATCTCACCTGATTATGGATCACTTACCTCCAGAACATTGATCCCTTGGTGAGAATACTCCACATACCCACGATCCAGCCGGCGATGCTCAGTGTCGCAGCTGACCCTCAAGGAGGGGACAACATGACATTCGCCCTACTTTATGCCACTGCCCCCAGAGGAGATTTCTAGAGTTTTGTGTGCTTTGAATCCCATAGATTTAGGGGCAGAGTTTACCGTTCTCTTTTTTTTCCATTACTGCTTTGATGCTTCAATTGGTCAAGGAAGGGGTAAAAGCAGATAGTCGGAGCCCCCTCTGATCAGAAGAGAATGCTCAACTACCCATGAACACGTGGACCATAGACACCCCAAGACCAAAATTTCAACGTACAAACTGTTTGAAACGACGCTCGACACGTGTACTTGGTCTCAGGGCTTAGAGCTGCAAGCTGCAAGCCCCATTATCTCGCACTAAAGCATAGATTGGGGGGGTTCGACTTTGCGGCTGAAGAGGATGCTGATCAACAGGCCACGCGCTACTAATGTATACCTCGCAGCTTGATGAAACTAAGAGACGTATGGGTGGTTGAGGCGGGCGGTATCTTCAGCGTCTCCTTCTTCTTCCTGAAATCCTTCGCTATATATCTCTACTTTGCGGCCAAGCCCAATTGAAGGCAGCTCTAGATTTGGTAAAATATTCTTCTAATAGTACTCTGTATGCCGGTACATCTTCCGGAAAGTCTGTAGTGAACGTTGCGGGCCGGCGACGGGGATTATTCTAACAGTTCGGAGGACCTTTGCCACGTATTGTGCGTTCTTGTAAATTCTAACGATTCATCACGCACTACCATTAACAATTATCACCAGGAATGGTTTTGATTCGGTTGGCTAGCTGCTTGCCCAATGACCCCCCCTTGTTTGCTTTAGCCCGAGGACTCGCAAGGGTTCCAAACCTGGTTAGGAACTTGGGCAGCATGGTAAGCTGTGCCCGGGTAGCACCTCTCGACTAATAATGCGTTGGGCTAAGCGGCTCCATCCCCTGCCTCCTCACGATAAACATGCAGATTTCAATAAGACAATGTGTATCCAATCATTTGTCCGGGTCAACCGATCTTGCACTGGCGCCCATGCACTTCGTCTCAGCTGGCGGCGCCGCGCTGCACACATTCGTCTTACACACCATCTTCGTACTTCCAAGTAGAGAGAGCTGTAAATCTTCGTTCCTTGTGGGGAGGAGACTGGTGGATCAATAAAAGCACTGTGGGGACAGTGGTCGAGTCCGAGAAACAGTTGGTACTGGTCCACGAATACATGAGACTAGCGCAGGCTAGTCTGTGGTTGGATTTACGGAACAAGAACACAACCTTCGCGCCCTATCTGCAAGCCAGAGATGGTGCCAAAGAGGGCCTGGTCTTTGATTGGGCACAAGGATGCTAACGAGTTGGAGGAGAGAGCATTGTTCTTTCGCCTAGATATGGACCTCAAAGCTTAAGCGAGCCACGGGCTCAATCTTTTGGAAGTCTATATGACAGTCTCTAACGCCATGGAATTGCCGGCCGTCAAGTCACCGTAGTCGCACATTCAACCAACATTGACGTGAACACGTGGCTTGTTCTCAAGGTAGTGATGCGGGCGCACAGATGGAGATGCCCATCATGTTGGAGCGACGCCAACGACGATCATCGGCCGCGTATGCCGGTCGGAGCGGACAGCATGATCGTGATCGGGGTTGCTCACCGGGTTTCGATCGTAGGCCGAGAGGTTCGGAGCACCACTTCGCCTTGTGTTCAAGTCACCAAATCTCCGAAGGCCATCCCTCCGTGTCGTCAATCTTTCAGCCATCTCCATCACTCTTCTCAAGTTCGCCCTACAGTCATCAATATCCTTCCCACAAGCTCTTTTCACGCGGCGCCGCCGGCTGATGATGCGCACCCAGGAGCCGGCGGCCCTGAGTGTCAGCAATGGTGACCCAAACTGGTATCTCGCGGCCCAATTTGTCAGAAATTCCACGTTGGCGCCACCGCATTCCCCAAAAACAGGCACCAGTCTCACGAGGGGCCCTGTTGTGCCGTTGTGCCACTTGTTATGCAGCTCGAGGGCCTTTCTCGCACGTAAATCTGGCATGGACTTGAAGAAACGCAGTCATCCGTTTCCTGAAGCTGCAGACACTATGTAGAACAATGCAACGAAACGTGTAAAAGGGAAGAGTTTATAAATCCAAGCACTGTCCACCTTGTACGCACTGCGAAACTGCTCAATAATGCCACATGAGAGGTAGCAATGCGAATCCCATCGAGTGCTGCTCCCGACTCAACGATGGCTTGGCCGCTTCGGCTGGCCGAGAACCCCCGGCCCGTCGCCGATGCAACCCTGCCGTTAAAGTAGTACTAGTGGAGGAGGTTCTCATCAGGATGCATACCAAAGAACTTTCGCCCACAATAGTTCGGACGATCGGATATGGGATACCCCCTCCGCGAGGTATTTGATCGGTTTTGCCACTCCTTTTCTTTAGGGGCTGGCCTATAACATCTACAGAAATGTCTCCTCCAAATGCGCGACATCGTTTTCGCAGTGTGTATGTTCTATTCACCTTCCCGCCAGTTGCTCTTGACTATACCACAGGTTTGAGGCTATACCGAAAACAAACATTCCGATCCTAGAGGTCTTCAGCATGGAGAACATTCTCGACAGCTACCCAGAATATGTATCAACTTCGCGGCTAGATGATCTGCGCGCTACCGACTATGGCTATCTCGACGAACAAGAGCACATCTATCTCGACTTCACAGGTGCAGGACTCGCTGCGCGATCCCAAATTCGAGCCCACGAGACCCGACTCCAGGAAACCCTCTGCGGCAACCCGCACTCCGTCAACCCAACAAGCCAATCTGCCACTCACCTTGTCCAGCATGCCAGAGCCCGCGTACTCTCCTACTTCAACGCTTCCCCAGAAGAGTACACCGTAGTCTTCACACCAAACGCAACTGGCGCGGCGAGACTGGTCGCAGAATCGTACCCTTTCAAGAGACGAACCAGACTGGTCCTCACGTCCGACAATCACAACTCCGTCAACGGCCTTCGAGAATTCGCGCGCCGAAAACACACGCGGACAGTCTACGTTGCTGTCCGCGCCCCGGAGCTGAGGATAGATCCGTCTGACCTCATGTCAGCACTAAAACCTCGCAGGGGTGGCTTATTCGGCACAGCAGCTCCCCCACGCAGCAAGAGGAGTGGCCTATTCGCGTACCCTGCACAGAGCAACTTCAGCGGCGTCCGTCATCCGCTCTCGTGGGTCAGCGTCGCGCAGAAACAGGGGTATGACGTGCTCCTCGATACGGCGGCCTACCTGCCGACGTCCAGACTCGACCTCTCTTCGGCATCGGGCGTTCAACCGGAATTCGTCATTGTGAGCTGGTACAAGCTCTTTGGCTACCCGACCGGCGTCGGCTGTCTGATTGTTCGACGCGATGCGCTGGCGAGGCTCGCTAACTCACGACCTTGGTTTTCGGGTGGAACGATCACGGCAGCTTCGGTTGGGACACCGTGGCACGTCATGGCACCAGACGAGACTGCTTTCGAAGACGGCACGGTTAACTTTCTATCAATACCGGATGTTGCCTTTGGGTTGGACTGGCTCGAGACCATAGGCATGCCGTTGATTGACACCAGGGTCAGGTGCCTCACCGGCTGGTGCCTCGATCGGTTGCGAAATCTGGAACATAGTGACGGGTCGCCCATGGTTAGGATATATGGTCCAACTGATATGAAGCTCAGAGGCGGAACCATATGCTTCAACTTTCTGGACATTGGTGGGAGGGTCGTCGACGAGAGATTGGTCGCCAAAGAAGCCTCTGCTGAGAAGATATCCTTGCGAACTGGCTGCTTCTGTAACCCCGGGGCCGGCGAGGCTGCTTTTGGTTTAGATAAGAGGGCATTGTTACCGCTCAGTAACATCCAGAGCAATTCAATGGATGACTATATCAGGCTACTAGCGCCTGTTGGTGCCGTCCGCGTCTCGTTCGGGTTCATAACGACGGCAGGGGATGTAGATCGATTGTTGGACTTTGTTAGAAGGACATATACAGATAGACTGACAACAGCCAATGGCCTTCCGCCACACGAACATTGCTGAGTCTATCGAATCGGATTTGATGCATCGATGACTTCAATACATTGTCTTACCTAGGTTGCGTAGTCTCAAATGGACCCGACTTGAGCAAGTCTTCACGGACGGGCCCTTCCACCCCGGGTGGATCTGACTTCATTGATAACATGGGGACTTCAAGAGTCATGAAATCTGTGGGGTTGACTACTTTTCCGAAGTTGTGCGCAGAACTCAGATAGCTTTGATAGCGATGATCCTGCTGGCCACGCTCACTTCGGGATACCCACTATGTATCAAATATCGCAAGCAAACTGAGCCTCCTATATCGATGACTAGTTGCGAGGGGGATTGTCTCTCAGCGGGTAAAGGCTGCAAAATGGAATAAGTCCTGCAACAGAATATACTCGTCGTGAGCTCGTCACTGACGAACTGTTGCTGCGCGATTGGCCGCCACACTCTCGGTGTTTGCTGAGATCAACAGCGGGCTGACTGGCCACTGTACGTAATTCGTGGAATCGAGAATTTTTCCTGTTTCGTACATCCTTGACGACTTTGGACGGGTACAGATGTACGTGCTTAGGCTCTGTGCTCGGCACAAGTGGGACTTGTAATCGTTCTAAGCACCTGTTCACAAGTATGTATCGGAAGAGACAGCGATAAGAAGAACATGTTTGTCTCACAGACTGGGGTGTTCCTTGGTGAGGCGTGTTTGTGCCTTCTGCCGCCATGGTAGGGCAAACAATGTGGGGTGCAGTCGCCATCTGTTGGAGGTTTTATATTGGACGTTGGAACCAACACAGCCGCCGAAGAAGCTGTGGCAACTGCTGCAGCAAAGCACTGAGTTTCTTTAGACCCATCGTCCCATGGGGAAACTCTCCCTTCTTTCTTATCAATGACAGAATCTCCGTCACTTCGTCTGGTGCTGCAGTCTCTGCCATATACTCTCCATATCGACACCGACTAACAGTCACCAACGCGGCCATCACCAGTCAAACTTCAAAGCCAAGATGGCGTCTTTGAAACCATCTTGGTACCACGAAATACTGGCGGTGGGTGCCTTATCTGTCTTGGCGACTCTTCGCGAGTCATCGTTGCAGACCGTTGCTCGATACTTGATCGCTCTTCTGGCGGCGCGGCATTTAGTCAGGACAGCATACTACGTCTTCATCTACCCATGTTTCGTGTCCCCTTTGAGACGTATCCCCGGGCCGAAGGCAAGGAATTCCAAAGGTTCAGAGACAGATGATCAGTATTCTCTGACACACATAACAGGACCACCACTTCTTAATTGGCCACCTTCTAAACCAGGCTCGCTCAGGAAACCCCATAGAGCCATACCTCTCATGGGCCCGCCAATGGCCAGATGAGCCCTTCATCAAGTTCACGGGCTTGGGCAACTCGGACTGCCTAATGATCAACAACCTCGAAACCTTCAAGGAGGTCTTCCAGACAAAGAGCTACTCCTTTATCAAGGCACAATTCAACACACGCATTGTTGAGCAAATAACTGGCATCGGTATGGTCTTTTCAGAGGGCGACGTCCACAAAGCGCAGAGAAAGTTGCTGTCACGTACGTAGAGGCTCACTAAAACATTACACCCGTAGCTCCCCGTTTTTTTTTCGACGTTGATATGAACATACCGTACATATACATGCGCTGATTTTGCAATCTCCTAGCCCCGTTTTCCATCAACAACATCAAAAAGGCGATTCCGCTCTTCCAAAGCAAGGAAAAAGATCTCGTCCAGCTCTTCGATATCCATATAGAGTCTCAACAGGGCGTTGTAGATAGTAAGTCAGCTTCGTCAGACGGGCAAACTTCTTGGGCAGCTTCACGTCATAGTCGCAGTCGTTGACTAAACTCGTGTTACGTGTGTACACAGTGTCTCAAGCGTTTAGCCGCGTCACAATCGACATCATAGCATGGTGGACACTCGGCATTGACCTCCAAGCAACGCTGAACGACTCCTTCTTCCACCAAGCGTACTATCACATGTTCAACCCTTCGCTCTTCGGCGCCGTCCTTATGTTAATGACCGGATATATTCCAGAAACGCGCTCGCTCCCTTTTGAAGAAAACCGGCAGTTCAATGCCAACTGCGAGGGAGTCCGCTCGAGGATGCTGGATATCATCAGAGAACGCTCTTCAGAGATTGACGACGCGGTCAAGAAGGACGCCGTGGACAAGATGCCCGATCTCCTCACGCACATGATCCTCGAGTCGAGGTCCATCGGCGAACCTTGGTCCGAAGATGAAATTCTCGAAAACTGTCTCAACATGATGGTAGCAGGCCACGAGACCTCGGCTACGACACTCACATGGGGAACGCACATTTTCACTCTCTACCCCGAAATCCAAACCAGAGCTAGGGACGAAGTCCTCAACCTCCTCAAAAGAAATCCGAACCCGGAGTATCGAGACCTGGAAGAAGGCCTTCCCTTCATTGACAACCTCACAAAGGAGATCCTGCGCTTCTACACCCCAGGCATCCTCGCCGCCCGCGAGCCGCTGGACGACATCACCATTGCGGGCACGTTTGTCCCCAAGGGAACACCACTCTACATGTTTCCGGCCCTCATCAACAGGAGTAAGCGCATCTGGGGCGACGACGCGGACGTGTTTGATCCAGACCGTTGGGACCGTCTCACAGGGGAGGCGGCCAACCCGCACGCCTTTGCGACGTTCCTGGCCGGGCCCCGGCAGTGTATCGGTAGGGCGTTTGCGCTGCTTGAGATCAAGGTCATCTTGGTGGCGATTTTGAGCAACTTCAAATTGGAAGCCACGGTAGACCCCAAAGACATTGAACTCATTAACCCTAGCCCCGTCATGAGGCCCAAGGGGGGTTTGAAGATAAAGGTCAGCCGGCTGGAGGCAGCTGACATCAAAAATGCGTACACGTAACAGGAAATAAGCCACAGGTATCAGAGACGTTCCTATTATCCTATTTTATCTATATTCTACTGTTTTGTTTCCTTAGATGCAAGTAGCCACGATAACGTTTATCTCATGTTCAGCACCATGCTTTTTGATCACCCGAGAGACTTGCCGTTTCCTAAATGGAGACCTGTAGTAGTGTTGCTTCCGTATTCTTATTGAATTAGTTTCAGTATTCAGGTAGCTAAGTCCCAATGAGTGCTTCGAAAACACTTTACAAGAATATCTGCTTACACCAGAGTTTTCCGATGCATTGATGGAGACCGTTGACTTACTTGAGTTTCACGTACGGTGTCAAAGACAATTTTGCGATAAATATATGCTTACATCTCCACGGTGTACATTAGGCATTTCGGAAAACAAACGCTCAAAGGAAGACTGAATTCAATTATCATTTTTGCGAGGGAGAGTATAATTGCTCTGGATGGCTTGATCGGAAAAGAGCCTCATAAGAGCTAGTCGCGCGCCCTCCCGCTTGGCGTGAAAGTATTGCAGGCAACAAATGACTCACCCTCCCAAGTCTAACACTGAGACTCTAAATAACTTCACACTCACCCCATTACAAAAAGCTCATCGGCCAACTTCGAATTGTCGCTCAATAACTACAGCCGCTAAAACCTTTTGGTCGGTATCAGTGACCTCCTGCAAGTATGGCCTCGCCCTACACCGTCCTCGTAACCGGCTCCTCCGGCCACCTCGGCGCGGCCCTGATGCTCTCCCTCCCGTCCGCGGGCCACATCCCCCTCGGCATCGACATCCTCCCCTCCCCGACGACGACGACCGTCGGCTCCGTCACAGACCGGGCCCTCGTAGCCTCTATCCTCGCCACGCACGCTTCTATCACCCACATCGTCCACGCGGCAACCCTCCACAAGCCGCACGTCGACTCCCATCCGAAATCCGCCTTCATCGACACAAACATCACCGGCACCCTCGTCCTCCTAGAAGAAGCCGCCCGACTTCCCCAATCCCGCATCAAATCCTTCATCTTCGTCTCCACGACCTCGACCTTTGGTACAGCCCTGTCCCCGAAACAGGGCCAGCCGGCCGCCTGGATTGACGAGTCCGTCACGCCCATCCCCAAGAACATTTACGGCGTGACAAAGTGCGCCGCCGAAGATCTCTGCAGCCTGGTTCACCGCCAGACCTCCTTACCCGTGCTGGTCCTCAGGACGTCCCGGTTCTTTCCCGAGCCAGACGATGACGAGGACCGCCGCGCGGCCATGGGAGACGCGAACCTCAAGGTCTGCGAGCTGGCTTACCGCAGGGTAGATATTGCCGACGTCGTCTCGGCCGTGGTGTGCGGTATGGAGAGGGCGTCCGCTCTCGGATTTGGAAAGTACATCATCTCCGCGCCGCCGCCCTTTGCGGTTGCTCTGGAGGACGACAGCAACAAGAACGTCAGTGATAACAAGGTAGGAGCCGCCGCCGCTGCCCGTGCAGCGCTTCTACGCCGCTTGGACACGGATGCGGGCGCCGTTTTCGCGGAGGTCGTGCCCGGGTGCGCGGTCGTGTTTGAGAAGCTCGGATGGACGTGCCTCGGCAGGCTGGACCGGGTATACGACTCCTCCAAGGCGGTCAGGGAGCTCGGATGGAGGCCCCAGTGGACGATTGGTAAGGTTGTTGAGAAGCTTTCGAGGGGGGAGGATTGGAGGAGCGAGCTGACGCACAAGGTTGGCAAGAAGGGGTATCACGCCGTGTCGACTGGCGTGTATACTACGCGTGACTGAGCGACAAAGGTGGATTCTGATGATTCTCAGTTGGTGAGTGAGACAAGATGGAAGACAAGAAATTACAGTTCTGGTATTGAAAGGTCTATATATGCTTTCATGAAAATATCCAACAAAAAAATGGAAAGCAAATGGGTACTCAAACAATCCGCCAATATGCTATGCAGCGCACGCAAGTCTATGCAGTGATTTCCTCCGTGACGATCCCCAGATCCCTTCCGAGATCGAGGATCTGTGTCGCGACCGCCTCAACGTCCCATGTCTTGATAGGGACGCGATGAGCACCGTCCCACTCGACTAACCGCGTCGTCCCCGGCTGGCAGTACTGCTTCAGCAACACCCGGTGATGGTCCAACCCAGCATCCTTCATGCCGTGGACGTGAATCGTCGGCAGCTTCAAGACGTGCTCCGTCCCTGAGCCTGTCGGCCAGTCGTGGAACTCCACGCTCGCCTCGGCCGCATCGCCAACACCCTGTGGCACCTCTAACCTGTCGTCGAGCACAATCAGCGGCGCCCTGCCCGCGAGCAGTACACCAAACTTCCAGTCCGCCGAGCCGCCCGCCGACGTGATGCGCTTGCCGTACTTCTTCTTTAGCTGTTGTTGAGTGTACATCAAGCTGGCACTGATCTTGGCCCCCTGGCTGAACCCGAGCAACCCCACCCATTCCCCCGTCGCGCCGATAGCGTCGTCATCGTCCATTGCCATACGCAGCTGGAAGTGGATCTCGGCGGACGCCGTCTCAGCATCCACGGCCTGATGCTCGGGAAGCCAGCGCAACCAGCGGCGGAAGGGGCCATAGTCGCCATAGACGGAGACGATATCGTGGTGCGGGGCGCACATGAACGGTCCGTCGACAAAGACAAGGCGAAAGTTGTTCTTGAGACGGGAGATGAGAGCGCGGCACTGGACCTTGAAGACGGAGGCGTTTACACCACCGCCGTGGAGGCACAAAATGCGCGGGAGGTGGAGGGTGGGGTCAGGACCCGGCGGCAGCGATGTTGCGCTGGGCATTGTGTGCGTAGGGCCGCCTGTTCGGCGCTTAAGGCGTGTGTATGCGTGTGGTAGTGGTAGCAGTAATAGTGGCAGTGGTAGCAGGTGTTCCTTTGATGAGTCTCAGTGCTGCAAGGAGAAAGAGACGTAGGGTTTCGGGACCGAACAGTGAAGACTCGGATGCTTGAGAAGAAGGCGAAGAGCGAAGATAAACGCGAGAGAGAGAGGACGAGCAGAATGATAAAAGGTCGGCTACGTCTTTACTCTAATTAGAGACGGGCGGGCAGAGGGGAGCGTTGCCCGGCTCTAAACTACGCTTGCGCTCGCTCACGGCTCTCTCTCTCTTCTCTCTCTCTCTCTCGCTCTCTATCTGCTAGCCGCTTGCCCGCCCACCTTTTACGCAAGGGCAGCAAACAGAGCGCCAATGTGGGGCGATGGATTCCATTGTCCGTCGCTCACCGGCCGGACCTCCGACACACAGGCACTGGCGCCGAATCTCTTCACTTGCTTGATTGATTGCTGACAGTCTACTGAACCCGAACAGAGCATACAATACCGGGAATGAACATGCAGATCGAGCAAGACTTGGTCCATTCTGTTCGATGATCAGGCTCATTAATGCGAGTCAAGTATCCGTCCGCGGATAGCCTGGGGGAAATACAGACAGGGCCGTCTTTAGAGGGCAGAAAAGTCGTGGGGTGGGATCGTCTCGGTGTGGATGACAACTCCGCCGGGAAGTGGATTACTCGTCCCAACGAATTCCCCCTCGCGGCAGAAAACCCTAAAGGCTGCCTCATCAGTTTGATGCGAAATCCTCGTGAGCTTTACCGTAATGGAAGTTCGTCTCTGAAAGTGTCGCAAACATGGTCAAACTGAATACCAAAATAAAAGGACGACAAGCGACGCTGTCAGACCCGGCGGTATGGGCAAGCAGCTGCAGCCAGCGCCGAAGATCAGATTTTGACAACAAGGACAAACAAAGAATGAGACGAGGCAGGGTGTCTCCGTCTCTTCCCAGAGTTTGACGGGCGTGATTCGGAGTCGGAGGGCGTCGGAAACACTCTGTGGCCGCTGATGGTCAGCCCTTTCTTACTTTTGCGTCAATAGCCCGGTCGTTGGTAAGACGGGACTGGGTGTCAGGTTGCCCTCTTTCGTAATTCCAGTCGCACGTCGACGGACACATTGGGAGACGTCCGGGATTCCCAATCTTGGCGAGGTCCGGTCCGAGACCAGCCAACCACGTCCCTTATCCTCGCCGGTCGATACCTGCGTGATTAATTAACCGGCAGTGCGACATGGAAACCAATAAATGTCATAAAACCGAGCATTTCGTCCGATGAATCTCGCCTTGGAAAGTTCTCGATCGTCGCAATGCTGCAATGGGATGCCATAGCGAAGACGGGAACAGCAACAGCGATGGTGGTTCGGGGTTCGATCACCGAGGGTTGATTCCCCGACTATTCCACCGGTGTCTCATTTTCGCCGAAGAGGTAAAGTCCGTCGAGGTCCGGATACTTGACTGCTCATATAGTCACTCGACCATTCCCCCCCCCCCCCCCTGCCGCCTAAATACTCGTTGCGTGCGGTTCCGGACAATATCAACACACACCCCTTCAGCGCTGACCCCTCGTCCCCGGCCGCCCCCGGGGGTCCGGATCTTTGCTCGTCATAATGTCCACTCAACATTCCCCCCCCCCCCCCGGTTCGTTATGAGACTCGTTGGGCTGGCTTCTGGTGAAGATGACAACCAGCTCTCTTCGGCGTAGCCCTCATCGCCAGAGGTCGCCAGGAGCGAGAGTTTGGCCTTCGTCGCGAATGTCAAGCTGTCAAACGAATTCAAAGTCGAGAAGACGACAGCTTGGCAATGGTGTACCCGCATCCGCGCATCCGCGGGGGAATAAGGTTGGGTTGTTGGGGAAAGGAGGTGGGGAGGCAAAGGTGGAGACCTCCCTCAAGCCTTAGGTAAGATGACTTAGGTAAGTGGACCAAGGGGGTCAATGGGTTGCTTTGGTAAGCAGATGGATCTCTTGCTATGGCTGCGGCAGAGGCGTGTGGCTGAGCTGTGGGCTAACGCAAAAGGACGGGTCGCGCCAGCCGCTATCCCTGTGAATAAGCCACATCATGACGTTGCACGGTGCCCCTCCAGGTTTCCCCTCTCGGTCACCCACGCTGTGCAAGGTATGAGCTCTGCTGGTGGTGAGCTGGCATACGATGACATGACCCTGCTATTGAGAGGCCTCTCTGCGAATAGGTACCCCGTTTCTGGACCACAAGCTATCAGAGCTCAGCCTCACAGGCATACGATACCCACGTTGACGACAGTTTGCGCCACATTGACTCCTCCCAGAATTCATTAAACTTCCACCGGCCTTACCGTAAAGCTTCGTCAAACCACCAGACCTACAAAAAGAACAAGCCCACAGCGATTCTTCGAAGATCTGCTCACTTTTCTTCATCATACTCCCAACGCAAGATACCCCAATTCTCAAGAGTTAGCATCGTCTTTAGCATCGTTGCTTCGATACCCTTATCCTCAGCCCAAACCGAACCAGTCATCGACCAAAGCCACCTCTAATTATGTCTGGCACAAACCCGGAGAAGCCTCCCATCCAACCGGAGCAGCAGCTCTACCCTCCCCCTCCTACCGGCGATAACAGCCAACAGCAGCCTCCTCAGTACTCTTACGGCCACGACCAATACAACCCAGACCAGAAGAGTGCCGGTGGTCCCGGTCAGGACCAGCAGCATTTCCCCCCTCCGCCCCCCGGCCCCCCTCCCACGAACCAGCCGCAGTTCACACACGCTCCCCAGCAGCAGCAGCAGCAGCAATACGCCGGCGGCACCGCCGTCCCCCAACAGCAATACGCACAGACGCCCGGCCAGCAAACTCCTTACAACCCCGCCGACCACGGCGCTGGCCACCACTACTCGCAACAACAATTCGAGGGTCCTCCGGGCACGGGGGCATCGGGCCACGCACAAAGCGGCCCGTACACCGACCCGGCGGCCGCCCACGCCGCGTACATCACACCCGCAACCGACCCCAACCACAAGGAGAAGCGCGGATGGGGCGAGCGTCTCTCCCAGATGGGCATGAAGGCCGCCGTGCCCATCAACGCCTTGGCAAACAAGATGGGCTCCCAGAGTTTCCTGCCCACCACCATGGACAGAGAGTGCGACAAGGCTGCCAAGATCCTCAAGAGCTTCTGCAGTGAGTTTTTTCCCAGGCCTCGATTCCATATCAGGCACACGGCTAACACAAATTGTCACAGAGGAGGGAATCACATCCGACGTGCCCCCGCAGACCCAGACGGGCGAGCACCTCGAGCCCGGCAAGCACGCCGAAGGTGGCCACGGCGGCTCGCGCCCCACGACGCCCAACAAGGAAAAGGTCCGCAAGGAGCATAAGGCCATTGTCAAGATCCCCTCCAAAGTAATCAACAAGGCCGTCGGCCTCGCCATCTTCACCACCGCCCGCGTAGGCTTCCAATTTTCCGGCGCCACCGGCTCCGGCATCCTCATCGCCCGCCTCCCCGACGGCTCCTGGAGCCCGCCCTCGGGCATCCAAGTCCACGCTCTGGGCGCTGGCTTCATGATCGGCGTCGACATTTATGACTGCGTCTGCGTCATCAACAGCCGCGATGCTCTAGCCGCCTTCATGAGCACGCGCGTCAGTCTCGGTCCGGACGTCGCCGTCGTCGCGGGACCCTACGGCGCCGGAGGTGTCATGGACGTAGGCGCCTCCTTTGGCGGCAAGAACCCCGAGGCCAAGAGCGACGACCACGTCACCGACGCCAAGCCCGTCGATGGCGGTAAGCTCAAGCCCGACGAGAAGGACAAGAAGCGCAGGAGCAGCAGCACGTCGCTGAAGCCTGTCTTCTCCTACGTGAAATCCCGCGGCTTCTACGCCGGCGTCCAGGTCGACGGCACCGTCGTCACAGAGCGCAAGGACGCCAACGCCGCCTTTTACGGACAAAAGGTCACCGTCGACCAGATTGTAAAGGGCCAGGTGCCGCCCCAAGGGCCACACGGCATGTGGCCCGCCGGCGCGCACCCTCTCTACGAGGCCCTCCGCATCGCCGAGCAACAGCAGGCTCTCCCCGAGGTCCACCTCCCCCAGGCGACCCCAGGTCAAGTCCCCGGTCAGGCCCCTCAGCAGCCTCAATATGCCGCCGGTGGCAGACCCGAAGGAACCGGTATCCCGGCCTACGGCCAACAACAACAGTACGTCCACACAGAAGCCGGCGACCCGCTGGGCTCGCACCCGCCCGGCCAGGGCGGCTCCGTCGCCTCGGGTAGTCTGAGCCGCGAGGAGCAGCTTCCGGGGTACGTGGATGACGGCGTGGCGCGGCCGGGCGTCGGTGACTACAAGGGTCACTACCAGTAAGAGAGCGAGTACCCCATGTCATGATTGTTTAGACTGTAGAACAGGAGAGATTCCGTGGAATCGGAGATATCCCCGCGGGCGTTTCAGTGGTTGGCATTTTCTCCAGCTTAGCTTAGATGACTTTCAAACTCAAAGATTCCCCATCCAGAGAGTACATCGGCCCGTACACATGTGGTTTGCCATCAGTGACCTGCCGGCTAGACTTACTATTCCTCCGCCTGTCTTGTATTCAAGGCGTTTCCCCGATCTGGCGAGTTCATCCTGGCAGCGTGGCCAGGGGGGAAAAAAGGGGGAAAAAGGGGAAAAAAGAAAAGTCCCTTCCACACGTCGTTGGTCCCTCCTGTCCGGAATACACAACAAAAGGGGGGGGGAGGAAGCATGCAAACAGCCGCAAGACAAACCTACCCGTAATTCCGCGTCCGTTCATAGCTTGGTCACGCCTGTCAAGAGTGCCTTTGCCTTGCCTTACCCTCGGCCTCACACTCTCCAAAGTTGCACAGCGTCAGATACATCACAAACCATGATAACGCTCGAATGGGTTGCACAGAAGGAAAAAAAAGAGCCACGATACGGCAACGGCGAGGGCCGCTGCAGATTCGGGTAGGACAAGGACACTGGTGAACCGTGGACGACGTTTGTGCGTTTGCGCGCCCATGATCCTGTAAGGTAGGGCAAGCAAGAGAGGCAAACAAGATCGTTCTCCAGCTCGGCCGTTTGTCGTACAGAATTTCTGGCCGTCGATTTCAACAAATTCTAGGTATCTAGGATTCAAGTGGGAAGCACACATCAGAATGGCAGCGTCCTATCTGGAGAGACGTGGGGAAGAAAGAGGTTTGGGTTTTGACTGGCCTCCGCTTGACTGGGTTCCGCCAGCCTGTCGGCCATCTTGAGTGACCTATGTGGCTTCATCTTGCAAAAAAAAATTCACAAATACATGCGCCATTGTCCCAGAGGTGCTTCACGAATATGATTGCGAGGAATGTCTGGCTGACCGTACCCCACGCTAGCCCTGTCTGATTCGGAGGGAGTCAAGGGCCCCTCAACACACACTTGACTTATTGGATCGAAACAAAAAAGGGTGATGCTGCGCCGACAAGGGAAGCAAAAAGCAATGGCTAGTCCGGTTCGAAGTACTTATCGGGCCAAGTGCGGAGGCTCAGGCAGGGAACAAACGAGGTCCAATCTGCAGAATTCAAAGACGAGAAACGATGGCGGTTGAAGGAGCAAGTCTGGACGCCCGATATTGGTTGGAAGACGGACTTTCGAGCCACCGAGGAGCTCGCAACAATCCCATAAACAACGATTCAAAAAGAGGCTTCTTCGGGATGGCATTAATCATCCTACGGCCCCGAGACGGGCCTTGCTCAAGCCACTGAGATAAGCGGACGGAAGACAGCAGATCGTGATATCCGCCATACAGCCCCTTGCACTTTGGCACTACAGCTGCCGACGGGCTATAGACAGAGGTTGGTGCGGGGCCCAAGGTTCAACTGCCCGCTGCCGTGCGGTCCCGTTGTGGTCAGAAGTTTAGCATCTGTTAGACCAGTAACAATCAATTCGGAGCTGCCGCCTGCGCTGGATTGTGTCCGTAGTTGTTCATCACTGTTTAAAGGACGCCGAAGGTTGGAAGGCGTCATAGGGAACAGTCATGCTGAGTAGGACGATCCTCAAGTGATGTGAGACGGATCAGTTGGGTGATCCGCAGGGGTCTCATCAGGTAACTTTTGACCAATTCAGACGACGTTCATCCTGCAAGCAAGTGTCTTGGATCTAAAATAAGAGCGACGATGGACGAAGGCATGGCTGGCCGTCGGCTGCCTTTGGCACGTGAGGTTGGTTCTGTATCCGTCTGCTGTACGGATATCCGTACGCGGTATTTGTCCGAATAGGCTATTTCGTCTTTTCCCCCCGCCGGCAGTGCAATCCTGAACTCGGTATCGACATTCCAGTTCGCAACCATCAAGGCAGTGCGTCGCATTCGTGACAGATGTCTGGACTTTTCTTGTCTCGCCGAGGCCGCAATCCGGATCACGGTACGGACTAGTTGTGCCCTATTCTGAATCCCCGAGTGAGCTGAGCTGAATTCCAGAATTCCCAGCCTTCATGGTAGTGTGTGGGCTGGTGGAGGTCGGAGGAGCTTGGAGACTGTATTTGGTGCGCACGGTAGTGCTGAGGACGTCATCGACTCCACGACGATGAGACGGCCTGGGATGTGCAGGCCTCTCAGGTCTTTTGGCAACAATGCTCTCTGGGCCCTCGTCAGAGGTTAGGTCTCCTTGTTGCTTGCTTCGGCATTTCGCCGGCGACTCTCAGCCCCCCCTATTTTTGCCTCTAACGTCCACAACCCCGTCTTCATCTGATATCCCCACGCCAAGGAAACGGTCACTGGAAACTAGCACTGGAATGTTGAGTAACAGATCCGTCAGGCCGTGTCGGGTCCATTAAATGGATGGGCAGGTCGATCGATTGTCTTTATCAATGCTCCCCGGTTTTACCTCTTTTTTCTTCGCTCTGGGGCTCAGGGTGTACTCTGTGTGTCTGTTGCACGATTCGCACGCGGCTGCGACCGCTTCGCTGGTGCAGCCGTCATCTAAACATTTGCGATTTCTGGACGATTAAGCTCATCGCCCAGTCCAAATGTTTGCATTGACTGACCGGGTAGAGCTGGCACCACAATTGACTTTTCCCCGACTTTTGGCTCTAACCTTCCCGCTTGTCGGGGCACGCGTTGGAAGGCTGGAAAGTATGTATTATGGCTAGGGTGCACGGCGTCGAGCCGAAAGTCTGTTGGGCTGGGCCAGCTGCCGCTCCGAGCATCCGCTATGGTTTTGAATACCACCATGGCTTGAAAGGGAAACAAAGGATGCGTGTTTGTTGTCAGAGAAATGCTGATCGGCCGCGGTTCGCAGCAGGATCCGCTTCATGTTTCGTCGAAGCAGAAAGGAATCAAGCGACAGCGGCACAATCCCTGAATCGGGCAGAGTCGCTGTCAGTCAGAGCTTTAGAGGTGTCTAGGATACGTAGACTCGAGAAATGATTTGCTACAGGGTGACGGCGGACCCGTTCAGCTAGTCTTCAGTCCGTTTTCAGGACCGTTATGTCGCAGGGTACCAGAGCAGTTGGCCGGCCAGAGGGGAATAGCGGCTTGAAAGCAACGCCTCCTGTCTTTTGTCCACGTCGATCCTAGCCGGTGAGAATACAGGATTGGCAACAAGATTCTGGTAGCTTAGTGCTCCATGACCGTTGATGATGATGATGGGAGGCGTTGGCAGAGGGGCAACAAGGGCAGTTGCTGAAGATCTGCTGAGCCTCTCGGGGGCGGTAATCTTCTGGAAGAAGCGCAGTAACCAACCGTTCCGCGGCTCACGGCAAATGCGTAAAATGCTTTGAAGGCACTAGCACTCTCTGTTTGAAGCCTCCCGGGCCACAGACGAAAGTTGCTGGCGTGGCCAAGTGCGCAGCTATTAGGCCACTTCGGCGGAGGCGATGGTACATACTGGGTCATTCGGATGGTGTTGGTGACGACGCGTAAGGCGGCCCGTTTTTCTTGTGTTGCAAAAAATAGCAACTCCTCCGTCGTATGCATCTTTGATTTCTGGCAGACGGAGGGTTTCATTCGGAGTAATACTGAGCAAGCGGCGGTTGGCCTACAGTAGGAACTTGGAAGCAGTGGCACCAGAACAGGCTGTGCTTGTCGATCTGTAGCGGGTAAAGTCCCCAGTGGCGACCACGCAAACCCAAGTCAGGACTCAGGAGGACGCTGCATCCGTAAAGCAGAGCGGTTCAGCTCGTGTTGGTTGCCCTGTAGCGGATGGAACCAAATAGAGTACACATGATTCGGGCGGGTTTAGATGGGTCCATGACGATGGCAAGGCGGACAGGACCGGCGTCACGAGTCTCCTGGAGGAGGAGCGGCGACTCGGTCCGAGTTCGTGATATGACCGTGGAGACTTCGGGGAGGCTTCGTCTCTGCGAGTTGAGCAGCTGTACGGAGTACGGAAACAACTCCGTGGCGGATGCCATAAGTTTCTTGACCTTGACCGAGGGCTGTCGATACCCCGGCCAACGGAAGTTGGAAACGGCAGGCCCGGATTGAGACGAGTCGACGATGATCAGCATCGGAGCATATAGATTGAATAGCGAGCAGAGTTGTCCGAGCCGTGCAGCAGCATCCACCAGACGGAGAAATCCCACGGGCCAAGGACCTGTATTGCAACCGGCGGTACGTTCGGTCCTGGGAGCCTTGACAGTCACTATATGGACCGCGTGTTTGGAAGGGCTGCGATGATGCCATGAGCAGTCTAATTCAGAACAACCCGATTGGGAGGCGCGCTGCGGTCTGAGTTGGAACCCAGACGCGAATTTCGGGTAGACTGCAAGGGATTGGCCTGGATAGCACCGCGGCAGCAAATTCATGAAATTTGGACAGTCTGGGTCGCGGCGGGTTGCAAATGAGGGGGGTGGGATTTAAGATTAGGGTCACCCGGCACGTGGAAAGGCGAGAGATTGCAGGTGGCTCGTGGGCACGGGGACGGTACCTCGCTCGCCGCGGTCATTTCGGTGGCTGTTGAAGGTACATTCTGGGTTCCCTGGCCACACATCATCTCTGGGCTGTGGATGCAAGATGGTCCCTTCCCAAGTTTTTTTCCCACTGAAGGCACTGAAGGGGAAGGAGAAAGAGGGAGGGAGGGTGTGACAAAAGGCCCGCTACTGACACACCCCACCCACCGAAACGAAGCAGTGATCCCCTGAGAAGGAAAAGGGACATACTCCGTAGTCACAGACAGATTGTGCCATCTCGACCAATGACGGCTGGGCCCATTGGGGTTTTCCATGCGTATTTGGAGCGTGCAAACCGCGCACCTTCCAATTGTGTGCTATTGCCTCGAGCACGTTGACAGACTTGGCAGAGCCATGAGATCAAATGGCGATTGAATCTGGTGGTCTGTAGGCCAATGAGACGGTACGGATCACATGAGTGTGGACACCCTATAGTAACCCCCGGTATGGCGAACTCTGATAGACTGATACCTTACGGATGAACATTTCGTCATTCATTTTTCGTTTTTAGTTTCTTCTGGCACTTGTATTTGGCTTTCATTTCGCCTTATCCTGCGCTCATGCAGCGCACACTGCGACATTCAAAATCTGTCCTCCCTATCTGATAAGAACGACGCTGAATTAACACACCGCGTAAAAGGGAGGGAAAGCTAACAGTCGGGCAGTCCGTAGATGGCTGTACTAACGAACGCCCATCGCTTGCGAATTCAAAACTACCCTAGCCCCCCCAGGTCAGGTAGCAGTAGTCTTATATGCAATCTAGACGCTAATTAGCGCCCACCCACAGGCGACTCGGCGCTGAATCTCAGCAGATAGGGACCAGCCCAGCCTTCGCCCAGCTTCAAGCTTTTGTCTTGGAGCTGACGCCGGACTCGGAACGCAAGTCAGGAACAGGAGCCGTTGATAGTGCCGTCTCGACGGGAATGTCAGCAAAAGAGTCAGATCGACCATCCTCTAGCACGCTCTTTGGTGCCTTCTGCCACGTAACTGCGCTTGAAGGCCGAGAATTGTGGGATACCTATATGCTTTTCCGGGTGTTGACAAGACGACGGGGTGTTGTATGTGTTGATAGCTGACGTCAACGCCGATGTTCACAGCCAGGTTTCCAAGCATCGGATGCAGTACCGAGAGTCGGCATCATCATCATTACCAACAACAGTGCCGTCCCATCCACGATAGCGCCTCCGCATACAGCGCCCAGCGTTCTCGGCACGGTTGACAGCCCGCCAGATGCCGTGCCCAGCAGATGGGATTGTTGGGCCCTTGCCGTCTTGGTATCGCAACGTCGACGAGATGCAGATTCTAGCAAATAGAACCGCGGTCTCGCCAGACTGCTAGCTGGGTTTGGTCATTGATGGGGTGAGCGATAACAATCAAGGGCACACTGAACCAGTGATCTCAAAGCAGGCCGCAGGCGACAGGACAGAGCAGCTCACTGGGGAGTCAATGGAGGTACGTACTGTGATAGCGTGATAGACATCGAATGGAAGTACAAACCCCACCCAGCCCCCACCTAGACTATCTCGACGCCCCTCGTGGGATGCCCGGTCCTGGCCAGTCAAACTTTTTGATTCTTTCCCCGTCCCTTGTCGCGCGGGCTGGACCTCTCCCACCTTCCCATGTCCTTCCAGGTGTCGACCCGTGAGCCGTTACCCATTAATTTTCATCCCCTCTCTCCACCTCTTCTCACAGTGCAGCCCGCACCCAGCACCCACGCGGTACGCCATACGAAGCACCTCATTCAGTGGCCTGCAGTCTCTTCTCTCCCTACGGTACCTACCTCTCCTGAGGCTATCCGTAGAATGGTATGTCTATCCAACTGCTAAGATGCAGGCGGCGGAGATGACTGAGGTCAGTCTCGGGGGCGCGAGAAGATGAGATGAGATGCCGAGGACGCTCGCTTGTGCCATCAGGAGAAGCAACGACTGCAGCAAGCAACATCAGACCAGACTCATGTTGCTTCTGCTTGTTCCATATTGCCGCTGCCGCGTGTGCACCCGACAAAAGGGAGACGATGCGGAAATCTACCAAGCTGGTTGTTTCTTGTCTCGAGCAACGAGTAGCAAGCAGCAAGCAGCAAGCAGCCTCACTTGACGTTTTCGACCCTCGTGGAATCGAGAATGAGAGAGGCTCGACTCGGTCCCTCCATCCGCCTTGTCAACCTCCAACTCGGTTGCAAATTCCCATGCAAGACGCAAGCTGCAGGTCCCGTTCCGCGCCAGGGTACCGTCCCAGGTTCCCCTGCACCTTGCCTCTGCTGCATGAGGTAGGAAGTCTCCCATGGATGAAGGCGCCTCCCATTCTCCTAGGCCAGTCCAATCCCGTTCAGCTTGCCCCTGTTCTTTTGCCGTCAATGTCACTGCATCACGCAGAATCTTTCTCTTTCTCTTTCTCTGTCGTTTTTTTTTTTTTTTTTCGCGCCTCACAAATTCCTATTCTTTCCTGGCCCAACCTCTACCCGCGTCTAATCAGTAACCGGGTACGTTAAAACAATACTCGGTGTCTGGCGGGCACTGGCAATCGGTTGTGTGTGGCGTCAGTGACACTGGCAGCGGCGGGCGTGCTTGTCGTCAACTGGCGCTTGAGAAAATGGCGGCTGAGACTTGGGGCCAGGTAGGTATTCGACGACAGTGTGCTGACCTCCATCCTTGTTCATCCGAGGTAGGAGGCAGGCGGCGTTAAAGCACCCATCCCCTATTTCCCAAGCTGGTGTTCTGATTCCCACCCACGAACACACACACACACACACACACATAATTAGCTACTTCATTTTGACGGTGCCTCAACCGTACCGTCCGGCACAACGAAGCGATGGACGGTACGGCATCGTCTTTCTTCAACATGGCAGGCTACCCCTGTACACCCAATTTAATTCCAATCTACCATCCCACCTGCATCCCCACGTCCTCTTCCGAGTGTGTCGGTTCATCAATTCAAGGACCCGGCTACACCAACCAAACCTGGTCCAAAATGCTCTGCCAGTCTGTCTCTTTCTCAATTCGTTCCTGCACAGTACGCAGTATTCTTTCTACTCTGTACCTTCAAGTGCACACTACCAATACCTGTCTCTCTTCCAGGACTCCCTACAGAGACAGACTGCCCTCCTATTTACTTCCTTCTTTTCCGGTCCTCTTCAGTGTTCCCACCCTTTCCCTTTCCACACGATCCTAGTGCATGTAGTCCTCGCCCATTTGGCTCATCCACACACCCCCTGCTCTTTTCCTGTTTCCATCTCTCTCTCCATCTCTGCTAGTTCCCACCCCCCCTGGCGGCCTGTTCTGGGACTGCCCACCACCCCCAGTCCGTCACTCTACATAGTACGCCGTACTAGAGTCTCCTCTTCTTCGCTGCTGTCCACGAATACGTCTTCGAGGTCCTTGCGAACTGGGCCCTGTCTCTCTCTCCTAATTAACCTAGCCTGGTTTCCCGCTCATGTCGGCGCACTATTCGTACACCTTTGATTCCCCTACGCACCACTACCATCCGCAAAGGCCCTCTTTTCGTTCATCCAGACCTCTTCTACCCTCCTCTTCTTCCCTCATCTCCCACCCTTCCCCTCCGACTCCTTTCCTCCTTTTTCGTCTCTCCAGTTCACGACGAAATCTGGATTGCCAGTCTCTCTGTCTGCGTCTTCGTTTCCTAGCGGCAGAGATTCCGATCCCGCTCCCGCTCTCGCCGTCTTCCCGATCACTTGCCGGTCCTATGATCGTGTCACTCGCTCAGCAACAATAATAGCACTGCTAGTTACTATCTTTAGTATCTACGTCTTTCCTATGCGGTTCTCGCCTTGACGCCCTTTTCCGTCCGTTTTGACACGTCTTGGCCCGTGGAGCTCTCTCATCCGAACTACCGCTGCCGCCTTGCCTGTACATCATCCAGAGGATACTTGGTCGAGATCTCCTAGCTGCTCTCACCAGCGTTTGCGTATACCTCACCTTCCCCCGCCTCTCAAGGACGACACCCACTCACAACCGTCAAGCTGGACGAAAAAAAAGTAGAAGTCTTTCTTCGGACAATGGGAGCGAAGCTGCCCAATCCGCATCGCGTCTGCAGCATGCGTAACCCACTGGCGAGAACGCTGCTTTTTGCAGTCATTGTTCTGATCATCATGGCCCTCACCCTCAGAAACGACGCTATCGACGTTCGCGGTCGCATCATGAAGACGGGCGCTGGCGTCAAGTCATCCATCACCCACCAGCAGCCTATGGACCCCGTCAAATCCCACGGTTCATCATCGCTTTCCGAAAAGATTCCTGCCGAGCCCGCTCCCTCCTCGACCCACGTCATGAACTGCGATATCAACACCGATCACATCAAGACCCTCAAGGACAAGTATGGTCTTTCCGAAAAGATTCATTACTTCAAGCGCTACGTCAGATTTAGCCGCAAGCCCATCCAGCGCAAGGGCTACACCGTTTTAGATCAGGAGTTCCTCCCCAGGAAATTCAAGACTGTCGACATCACAAAGTCGTACGCTCCCGAGGAGTGCCACGCTCCCCTGGATGTTCCTGTCAATCAGTCCCCCTACCCGTCCACTGTCAACGCCTCCGACTTTATGTTTGCTGTTTCTACCACCTATAAGCGTTTCAACGACCCGAAGACGAGCCCGATCAAGGAATGGGCTCACTGGCTCACAGACAGCAACGGAAAGTCCAATGGCGGCAAGCTTTTGCTGTTGCTCCTTGACGCCAGCGACGCTGAGCTGAAGGATGCCAGCGACAGGCTCAAGAGGGTTGGAATTGACGCCGATGTCGCCCACTCCGACCCCTCGATGGAGATGGCTGTTCGCTACCTCACTCTTGTGCCCTATCTTTACAACCACCCCGAGCGCAAGTCAAGGAAATGGCTCGTCACTTGCGACGACGACACATTCTTCCCCAGTATGCACGGTCTGATCGACAAGTTTGCTACATTCGACCACCTTGATCCCCTTTACATTGGAACCCTTTCTGAGGACGTCAATGCCATCCACCGCCATGGTTCCCAGGCTTTCGGCGGTGCCGGTGTCTTCCTCAGTGTTCCTCTTGCAGCTGCGATTAACCAGCTCTATGAGTCTTGCAAAACCGAGACGAAGATCAAGGAGGCCAATTCTGGCTGGGGCCCTCAGGGCGATATCCTTCTCCGCAAGTGCATTTACGAAAATACCGAGGTCCGTCTTACCAATATCTGGGAGCTCTGGCAGCTCGACTTGTACGGCGATCCGGCCGGCTTCTACGAGTCTGGTATCAAACCATTGAGCTTGCACCACTACAAGGGTGGCGGTTGGCACTACGCCAAGCCTCTGCAATCCGCCAAGGTCGGACACGCTTGTGGCGAGGACTGCGCCTACCAGCGTTTTATCACTGCCGATGACTTCATTATTGCCAACGGTTTCAGCGTTGCCCATTATCCTCAGGGTATCGACTTCAACCTTGACCAAATGGAACGCACCTTCACACCTGCCCCGGATGACATTGGCTGGAACTTGGACTACATGTTTGGCCCCCAACGCAGATCCTTGCACAAGACTGGCCGCAAGATTGCCTGGGAGCTGCAGGAGGCTCACGTGCAAGAGGATGGATCTGTGCTCCAAGTCTACACCCGCCGGAAGGACGACGAGCGGTGGGTTGAGGAGGATGGCGAGCCAATGAGCAAGATTGACGGTGTTATTGAGCTTGTCTGGATCCCTTCAACATGAAGTGTCGGATATGCCGAGCACGACGATACGATACGGGCAGAGGCACCCTCGATTACCTCTCGCCTCATGACATGACGGGTCGGATGATTCTGGCATTGCATCAAGCTGAAGGATGGACGAAAGCACCTCCAAAGCTCATTTCCACGCGCTTAACCAACCCACTTGACCAAACAAGGACATCCTGGCCTATTCTCATAGCTAGCATTCGGCTGAAATGGCACGGGCCCATTCCGATTCAGACGGCAGCAAAAAGTCAATCTGGCAGACAGAAAACGACAGGTTGCAATGCCCAGGGGTACCTATATTACAACAACACCCCTGGACAGGATCATAATTATAATCCGCTGACCGCGATACCCTCATTTCATCACACCAAAACTCTTCTTCGATTCAACTCGCATCTCGACTTCGGCATACAGCTCGCATAGAGTTTCGGCGTTTGAGTACGATACGGAGCATTTTTTTTTCCCCTCATTGACAGCATGCTGGCAAACGCTTACCCTTTGTTCTTTTCTACCATTGTGGCATTGCATTGCACATAGATGGATTGCGTGGACGGATCTTGCAATCGGCACATAGACCTGTGACAGGCCGGACGTTTGGAGTCAATGATAAGGACATTGGGTGTCCTTTTTGGAGGTCTACCACCTGGTTTGGTTTGATTTTGGTGCAAGGAAAGGCAGTCATCGGTGCCTTTGTAGAGTTTTAGAACAAGTGTATACCAATGCTACGAAATATTCACACACTTTAAAAACTTCATCCCGCTCCCTCCCCCATGCAAGGCTTGTCGCTATCTTGTCGCTATAACTTGGGGATTGCCATCTGCAGCAGGAGATGTTCCTGTATGGGACGAACTGTGCCGTTCCAGCCTGACATCCCAGGCTTTAATCAACAACAGTCGTCAGGCATCAAATGAATTTGTCTCAGCCAAGCCCCACCCCCACCCGGGATACGCTCGCGCCACAATGCTCTCGTGCCCCGCCAACGTCTGATCCCTCGGATTGCTGCATCTTCTCCGTGCTCTGAGCAATGAAGTCATGAGGCTTGTGTCGTACCTAGCTCGAGGTTCTCCAACGCCGTCCGGTCAGCTCCACGAGGCGACCTCCCACCATGGCGACGTGAGTATTCCCTCTACGCACACCGAGACCCCTGCTAACCTGTTCGTCATGGCCAGCATTTCAAACATATTGTCGTTGCCATTCCGCAAGTCCACGCAGCTCTCGCTCTCGTCGACAATACGACAGTACATCAACACCAAGTATGACCAGCACCCCGACATGTTTCGTCAGGACCTCGAGGTCATCGACACCCTACGACGAGATGCGGTCAATGTAAGGGAGCCGCACCCCAGCGGAGTGAAGAAGCTTCAGGCCTATGCTGGACAGCTAGTGTGGATCGGGGGCAAGTTCCCAATCGACGTACGTCTCTCCTCCACCTATACAAACCCAACCGACGGAGCAATCTTGAGATCGCTGACGCAGCTTGCAAATAGATTGGTGCCGAGTTTACGTGGTACCCAGCGCTAGGATACAATACCGAACGACCGATGGTGCGAAACAATCTTAAATACGAGCTAATGAATATCCTCTACAACCTCGCCTCCCTCTATTCCCAGCTCGCGGTTGCGCAATCGAGATCAGGTACAGAAGGTCTTAAAACAGCCGCAGGCTATTTCGCCTCGGCTTCTGGAGTACTAGGACATATGCAGAAGGAAGTCTTACCCGAACTTCGCATGTCTGACCCACCCGAGGACATGGACGCCAACACCCTCGAGTCTCTGTCCCAACTTCTCCTGGCACAGTCGCAAGAATGCTTTTGGCAAAAGGCGGTCATGGATGGGTACAAGGATGCCATCATTGCTCGACTGGCCGCTCGCGTATCTGATCTGTACAACTCGGCGGGGGACGCTGCGATGAAGAGTGAGGCCATCAGCTCTGCCTGGATCCACCACATGAGCGCAAAGCACCATCACTTTGCTGGTGCCGCGCAATACCGAGCCGCATGTGACTGTCTGGAGAAGAGGAAATACGGCGAAGAGGTTGCACGCCTGCAGGACGCTGTGAGCTGCGTAAATGAGGGCCTGAAGGAGAGTCGGGGCGGCTACCTGAACAAGGCAGTGCTCGAGGATCTTAATGGCCTCAAACGAAAGGTCGAAGAGGATCTCAAGAGGGCAGAGAAGGACAACGACGTCATCTATCTCCGTAAGTGCCGAAAGCTGGTTAGCAGTAGATGCACGGCTAACTTGAGAAGAACCCGTGCCGCCAAAGTCAGAGCTCAAGATTCTCGACAGAGCCAACATGGCAATCGCCAGAGTGCCTCCACAAGTAGCCAGTCCGTTTGACTATCTCGGAGACCAGGCCGAGTTCGGACCGGCCCTGTTTACGAAATTGGTTCCATTCTCCGTTCACGCTGCCATCACCATCTACGAGCAACTTCGCGATCGCATAGTAAACGAAAACATCATTGGCCAGATGGAAACGCAGACCGAAAAGCTGCATGCCTTGCTGAGCTCCATCAACCTGCCTGGTTCGTTGCAGGCCCTTGAGAAGCCGCTTGGCTTGCCTCACAGTTTGGTTCACCATGCGGAGGAAATACGGCAAGCAGATGCTATTGGACGGATTCAGCGGGCCTTCTCGGATATTGACAAGCTAAGGACTGCTGATATCGCAATCTTCAACGAAGGCAAAGCGATACTGGCAGCGGAAGAGGAGGAGGACAATCGAATGAGACGGAAATACGGTACAGATAGGTGGTCAAGACCAGAAAGTCGAAGCGACCCCCAGGGAGGCCAATTCTGGGCTCAAGTGGCCGAGATCGAGGGCTACTTTGCGAGTAGCACGAGTAGTGACGCGGTCGTTCGAGACAAGTACAAAGAGGTCCAGGACTTGCTCGAAATGCTCTCTGGATCCGATCGAGCCATTATGGACTTTGTCCCTTCTTCTAGGCGCATGGACATCCCAGAACACCTGAAGCCGGTGATAGGTAGGCTTCGGGGAGCTTACAACGACGTCCTGCGACTCGAGTCTAAAAGGAGAAAGAAGGCGGAGGCGCTGCGGGAGAGGGCTAGAACGGATGATATAAAGCCGGAAATCCTGAAAGAAGCCGCACGACTCGAGAGAACATACCCGACAACAGCGATTGTCCCGGCCCACTTTGAGGACTTCTTTGAGAAGCGTCTCGACAAGCTGTACGATTCTGAGATTGAAGCTGTGGCTAAGGAAGAGGACGAACAAGAGCGTCTCATGACTGAGGTACAGAGAGTCAACCGAGAATTTGAGAGTCAAAAGAAGAATATGACGAGCGGCAATCGCGAGCGCGAGCAGGCGCTCCAGAGGCTTGACAATGCCTACTACAAGTACAAGGAGATCGTTAACAATGTTGACGTCGGTCGGAAGTTCTACAATGACTTGAGCAAGGTCGTGGGTCAGAACTTCCGCGATCCTGTCAAGGCCTGGGCTGCTGAGCGGCGGATGGACGCCAAGAGTCTCGAAGAGTAAGAAAGTTCCTCGGCGTGTCAACACACACTGTGCTAACCAGCTCACAGGGAGGTCAGCATGCCGCCGCTTAGTTCTCTGAACCTCAACCGATCGCCGGTCCACTCCCCCACCGGTTCAAACTACGACCCGCGTTCCCAGTCCTACTTTAGCGCCAGCGTCGTCCCTGGCACAACGGCGCAGCAGCAGCAGCAGCAGCAACCTTCGCGTCATGAAGTGCACTCTCCCGCAGAAGCACACATCCAGTCGTGGGCCGGGTCGACTGTCGAACCCCAACACCCGAGACCGGCGGCCGCAATATCAAACATGTGGCAACCTGATATGGGCATCAAGTTCGGGGCTCAACCAGGTGCACCGGCGGCGCCTTCCGGCGGATCAACGCAGGGCCAAAGCACGGCGAGCCAGCCCCCGCGGGGAGGGACTTGGAACCCTTCTTCTGGGATCAAGTTCGGTTAGGACGCGGATCGATTCTCAGCACCTAGAAAGAAGAGATCATGAATGGAGGGGGAGTGCGAAGGGTCTATTGAGTCGGCTTTTTGAGCGAGTAGTTTGGCGTTGATGGGGTTGCGCCGTCTTGCTAGATGTACCATAGATCCGTCGCAAAGCATGCTTTCTGTGTTTAGCAAATGACCAACAAGTGCATGGTTCATTCACACACAGTAGCCGAAGCGGAGCATACCGGTACCCAAGTGAGGTATTTGGACCACGTCAAATGTTGGGAGAAACTTTTTATACGGAACATGTGTAAGAGGATATATGTGTTACCCGTGCCGTGTGCGGTCTTTGTGATAGCTACCTTATGGGAGGCCATATCCTTGGGTATCGGGAATGATGTGAATTGCAGATCTGACCATTATTTAGGTTCGTCGCTCCCATCATTCATGTAAGCGCCAGAATCGAGTTGTCAGATGTGATGGGATACTATGTATAATCACGGCATGGCCGGAAGCGGGACTTCCCGGATTGCGTGGGAGGCTCCAGCCGTCGACGTTGCACCCATGTTCCCTGGGTAAGGTAGGTAGGCAAGGTTCAGCGCTAATAGTCTCACAGCGTTAGTCTCACAGCGGGAATGTTTTCTCTATTTTGCGCCTCTTGTCTCTAATTTTTTTTTTCTGCCCTCCTTCAGCCGAGAGAATTTGGGGTAAGGGGGCGTGTGTGGCTCCATTGGCGATGGGACTGAGACGACATATTCCATAGGGAAAAAATTGTAATTCAGCTGGCGTCGCTGAGTCAGGATCTGTCGAAGGGGATTTCGGACGTGGTCCGCAACACCTAGCCGTGGAAGAGTCTGCTGTTGCAGAAGATATGCAGTTGGACAACTGCGCCTCTCTTTTACAGTGGCTTGAAGAAGAAGTTTCGTCACGAGAGAGTAGATTAAAAGGCACACTGTTATCGTGGCAATCTGAATCAGTCTGGATTTTGTTTTACTCGTATTTGTGGCAAATTGAAGTGGTATTGCGGCATCAGGCGATCAACCAACTCGATTCGATCCTGACAGGACAAGATCCGATCATGACAAGGTGACAAAGGAGTAAAACGTCCGGCCGAATCATTCCATTGGTCTCTAGCTGGGACACGTCTTATAGGTCGCTCTAGACCTCGCGGAAGACCCTCAGAAGGGTGGAGCTGGCCGAGGAAGGAGGGGTAAGACGTCAGATACTTTGCCGTAGGAAAGAGCCTCGCCGATGCCTTTTTTATTTTTTTTTAAATTTTTTTTGGCTGCGGATTTGGGTTTAACTGCCCAGCCAGTAGCCACCCGCCTGCCTACCGCCGCCACCGCCGCCAGAGAAAAAGCAGAAAGAATAGGAAAAGCTCGCGCCCGGAACGGTTAGGTGACACTTGCCCGCCTTTCCGCATTCCTCTCTGCCCCTCTCCCCCCTTCTCCAAATGCACCCCGTGGCCACGCGAGGTCCACGAGCGTAGTTCGCTCCCGGGCTGTCACTCCGAGTCCCCTTGACAAAAAACAAAGCAACAAAGCCGAGGGAGGAAAGAAAAAAAAAAGCAGAACGTTTCCGAGGAGAGACGCCTGGGCAGACGAGAGCCGCCGCCGCCGCCCTGCTTGACATCGGAGCACGGCTCGCTCTCACTCTCACTCTCACTCTCACTATCATTCTTACTCTCCCTCTCACTCGTTCCCCTCACACCCCACAGACCGATCGCACCGCCACCCCTGTGCGGTGTACACGCATTCGCGTTCCCATCCGATGTCCGAGGCGCAACGCGAGCGGGAGGTGCAGCGATATCTCCAGAGCTGGCAGGTTGCGCAGGGTTCCTCATTCAATGTCGCCCTCAACGTCGATAGCATCGCCGCCCAGGACTTACATGGAAATGGCTACAAGCCCAAGGCCTCGGCCGACAAGGCTCTCACAGCCTTTGCCCAGCTGGCCGTACTGAAACTGAACGTCAAGCGTGCCATGGTGTCGCTGATCGATTCCACCACCCAAGTCATCCTTGCCGAGGGTACCCGTAACATTCAACTCGGAGACTTTGACCACTTGCAGGACCCTCAGAGCAGCGGCTTGAACAATGGGGATGACCAGACGAACAGTGGTGATAGCGAACTTTGGCGTACGTAGGCCTCCATCTAGATAACCACTCCGTCTCGGCTATTGCTTGCCTCTTGAGCCACCGCCGTCGCTGCATGCCTACAGCCTTTATACACGATGGCATCATGCTCAATCTCCTTCCCCGCGTGCAATTTCAGGCTCAGACGCAATGGAAGGGGGTATACGTGTTGGGAGCTCATATGCTGACACTTGTGATTCCACTAGTCGGCGCCACCATCCTATCTCGTCCCGATGCTGTCTGCGAACACTCAATGGTGAACACCTGCACTGGTCTAGACCACAGAGGCCGCTCGTACACGGCGACCGGACTCATTGTCAATGACTGCCGCCTCGACCCTCGCTTCAGCCAACGTCCGTACGTGCTGTCGGAACCGGGCGTACGCTTCTACGCTGGCGTGCCCATCATCTCACGCAGCGGCCACAAGATCGGATCTTTTGCCGTTTCCGACGAACGACCTCACGATGGACTTACGGCGGATGAGATTCGGTTCATGCAGGGCGTTGCCCAGACGGCCATGGAGCATTTGGAGTGGGCACGAGATCGCGTGGACAGGTTCAAGGGCGAGCGGATTGTGCGGGGACTGGCGACTTTTATCGAGGGATGTTCCAGCATGAATGAGGATTCGACTTCTGTGAAGGACGATGTACCGAGAAGCCCCTCAACAGTACGACCGCCGGATATGCCACTCGTCTCGACACGGCGTCCGATGCCGAGATCGAATTCGTACTTCCGCAACGCCGAAGACCTTTTACGGTCTCGAGAGTCGTCTACGTCTCGCCAGGAAAGCGACACTACGGAACCCCCAGGTCCCAGCACCGAAAACCCGCCATCCCCCCAAAAAGCATTTCAGCCGAGGGTCGACGGCCTCTCGAAACTCTTCAACCGTGCAACAGACGTCCTCCGTCATTCGACGCTGGCTGACGGTGTTGCCTTCTTCGGAGCCACGGCAACGACTGCTACACCCGGAGGTCAGTCGAGGTCTGGCAGGAATCAGTCGTCGGACGATGAGGACGCCACACGACCCGCCACTTCAGGCTCTGGGCTCGACAGCTCCGACTCTGACACCTCACCATCCGCCAGACCCTGCAAGATTCTGAGTTTCTCCGTGGCCGATGAAAGAGCGCGCGCTCGCATTGAGCAGGGCCCGGCGCTTTCACTCGGCATCCTTGAAAAGTACTTCTCCATGTTTCCCATGGGCAAGACCTTTTCCTTTACCGAGGCCGGCCTCGGGGTATCATCAGGGGACGACAGTGCTAGTGATAGGGAGACTATGGGTGTCGACGGCGCACTGCCACCCGATAAATCCGAAGGCAGACGCCGCAAGGTTAAGATGGTCCACGAAGAGCTCCTCAAGAAGATCCCTGGTGCAAAAACGGTAGTCTTTGTGCCTTTATTCGACTACAGCGAAGACAGGCTTGCCGGTGGATGTTTCCTGTGGACCTCCGTCACTGGCCGCATGATGAATCTGGACCAAGACCTCTCCTACCTCCGCGCCTTCAGCAACAGTATCATGACCCAAGTCGGCCGCATCAATAGCCAAAAGAACGAGGCTGCAAAGACGACCTTTATCGCGAGTATGAGTCACGAACTCCGCAGTCCTCTACACGGCATCCTCGGATCCGCCGAGCTCCTCCAAGATACCAGCACAGACGCGTATCAATCCGGCCTCATCAGCTCTATTGCCACCTGCGGAAAGACTCTGCTCGACACCTTGAATCACGTACTCGACTACAGCAAGATCAACAGGCTTGGACGGGCGCAGATGAGGAGGCGAGCAAAACAGAACCAAAGCAGACCGGTCGCCATTACGTCAGACTCTCTTGAAAGCTTGAGCATGTCCTCCGTGGTAGACCTTGCTGTCCTCGTCGAAGAGGTTGTTGACGCCATCGCGGCCGGCCACGCCTTCAAGAAACTAATAGGCGCGGGCTCTCTGGATGGGCCCAAGCCTAGCATCAGTGTCCAGGAAACGAATAATGTGAGGTCGGTGGGCAATTTCCAAGCTCCGGGGGCCAAGGGTACTGTATCGATATTGCTGGACGTCGACCCGAAAATACCTTGGCTGGTAAAAGCGCAACCAGGTGCCCTCCGGCGTATCATCATGAACCTGTTTGGAAACGCCTTGAAGTACACGACCGAAGGCTACGTCCTTGTCTCCCTGACCGGCCAGTCAAGATCGGAGGGGACTAAGATCGACGCATTGATACGAGTGGCCGACTCTGGCAAAGGTATGTCCGAGGAGTTCCAACAAACACGGCTGTTCCTTCCATTCAGCCAGGAAGATTCGTTTCAGCCCGGCACAGGGTTGGGTCTCAGTATCGTCAAGCAAATCGTCGACTCTTTGAGAGGAAGTCTCGAGGTCAGGTCCGAACAAGACAGAGGGACCGAATTCGACGTACATCTCAGCTTCACATCAGCATCCGATGACACGGAAGGACCTCGCGAGCCGGACGAGGTGATGCGCAGTACCGTGAACGAGACCAAGGGAATGAAGATTGTCCTCCTGGAGGAGGAGCGCACCGCCGATACCCCACCCATGCCGAAACACGCTGCGAAACTGAACCAGATTCTCACAGAGACCTGTTCCGAATGGTTCAAGATGAACGTTGCTGAAGAAAATCCATCCGACCCACCAGATGCAGACATGTATCTCTACTCTGAGCCACCCACGGTGGAAGTGTTGGAGAAGCGCTTCAAGAACAACTCGCGGAGATCGCCCAGCCAGAAGAAGGCACCCTTTGTCATTATCTGCCCGACAGCTGAAGAAGCAGTCAAAATTCTTCAGGACCACAGCAAGCTGTTGTTGGACTTTTCAGAAATTGTTGAAGTGATACCGCAACCGTGAGTAAACCAACTCCCATGATTGATCACCAGAGAAGCCCTCTGCCAATTGCAAAAGCTGACCGTTTGCCCCAGATGCGGCCCACGAAAACTCGCCAAAGTGTTTAGCCACTGCCTCAAGCGGGTAGAAGATTTAGAGAGGAGTCAGGCAATGGCACGAAATTCATCCGGGCTGCTGGCTCCGGTCCCACTGACCCCTGGGAGAACCGCTCCCGAGAACGAGGTGCGCCAGGTCGAAAGAGTCGGCACTCCCCTCCACCAGCAAGCCAGGCCCGAGCAACTTGAACCCGCAATGGGTGTACAGCCCCTCATTAAGCCTCTTGGCGCAATGGCGCTCTCGCCGGCCCTCAACGGCGGCCAGCCGGTCCTGGTCGGCCAGAAGAGCGTGACGCTGCACGTCCTGCTCGTCGACGACAACCAGATTAACCTCAAGCTGCTCGTCATGTTCATGAAGAAGTGCGGCTTCACGTACGAGCAGGCCGAGAACGGACAAGAGGCGCTCGACCGGTTCATCGAGGCCTCGAGCTCGTCCATCGAGGCGAGCGCCAGCAAGCGCCGGCGCTTCGATTTCGTGCTCATGGACATTAGCATGCCCATCATGAACGGGTTCGAGGCGACAAAGCGCATTAGGGATTACGAGCGGGACAATAGGCTGCAGGCGACGACGGTGGTGGCGCTGACGGGCCTGGCGAGCGCGGACGCGCGGCGGGACGCCGAGACGTCTGGGTTCGATGTGTTCCTGCCCAAACCGGTGCGCTTTGCCGAGTTGCAGAAGCTGCTTACGGCGTCGTGAGTTTGTGAAAGCGGTAACCGGGCCGGTTTTTTCATCCCTGGGATTTTTCCTTTCTTCCAGCATAATAAACAAGACCCCCCTTTCTGGGAAATAGATTAGGTCGTCTTGCGTCAACTACATTTCAGACCTGACGAAGTATTACGGTTCCAAACCTTTGACGGTAATGGTTTGTAATTACAAAAAAATACCATTTTATGTTTCTCCTCAACCTTGACGATCTCTCCATGTCCAATATCCGACGCGTTCTAGGCTATCTGCCGCCGTGAGTGTAAGATGGAACCCGATGTTGGCCGGGCATTAGCTGGTCCCCCCTCCCCCAAATGACTTACTCCTGTTGCGACAGGATAGGAGCCGACGCAGGATCGTAAGAAGAGCCGAAGCCCTTGGCCAGGACGGCACATGCGTCATGGACAAGCTTCCTGCTAATCTGGTGGACACTGGAGATGAACAATTAGCCGGCCGGCCTACGTCCAAGCAACGAAAAAGGTAAACAGCGAAGCGCAGATACGCCAAGCAGAACACTACACTGTAACATACCCAGCAAGAACGAGGACGGAATGCGTCGCGCCCTCGTAGACCTCCGTCTCGACCTCGACGCCCGCGTCCCTGAGCTGGTCCGCGTACCGCAGCCCCTCGGGCGTGAGCAGGTCCACCCCGGCCACGGCGAGCCAGGTCCGGGGGCTGCGGGCGAGGACGTCCGCGGGAGCGAAGCACGGCGAGGCCTGCCACTGCTTCTTGTCCTCGTCGCCGCGGGCGAAGTAGAGGTCCTGGTACCATCCCATGCGGGTCGGGGTCAGCCAGGGGACGTGCTTCGTGGACGCCCAGCCCGTCTCCGCGGTGGCGGTGCTGTCGATGACGGGGCATATGAGGATCTGGGCGATGGGCGGCGGGTGGATGTTTGCGAGGGAGGCTTTCATTGTTAGGATTGCGGCGAGGTTGCCGCCTCTGTTTGGGAGGGGGGAAGGATGTTAGTGTTCGTTGTCTCGACAGAGGTGACTGTTACGAGAGAGGTCTGGAAGGGGGGCGGGGGTGAGGGCTGCTGGGATAACGAACGCTGAGAGACCGCCGATTGTGACGAGGGACGTGTTGAGGCCCAGACGGGAGGCGTTTGAAGGTTCGTATATCCACTTGAGTCCCGTGAGGCAATCGTCGACGGCGGCGGGGTAGACGTGCTCCGGGGCGTGGCGGTAGTTTATGGTGACGACAACGCATCTCACATCTATTTTGATGCTCCATCAACACTTACACTCACCACTCATATGTTTTTTCCCAAGATTTCACCTCTCTATTTGGGGGGAGGGGGGGGGAAACCAACACTGACAAACGTGCGTCAAGAAGCCGTTCTCGCTATCCAAACCACCATTCACCCACCCACCGCCGTGGAGCCAGACCAAGCACGGCCAACCCCCCTCCGACGGCGCCTGACCCTCGGGCACGAACACGCGCACCTGGATCTCGCCGCTACCGCCGAGCTCCTCGTCCCATTGCTTGCCGACCGTGGACAGCTTCTGCGTGGTGTGGGCAAGCGGGCTGGGCGCGGCGCGCGAGGCCGGGTCCCACGGCCGGGCCTCGGAGGGTTCCATGTACTGGATGATGGCGTCGTGGAGGGCGACGTACTCCGGGTCCAGCTTGGCGCGGACGGAGGGGTGGATCGGCTGGTGGATGATGTTGTTTTTGTCCGCCATTTTTTTTTGTGCCTTTTTGATCTGTTAGTTACCCTTTGCCTTGGTCGATGTAAAAAGGATTTTACTCCTTTTTTATGGTGTACTTTCCAGAGCGCGGCTCAACTTACGTTCGTGGAGGAGAAGAGAAAGTAGAGTGCAATGGGGAGACGACCCAATGTGAAGTCGAAAGATGGTTGACGTGATTGGTGAGTGGAGCTCTTTTGCGCTGAAGTTGAGGCTTTTAAGAAAGTTTGCTGTGAACGGCCCCCCCTTCCTCCATGCGGCAGCCTGGTTTTTGCCCGTTCTCGGCAATCTTTTAAATCTGGGTGAGGAATTTCGCATGGGGCGTCCCGCTCACACCGGCACTTGATCGGACGGGAGACCCGCTGCTCCACGATTTCAGTCAAGATAGCGTCTGGTCCCTGAAAAAACCATGGACGGTCTGAATCCTCACGACAAAGCGTAAAAGTTACGTAGAAATATGGTGGGCGATTGATATGTATACTGGTCTTTGGTCAATGTCTTCTCTAGCTACGAGTATGAGCTATAATTAGACCAGAAGAAGTAATTAAGATCGTATAGAGAAAGACCATGGATGTAACCTTATGCCTCTACTTTCAATTCCTAGTCCCATCTTCATTTTAAAGTATCATTGAACTTTGATGTGTTCTATTGCGAATACTCAAACCTCGCTAAGAGATGCAATGGCTGAGATACTTTTTAATGAGTTTGACTATAAAATTAAGACCGAACCTGACGGGGAGATCATCATGATACACGCCTTAGTGAAGAAGAATTGCCTGACTATGACCTCTTGGATCTTCGAGCAAATCTTCTCACAGCGTTCTCGTCAGTAGCAGCTGTCGACCCAAGAACCTACGAGTTTGACGAGGGCGAGGGCGAGGACGAGGACGAGGACGAGCTGATGGCTGGGTCGTACGCAGAGAGGAAGGGGCGAAGACGTTAGTCTGAAATCTCACAAAGATGGACCTCAGGACCAGTTGAAACGGCACTTCAACCTCTTGACCCGGTGAAGGAGCGGCACTCTTGTAGTAGCATACCCAAGAAGGTTGTGCATCCGTCCAGGTTGGATCTCACCGTTCCCATAATCATCCTAGGAGCTGCGATGAATCTTAATTTCAAGAGAAGAAACGTCTGACCTAATGAAATATTCACAGCATGGGAGTCCACAGTTGAAGGTATAGGTTTCTTCAAGTCTAAATTTTGAAGAGACTTTGTGATTCTTGTTTTCCAACGGGCGGCTGAAGACGTCTGTCGGAAGGAGCTTTGATTTTCTCCAGGGCCTCACTCATAAAAGTGGTGTACCATGAAGCATTGATTGCCATTTTCTGACCACGGAACAGCCGCAAATTCTTTACCAACAGAACTAAATGAACCCATTTCCGTTGGCGTTGATCCTATTCTTTCCGTTTCTCGCGTTGCCAGTGGTGCCATTTTTCTTTTTGGCGGCGGCGGCGCCGCCGGCACTGGCACCGCTCACACGCTCGCATCTCTCGCCGCCATCGCCGTTTCCGCAGCGGATGGGCAGCAGACAGCAACCATCGGGGTCTGCGAATTGCTCCAGGCCATCGGCGCCCGTGCCGAGGGATTTGCAATCAGGTCCATCCGGGAAGCCGCATCTGATGCGCGCACATGGTTAGCAAACAAATTTTTTCATCTCAATAAGCAAGCTTGATCGGATCTACGATTTCTGCTGTTTAGACTAACCCATTCTTAGCGAGGACGCCAGCGGAAAAGAGGGTGAGGATAATGGTTGAGAAATGCATTGTCGAGGTCTGGTGGTTGTAATGGAAGATTTCTGCACAGCAGATTGATGAATGTGATTACAAAGGTAAATGAGTAATATGAAAAGAAAACCTGAATGTATTCGAATTGAGATGGCTTGAATGGATACAGGAAGTATAAACCGCGGTATTGGCATCTAGATTTATAGAAAATTGAGGTGATCCTATTAACCATCAGCTCAGCTATGATCTGCAAAAGTCTCAGCTCCTGAGCATCTTGGCCAAAGACCGCGGCTGTGTTGCTAGGTAGGATCGCTCACTCCGAAGAGGATACGGGGTAGGCCCACCGCCGGAGTCCCTGCGAAACTCTGCTTCTAAAACCAAGCTTAATGGGCATTTGAGTCTTGATTCACAAAACGTGTCAAGATTGGGCAGAGCCAAGCTAGGTACATGGGTTTAAACCCCGCCATTCAGTTTGTCGAGAAAGGAGGAGAGAAGAGAAATGCGAAAATCGTGCCGATCGCGTGTTGTAGTTGTAGTTCTCTCGTGGGGACAATTTGGCCGGGGGATGAAATAAGGCTTTGTGAATTGTAGACTTTAAGCTCGTCCCATCATACAGTCTGACGTGGGCTGCCATCTGAAGATTCCCAGCGGACCTCGCGCGTGTTTTGTCAGTGCGTCGACTCTGTCTCAAAAGTTGGCGACGTTGGCCGGGGAGACACCTTCAATGACCTGGCTCTGAGCCTCTGACCCCAATCCTTGGTCTACGACAAGCTTCTCGGTGTACATCTTCCTTTTGACAACCATTGAGAGCCTCTTTAAAACCGATGGACCGTGGCTCCACGTCGAGACAGGACGCAGGGCAAGGTCTTGATACTTCCGGACAGCAAAACACGCACAGTATCATACATGTAGGCTTCACCATATCACCAGGTACAGCGATACGAACCAACTCCTGCGTTCTTACTGGGACCAGGCAAACGGATAGCATGTACGAGCAGCATCTGGTGGGGTCTCTTGTAAATAGCCTCGTTCCAGGTCTTTGGATGCGACGGCTGATGTGAGGCGAATCCGGGGTGGAAGCTTCGAAACTCGTTCTATAGCTGAGTGGGTCCGTCACACCGGTTCAGGGGGTGCTGCCGAGGGTCGCGAATGTGTCGGGTATCCCAGCCAGCTGATGCACAAGCCCATCACCGCATTCCCTTTGAATAGTATGGGCACCTTATCATAGGGCGGGATGCGTGATTACCACGCGACGCGAAGGCGCATCGTCTCAAGTTCAGAAGCGTGGGCAGAGACTACGACTGAAAAGCACAACTAGTTCGAGACCAGACATGCCGAACTGCTCCCCGAGGTAGTGGTACAGAGGCAGTTTGAGGAACAGTCACTGCATGTGCATAGGTACTCAGAATGTTGTATGCTATAGCTTGCTGTGGACAACCTCAGCCCTCATTGGTATGCATAGTACCAGAGTTCCAGGCTGAAACAGAGTGCCGATGGCATGGGAATATACATGTATTCTCCTGGGAGTTGACGTCCATTAGCCATTGTTGTGCGCATGATCCGTTGTGGTGGGCCAGTCGACCACGACTCAAGATTTTGGCACTCTCCACCTTCCACCGTTGAGCAGTTTACATCTATATTCACAGGCTGTATAAGGTAAGGTAGCTGGTCACCCGTGATGTACCCCAGCACGATTGGGACTGATAGCACCTCGATGATAAGCTCACCCAGTCATGGGCGGTGGAGATTTGTGGGGAGCTGCGGGAAACGCTGAGGGTGACACCAGCTTGGAAGTCGCGCTTATGTACGAGCTCACTCGCGCAGCACGTCTATGCACAACAGCCTTCGAACAGCGTCTAAAGGTAGGTTCATTCAAATGGATGACAGGCGGGTAGGTACCATTGGCCTCCACCATGGATCTGCATGTACAACGTAGGCTAGCCCAGAGTTGAATTACATTACATTTACGAATTGCAATGGTGGTGTTGAAGTGGCACTGGGGACCTTAGCCAGCCACGCACAACCAAGGGACGATTAACTTTTTTTTTTTCTTTCTTACTTGAGGGTCCCAGGTCGTTCGCTGCTATGGCTAATCGGTACAGTACAGATAGACTTTCAGCCAATATACTCACCAATCAAGGCACCCCGTGGATCACTAGCGATCACCATTTGGGAAAATCGGCAATGCCGGCACGCAAACGAGTTCTCGTGCGGGTCCGCCATGTCGGCGCTAGACAACAACAGGAAGCTCGGTCCACAGCAATCCTGGAAGCTGCTCTATCCCACGTGCCTGGGTCGTCTTGTTCTTTGGATGATAGCAAGATACGGGATCCCAACTCTGCGATTTCGGTCGCCCCCGATGAATATTGAATGGGGATAATGGGGGGGTTGTTTATCATTCGCCGCGTCACCGCGCCAAAGCTGCAGCTCCTCCACAACCCTTGGTCCCTTGGCTCATGGAGAGGAAAAGCTTGTTCGAGTGGGATTGCATCTTGCTTAAAAGCTTGGCTGCATGCCACCCAAGCCTTGGATGATGCTACCTACCTGAATGCTCACAGGAACCCTCCCCAATCTTCTGAGTTCTCCGTCTTTTGCTTGAGCTTGTCAGTCTTCCCCATTGGATCACTCTTTTTTCCTTTGGGAGCCAAGCACTTTCAGGTTCCGTCACAATGCGTCTCGGAAATGGCATCTGGGCCTCGCTCGCCCTTGCGTTGGCCGCCCCGGTCCTCGCCTGCGAGAGCTGCGAGCATCCCGAGAGAGACGTCGTCATGACCAGAAATGTCCGTCGCGCGCAGCCCGATGCGCAGGCGGCCACAGTCGCACCTCGTGGTCCGCTCTCGTGGGGTCAACTCAATTTCCTTCACACCACTGGTAAGCTGGACTCCGTCTCAAAACAAGAGTGCATTTTCGCGTATACTGACTTACAACCCTAATCCAGATACTCACGGATGGTATTAGGACCTCTCTCTCTTCCTACCTGACGAGTCCCATGCTCCAGACACTGACAAAATCACAGGCTCGAAGGACACATCCGCGAGCAAAACTATGGCGCCGACTGGGGTGACTTTGTGAGCTTTGTCAAGCACATGCGCAAGAAAGCCAAGGACCTGGATGTCGACTTGTTGGTAGTCGACACTGGCGTATGTCCTCCCTATCCTCCACTCTCAACACCACTGCGCGCAACTGACACACGTGCAGGACTTGCACGACGGCGCAGGAATCAGTGATGCCACTGGCGTCTCGTCTTACGCCAATGGCACCGGTGTCAACGGCCAGTTGTCAAACCCAATCTTTGAAAACATCGACTACGATGTGCTAAGCATCGGCAACCACGAGCTGTATGTTTCCGCCATCGCGTACGAGACCTTTAGCCAGTTCGCTAAGGTCTACGGCGACAAATACTTGACGAGCAACGTCCAGATCCGCAACCCCAGCACGGGAGCGCTCGAGACCATTGGCAAGCAGTACAGATACTTCACCACCCGCAAGGGTAAGTAGCCCGCCCATCTTCCATTGGTCCCACAAGTGTGCAAGTATCTCTTGATCAGATATTCTAACTTACACCCCGGTGCAGGCCTGAGAATCATGGCTTTCGGCGTTCTCTTTGACTTCACCGGCAACTCCAACGCTTCCGTCGTCACCAAAGCCGCCACCATGGTGAAGCAGTCCTGGTTCCTCGACGCCGTCAACTACGCGGAGCCCATTGACCTCTTCCTGGTCATCGGTCACAACCCCGTCCGCCCGACGCAGAGCAGCAGCACGCTCAAGACCGTCTTCAACGCCATCCGCGCCATAAAGCCCGATACCCCGGTCCAGTTCTTTGGAGGCCACACCCACATCCGCGACTTTGCCGTCTACGACGACAAGTCGACCGCCCTGGAATCTGGGCGGTACTGCGAGACCGTGGGCTGGCTGTCTCTGAGCGGCATAAAGTCTGACAGCTACAAGGGCGCGGTGTACCCCAAGGGCGTACCTCACCCTTCTCAAAAGGCCGTCAGCGTGGCTGCGAAGAGTGCTTCTTCTGGCCCGACCTCTGCCACCAGCAACTCTAGCATCACTTACTCTCGCCGCTACCTGGACTGGTAAGGATACCCAAAGTGCCATCAGCGCAACGCAATTTACTGACCGCACGTTTCAGGAACACTCTGACGTTCGAGTACCACGCGGTCGGCAGCCAGATCAAGGCATTCAACACGTCAAAGGGCGTCAGCGTGTCCAAGAAAATCACAGACACCCGCAAGGAGCTCAACCTGACCTCCCTCTACGGCTGCGCGCCCCAGACCTGGTGCATCAGCTGCGCGCCCTTCCGGTCGGACAGCTCCATCTTCTCCCTGACGACGACGGCCCTCGCCGCCACCATCGTCACCGAGGCGAGGAAGTCGACGCCGCGAATCATCATCGCCAACACTGGCCACATCCGCTTCGACCTCGCCCAGGGCCCCTTTGACTACGACTCGTCCTTCATCGTCTCCCCCTTCACCGACGGCTTCCAGTACATCCCCGACGTCTCGTGGTCCCTCGCCCGCCAGGTCCTCAACGGTCTCGAATCCGGCAACTTCCCCTCCAAGCGGAAGCGCTCTCTCGCAGCGGTCGACGACGCGTTCGGCTTCACCCCCGTCAACCCGGGTCTGTCCGCCGTAGACAGCTGCATCGACCCGCACGTGACCAACGATCACTTTTCCAAGCGCTCGTACGCCGGCGGGCGGATCGTCCGGCGCCAGGCCGTCACGCCGGGCTACACCACCAGCGACGACTTTGGCACCGACGGCGACGACACCGTGCACACCAAGATCCCGACGTACGACTACCCCAACTTCTTCCAGGCCAACGGCAGCTTCCCCAGCAGTGGTTCCCTGGCAGATGATGACAAGATTGATCTCATCTTCCTGGACTACGTCGCCGGCTCCGTCGTCTCGGTGCTGCGCTCCCTTGGCGCGAGTTACACGTCTGCCGATGTTTCTTATTATCTGCCTAGCGTAAGTCAAATCATTGGTGGAGGGCGGCCGGGCACCCGTGGTGGAGAGCCGCTATTTACCTGGACGTGATAAGCTGACCCGTTTCGTAGACATTCACAACCAACTCCTATTTGCCCGCGTTCGCAAAGAGCGACGCGTCGTGGCAGGCAGATGTGCCCAACTGCCCAGTTGGATTGGGAATCGGCTACAACATTACGACCGCGTAAAGAGAGTGATGTTCATATAAGAGTCTGGGTACACAAGCATCCAGGGAACATAGTAATCGTGGGATTGACCTAGGTCCACCTGGGTTCATCGGGTGTCTGGCGTATGAGACCGCTACTCGTAGGATCTCTCACCTGCCACCAGTACATATATTTTTCTCTTCAATTGTACATATTAAGCACGCCGTTCAACGTATTGGACCTTTGATCATTGAATTCTGGTTATCGAGACTACACGAGGTAGCTACAGGCTGAGTGGGAAGCCTAGTCAGTACCGAGAGAGCCGTCGCCAGCAACCCTTTCTGCGCCACATAACCCAAAGGCCGGGGTCGAGAGACAGAGGCGCAAAGCGGCCAGTTTGCACATGAACCCTTTCGACTCGAGAGTCTAGACGATCAAGCGTCCGTATGGAGGGTATCAGATCCGATTTCCGAGGTTCGGAAACTAAAGCAAACAAAAGCAAAACTGTTTCTCCATCTTCTTCACGTTCAACCGACTTATATGGTATCTGCCGTTTTGAGTCCAGCAGCAAAACTCGAGACAATGAGATGCGCGGCCTTTGCCACCGTCTTTCGATCGTTGACCTCGGCACGGAACTCGGGCCCAAGCGTGATCGTGATGGCGTCCCGCTTCGTCACGCGCCTGCTCTCGACCGCCTGCGGGGAGACGTACGCCTTGGCCCTGTACGACGGCTGCCAGTTCGTCGCGGCGTCCCTCAGCAGCCTCTCCAGGTTCGCCTCGGTCATGGGCGCCCTCGACGAGGCGTCGGCGAAACCGTCCAGATACCGAAATATCCACCTCGACTGCCCTTCCTTGTTGACCAGCACACCAAAGAGCATCCAGAGGGCCCCGTCCTTTTGGCTGAGGGAGTTGGCGTGCAGCCGGACGAGCGCGCCGTGGGCCTCGACCGCGTCAAAGACGTTGGACTCTGCCGACGGGCTCGTCCTCGTCGTTGTCGTCGGTGACGGGTACAGTTTGAACTTCTTCATGGTGATGAACCCCGCCATGGAATCCGTGTAGCGCGGAATCGCCTCGATCCTCGTAAAGATCTCGACGCCGGAGCCCCGGCTGTGCATGATGAGGAGCATGATGGCGTATTCACCCAGGTGGAAGCTGGAGTCGTGGGGCTTGAGCTGGACGATGCCCAGATCGCTGCCCGGTGCCTTCGAGGGGACGAAAATGTCGTGGACTTCTACTTTGAGGCTACCTGACTTCATGAGGCTGAGATCGTGAACGTTCCATCGCAGCGAGATGGGTCGGGGGAAGTCCCGGACGACTCTATAAGTGTCCACAACGCCGGTGCTTTCTAGGGGAACGCCGATGAGGTGGCCGCCCTTTGTGCTCGCTGACAGGATGCCGATATATTCTGGCGGCCGGAAGCCGAAATTGGAAATGCGGATATCGGCCGGCCGTATCAGCGTGAGCTGTATCGACAAGCCGAAATTCGTCATGGAGTACGGCACCGGCCTGCTCGAGGCATCGTACGCGGGGTGGTAGTCCTGCCCGTTTCTAAAGTTCCGGGGCGACGGCGCCAGCATGCTGACCCACGAACCGGGGTCGCTCTCGGTCCAGGACCAGCAAAAGAGCGACTGGTCCGTCGACGTCTTGAGAATCTCCTCCTGCAGGCGCGCAAAGGCCTTGGCGCCTTCGCCGTAGAGGAGGGGCATGTTGATGTCAAAGATGCCGAGCATGCAGTACGCCAGGTCCTCTTTGCGGGTGGTCTTGCGGCACGACAGCCACGACATGCGCTCGGCGACGCTGGCGTCGGACAGGCGTTTCCTGCTCCTCGGCTGGAGATATTTACGGTCAATGTTTGTGATTCTCTGAATGACGCCCGCGAGGAGCTTGCGGGTCCCTAGGAGATGCCAGCCTCGAGTGAAGAAGAGGACTTCCCTCGGGGCCAAGAGCTCTTGGAGTGTCCAACCTCGTGTAAACCAGAGACTCTGCGAAAGGACATTGAAGCTGTCTTCTCCATCACCGGTATCGTCTGGGCAATCCCAGTTTTCAACGTCCGAAAGATAGGCGTAGCATCTCACCGCACATTCATACCAGGCAAACATGGAGTTGATGGCCTCGGACAGCTCGGCGGAACTCTCCTTGTTGATGCAGCAAGTGTCGATCCAGAGGTAGTCGAGTCCATCGTCGATCGCCTGGATCCTGGCCAAATCGATTTTCCGAAACCCCTGCCTCTCCCTCGCGACGCAGAGGTCCTCCCAGTCTTGGAAAGTCACCTCGTCGAGGCCCCACGTGTGCGAGACGATGGCGTAGCGCGGGATCTCATCGCCAAAGAACTCGGTTAGAGCCAAAGTCCGAGTGTTGATGAGGCGCATCACGCTGCAAAATCCAAAGACACTGCCGTAGAGACATGTAAGTTGGGTTAGGCTCGCTGCATAGCATCAATATCAAAGTTACGCCGCCCTAGGATTGACGTGTGCGCAATCCGAAGCTGAGAAGCGGGGACATTGTTTGACCGTTAGCAAAAAGTTGGTAGACCGACTTTATAGTGCTCTCGTTGGATGCATGTAACCTCCCTGCTAAGAATTAGTCGCAGTGACGGCTGAGCAGGGGTGGGGATGCAGCGGTGGACAGCTGGGGCCAGCTGGGATGAACCGTTGGATATTCGATGAGCAGCAAAGCCTCTCTGGAAGAGTGACTTGCATCAGACCTCCTATATTGGTGATAGTGTGTTCGAAGGCCTTGGAGGGCAAGGGGTATGGGCGCCTCTGTGGCAAGCAATTCTTTTCTGAGCTGTTTTTTTTTTGTGGTGTCTTCAGGTAACTAAAAACCGCAGTGTCGGATTCCTAACTTCCACCATTTTAGACTCTGTCGTGTTTTGTCTGCTGCTGTAGCCCAGGGGGTCGAATCTCTCAGCTATCAGTTTCTTGTCAATTCAATGTCTTGGAGTACTGAATCCACAGACAGTAGTGTCCTTAAAATCAGCCCAAGTATGTGCCTGGCGGAAATAATCTGCGAGTGGCCTGAAGAATGCCAGTAGTATTGCCACCGAAAGCCTCATCCGCTCTTTGGGGACGGCCTGTCTCGTCATCCGAAGTATCCCAGTCATTGTCGGAGCCGTCAACCGAATTCCCTTCCACGCCGCAACTCAGGCATCCCCTTGAATTGCTCGGCCCGAAGCACCCCCATACGGGACAGTCCGTGTCTTTGGCCGTGTAATGCCGCACCCGGTGAGCCTCGGACCAGGGCCCTCCTTTAAGACGCGGGTCGCCAAAGTTGTATACGACGTAGCTCCTCCCGGAGAGGCCTATCACAAAGTCATCGTCCACCGCCATGCTTCGGAATTTCTCCCCGTGATACCCGTGGACGGGCTCTCTAAACCAGAGCTTGGTGGTGTCCAGGACCAACGTCGATGATTTGTTGGCGATGCAGATTGATCTTTGGACCTGCCCCTCGCCTTCATGTCTCCATCGAGTACGATGACCTTCAAGTTGGGGTGTCTGGTTCTGAACATAATGGATAGAGTCGTTCCACAAGATACCACCGGCCTGTGCTGGATCCAAAGAACCGCTGTCCCATATTGGCCTCCGCATGCCCTTCAAAACTCTCTGTTCCAACACGAATGACTCCGTCGCCGTATTGAAATTGAGGTGTAACATGGAAAGGCTAGGCGTCTTTACAAGTTTCGAGCCGGGCAGTCCACTATCAGTAGTGACTTTGCCCCTCGAAAGTGGCCTGTATAGTATACCAATATTGCAGAGCCCGAAGGCATTCATCGGTCGGCAGTGCGTTGCAAATCGTGGAATACCCGGCGACTCAATAGTAGACTTGTACCTGAAAGTTTCGACAAAATTCATTTTTTCGAATTTGTGAACTTTTACGAGGAGGATAGAAGGGCGTGAACGAAGAGGTGTTTTCTCAGCTTCAGCCTGAGATTCACTGTCGTCATCAATATCATCATCCGTCTTTGAATAGTCTAGAACAGCATTGACAAAGTAGAGAATGTGAGGTTTCGTTGGGTGAAAAATAAAGCGATCGGGAAAGTCCACGCCTTCTTCCGTGTCTTCTTGCCATACATGGGCCAAGCCAAGCTCTTGGGCCGCAGCAAAGTCAGGAACCTCCAGCTTGACGAGGCCAGTAGACCAGTGCCAGATATGAGGCGGGGTTGCGGATTTATAGTTGGCAAAGTAGTCGCTGCTGAAGTTGACGACGAATGTATCCTTGTGGGCTTGTATGTCCACCATGCGGTCAGGGAGGGTGATACGACGGTGCTGGTCCGTTTCAAGGTTATATACGATACTAAGACCATTAATCAGGTTCGAAACAGGACCATATATCATTCCAATGAATGTTCGTCGAACAACTTACAGCGCCCTCTGGTTAAGTTGATTGGCAAGAACAAGAAGGTTTTCCGACATCGTAGAGACCATGAAGTCTCTGTCACCCTTTAGCACAAGATCGGGCGGTGATACGAGCTTCCTTGTCAAGGCTCGGATGTCGTCAATGAAGAATCTGTAGGCATCCCACTGCCAGGCGACCTTTCCATTGCAATAAGCAAAGCCAAGGTCGACCTGCAAGCCCGCTCCCCACTTGTCACTAATGAAAACTCTCGAGGGCTTGGGCTTGGGCTTAGACTTGGCCAGTTCAAGGCTGCGATCATCGAGTTTCAGGGCGGTGCAGTCCAGCAGAGGCACGTCAGCCGTCCTAACAGCGAGCCAGGAAATGAATTTGCCTTCAGTACGAGCTATGGCCTTTTGGGCGATGGGACGAAGAAGATCCCAGGCTGACGCATCCGGGGATGACGCAGTCAATCCAGGAAAGTAGGTCATTGCAATGTCTTTGACGACTGTGTGAGATGTCCATTTCTCCCGCCATGCTTTGGAAACCAGTGTGCATTTCATAGCGTCGCCTAGGCGTAGATACCGGGATATCATGGCAACTAAATCTTCTGGAAGATCTTGCATTCCTCCAAGTTTGACAGGACTCTCCCTTGTCAGTTGCCTGAGATATATTAGTTCCCATGGTGTGAGTCTCGAGACGAGATTGTTCAAGTTGGTGTGTCGGAGTAATGTATCCGGGGACCCATCGTCGTGTGTGAGCTTCGAGAATTGCTCAGCTAGGACACTATGCTGGTCCCCAAAGCTGTCCATCTTGTCGTCTGTAGAGCTTAGATTGGTTTTAGAGGATTCAGAAGGGATTTAAGTACCGAGAGATTATGTCATGGAGAAGCAAGATGGAAGAACCTTAAGGGAGAGTATGGCGGGGTGAGAGGGGAGTTGGTGACTTCAATGGAGGAAGGTTCACGTGACCTCTTTCGCCTGATGCATCACCAACATCAACCTTCTTATCGATACCAGTCGTACCCTATCTTATCATTGATTGGGAGGCTGGGCTAAGGTACGTAACAGGCGGAACCTCGGCGGTGAGCTTCGGGACCTGACTCCGATCTCGCTAAAGTAAGCGGAAGATGCCTAGCTCACCCCAGCTTTGCTGCCCGCCCTCCACTGGACAGTGGCATAGTGCAGCCTAAGCTCCGTGCTCAGCGCTGTGTCAGTGACAAACTTGCCGCCGGACAACATCCAGCAGTGTTCAAACAGCCTAAGGACCTCCACCGGGCCGCCGAGCACGACATCATTGAGGCGACCTGCTGACGTGCGAAGTCGTGACTCCAACTCCTGACTCCGACGCGGACCGTCCGTCTCCTCCCACCATCTTCGGTCATCTCCCCCAGTCAGTCCCATCCGCCATCCGCAACCCGAGACTTCTCCTCTCCCTCTCTTCCCCCCTCGCGCACGTCATGTTTGGTCTCGTCTGTTTGTGACTCGAGTCTCGCGGATCTGGCCACGTCTTCATCTGCGCAATAATGAGCAGCGATTGCCTTTCTTTACCTGTCTAATTGCTTATTCTTTCCCTTACACACCGCCGACCACGGCGCATATTTCCAGATCGCAATCGCATCTCCCATCATCTCCGAACCCGAACCTCCCACCCAGCCATCAGTCATTATGGCGCGAGCCTCAAACACACCAACCCCGTCCGATGACCGGACCCTCGTTGCGGAAGCTCACGACGACGACGATGCGTCCTCGACTATCAGCCGATTCAGCTCAAGGTCCTCCTTTGATTCTCAGACGCCACCGAGACGGAAACGACCAAGCCGCCGGGCGGCTACCACTCTTCGAGCCATCTCCTTCGTCGCCGCGTTGATTTCGGCCCTCTGCGCTGGCTCAATCACCGTCTTCTCCATGTACGGTCACATTTTCCAGGAACGGCTACATTACACCCAGTTCCAGGTCAATGGACTCGCCATTAGCAGCTCCATCGCTCTCTACCTCCCTGTTTCGTTCCTAGGCTACATCTGCGACCGCGTCGGCACCCCACCCCTCTCACTCCTGGCCGCTGTACTCTTCAGCGGCGGCTATGCCATAGCTGCGGGAACATACCGGAAGCTCGAGGCGGAAAACCTGGGTGGACTGCGCGACTATGCCGGAAGGCGCCTCGCTGGCGGTTCCGACTGGACGTACCCGCTGATGATCTTCGCCTTCGTCTGCGTGGGTGTCGGCACCTGCTCCATGTACCTCGCGGCCGTCGCGACGTGCGCCAAGAACTTTGGCAAGGGGAAACATCGTGGACTGGCCCTAGCCGTACCCATCGCCGCCTTCGGTTTGAGCGGCATGTGGCTCAGTCAGTTGGGCAGTCACGTCTTCTACGAGCGCCTGCCGGACGGCTCGGCCGGAGACTTGGATGTCTTCCACTTTTTCGTTTTCCTCGCTATTCTCCTCTTGGTAGTCGGAGTGACTGGCGCTTTCACACTCAAGGTGGTTGACGAAGAAGAGATCTTTGAGGAAGCAGTCGAGGAGCTCGAGCGGAGTGGTCTCTTGGAGCGCAGCACCTCTTTCCTGAGCGCCCGCAGCGTCGAGCGCAGCAGAGGCTACGGCGCGATCGGACAGATTGACGACGACGAAGAAGACGGCGGTGTCCTGGGGCAGGCGGAGGACGATGCCAAACTTAGAAAGAAGCTCGTCCTCAACACCGAGACCAGAAGCTTCCTCACGGACAAGACCATGTGGTGCTTCGCCGTGGGGTTCCTGTTGATGATTGGACCCGGCGAAGCCTTCATCAACAATCTCGGCACCGTGATTGGAACCCTGTATCCTCCCACCATGCACTATGTTGGACCTCCGACGTCGGCCGCGACACATGTTTCCATTGTTGGCATTACGAGCACCATTGCTCGTCTCGCCACCGGTACCTTGACCGATCTTCTGGCGCCGTCGCCGCAGACGCAGCACTTGCAGGTTTCTTCTGCGCCGCCATTCCTTCGCGGAAGACCTACCATTTCTCGCGTCGCCTTCCTGCTCTTCTTCGCCATCATCCTATCTCTGGGCCTGGTTGCCTTGGCTTCCGGCTTCATCCAGGAACACGGCGAAAGATTCTGGATCGTTTCCGGCCTGATCGGCTCCGGTTACGGTGCTGTTTTCAGTCTGACGCCCATCATCATTACGGTCATTTGGGGTGTCGAAAACTTCGCGACCAACTGGGGCATCGTCGCCATGTTCCCTGCCCTGGGATCGACCTTTTGGGGACTGGTGTACTCGGCGATATACCAATCTGGCGCTGAAAACTCTCCTCAACGTGGCGGCGGCGGGGACGTTTTCTGCTACGGCCGGCAGTGTTACGCGCCGACGTTTTGGGCCATGGCCGTCACCGTTTGGGTGGCATGTGGCATGGTCCTCTTTGCCTGGAAGGGCAAGGGTGGATGGGCGCAACGCGGCATCGTCATTTAAGTCATCACTACCACCGCCATTTGCATCATCACATCAACATTCATACTTGGGCATGTATACAGGCGTTTGGTCAAAGGCACTGGGTTGAATAAGGGGTATCATATCTACTCGCCGTGATTTTCTTTGGGTATATATTGCGTAAAGTCATAAATAGTCGGGCTAGTCCTGTTTTCCTCTCGTGATTCACTCAAAGTCGTCCCCCCCTCTCTCTCTCTCGCCGTGGTTTTTGTTCATAGCATCATGATTGCTACTAGGGTCGCAAGCCCCATGATCAGGCCCGCCATCACCGGTGTGCTCGTTCTCGCACTTGCGTTCTCTTGATCATATTCACTCAACGTCTTCATGCAAATCCACTGTGAATATAGGAGCTTGTCAAACAACACGCTCATGACGGGTGTATACCCGTTCAGCCCGCCCGTCGGCTTCGTCGTGCTCCCCTCCCCGTCGAGGATGAGCTCGACATCCGTCAGCTTCAGCATGTCGTAGGACTGCGGCAGCGTCGGATGGCAGTCATTGTTGTCGCCGGCGTCCTGCGCCAGCACCGTCGGCGCGTCGCGCCCGATGATCTCGGCGCCGGTGATGTTGACGGCACCGGCGATGAGGTTGCAGTGGAAGTCCTTGTCCGTGCGCGTCCGCTCCTCGAGATACATGGCAATCTCCTGACAGCGCGGCAGCGTCTCGTCCTTTGCGTGGGCGGCGCGGAAGTCGTCTACGTAGCCCGTGATCTCGTCCATGCACGACTGCTGCAGCCAGGAGCTGCAGTCTGTGGTGTCGAGGTCGGGGACCTCGTGCGGGGTGGGCAAGGTCTGGAACATGTGCTGGAAGATGAGGGCGCAGCCCTTTGGGTAGCGGTCCGAGGAGAGGTTGAGGCCGGCGGGGGCGCCGAGGTAGTAGGACTGGGTGTAGAGCTGCTTCTTCAACCAGTTGGGGGAGTTTGCGGGGGCGGGGCTGTTGGCCAGGGTGGCGACGGTGAGGGAGAGCTTGCGGATGTCGGTGGTGTTGTCGTCGTCGATGGGGATGTCGAGGACCTCGGGGGCGATGCCGACGCGGCGGAGGACGGAGCCGCCGAGGGTGCAGTTGGATTCACCGACGAGGTCGTCGGCGGCGCCGGCCGGGCAGGCGACGTCGGCGCAGCCTTTTAGGGAGACCTCGGTCAGGATGGGGACCGTCGCGAGGGCGGGCCCCGTGAGGAGGGACGTCCCCATGAGACTCAGGGACGAGAGCCTCATGCTAGGGGGTGCGTATCCGCAGGCAGGGGAGGGGGAAACGGACCGACGGACGGACGAAACGGGTTGTCCAACTTGTTCGTCGGTTCACGGCCGGCAAGGTAAATTTGGTAAAGGGGACCCAGACACGGGAAACCGGCAAGAGGCCACGCAGGGCCAAGACAAAGGCAAAGGGAGACCCAAGACCCAGCCGAAGAGGTATAAAGGCTGGGGGAGCCGGGGCGCAACAATGGCAACGCGGTGCGCCGGGTTTGCTCTGCCTGTTCGTCGCTCGATGCTGCGGGCTGGGAGTGAGGTGGTTCGTCTGGCACGGAAGTACGGCAACGACGGGTGAGATTCTGATCTCGGCGCCGTGTGTTCGCGGGCGGGTTGTGGATTTGACGGGAAACGCTTACTGGTGTTCTCTGTCCTAACCGGGGTCGCGGCGGGCGGTGCGGTACAGTATGTGTGTGTGCGTATGCTGTTGGCTTGCCGACCTATGCGGACGGAGGTTTTCTGGTTTGTCAAGGCGATGGAGAAAAATGGGCGGGTTGCCGATGGGTGATGGTGGTGATGGTAGGTAATGAAGATATCGCCGACACCTTTGTCGCCGGCTTCATCCTTCGACCCGAGGGCGGCTGTTCTTTTCTTGGTTTTGATCTTTGGAGAGTGAGGATTTTCCTGGGCACACCGCCGAGAAAAGAGGACGCGAACACGGAGGAGAGAGTGAGCGGGGGTGAAAAGGCGCGGCACTACACTATACACAAACACACACACACCATAAGGCAAGGTACGTACGGTACTACGGATACTGATCACAGATTACATCTATGAGCACAAAAAAAAAAAAAAAGAGAGCGAGTGAAATCGGGGGGGGGCGGCACCATGCAACGGGCGAGAAAGTCGCGTGGTGCGAGGTGATAGGCGCCCAATGGTGGTTTCTTTTCCTTGGCATTGGTCTTGGCACACTCACCGATTGTTCTTCGCGCTGGCTTATCTAAGTCTACCAATGCTCAGCTCTCCGTTTCTCGGAACTTGGAAGGATTCGATTCCCCATGTGTTGTTTGAGAGCGTGATGCCATGATGGGAGTAAGTGCGTGAGATGCTCAGTAGAGTTCGATGAGATGAGATGGCAGGCGAGGCACTCGGACAAGTGTCATTAATGAAGGGTTCTCGAGCTATAAGTGATTAAGGTACTGAAAGTTTTGGTCGAAGAAAAGTACCTTAACAATGGGAGGGGGGATGCACGTGGAGTCGGTGGATGACTAACCAAGCTCTACGTCCGATCTAAATTCCGGATAAGCTTAAACTTCGGCTTCTGTTGCTCACCTAAAATACCTAGAAAGGTAAGGTACGACCTCTCTCACCACCCACTCCCTCATTTATCCAACATTCCTCACGCGTAGTTCTTAATTTTGTGGCTCACAAGGCCCATTCTCCCTTCACTCGTCAATCAGACACACTGAAACTCGGTGAGGGGATTGGCCTCGCCAATCAACCGAGTAAATCACAGGCGCTGCTGCATTTGAGGAATTGAGGCTGTGCTGGATGCCTGGTTGCCCTACGTGAACCTGTCCAATCTTGATGGCCCGAGATGTCCCGTCAAGCGTCGAGTCCTACGCAAACGCGCAGATACGCAAGAAAAAAGTGATGCGGCATGCGTTAGCGAATCTGGCATTGGCGCACTTTGATGCTGGATAGCCTTGTTTTCCATGGAAAGTGCGACAATTTTTCGTCTTTATAAAGCTGTTGCTCCCGCCCTCTGCCGGAGTCTCCCACCAACTCATCGAAGCCGCTCATAGCCTCGTCGATTTATCAGACTACACCCGTCAGCATACCATAAACATACCAATTACTTGAGCATGGTCGAGACTACTGCCGAAGATGAAACCTCCATTTTCCCGCCGAATGTGCCTCAGCCTGACATCTCGGAGTCCGCTATGCCTCTTAAACAGCTGCTAGAAGCTGCCATGTGTCGCTCCTTCAACCTCAATGGGAATGCTTCCAAAGAATTCCTCCCCGAGCCTAACATTGGCCGGATCCTTACCACGGAGTCGGTTCGGAATGCTCTACAGACTTCTTGCCTTGGCATGCCCAACTTCATGTGCGGTATCTATGCTTCTGCAATCTTCAGTCAGAAGAAGACGTACACCAAGATTTTTGCCATTCTGGTCTTGATCGGTCGAGTCGATGCACTCCCAGGATTCATACAGAACTCTCTCGGCGACGAGCAATTGCCCTTGGCGTTTACTTCCCCTCCGGTAGAAAAGACCACCACCTTAGTGCGGTCCACGACTACCCCGTCCTGTTTCGATCTATCATTGGTCGGGTTCAGTCACTACGAAACTTTACTCTTCGAGGAGACGCAGTGGAAATTTCTGGCGCCTGTATTTGCGCGACGAGATCTCGACGGCGAGCCCCGCCAGTTCCCGGCGGGTACTGTCCTCCCTTTCGTCATGCCGGGCTCCTCTGATGGGGTGCGGACTCTTCGCAACGGTCCGAGCAACAATTCTCACATATACCACGCCCATGTTCACGACGGACATCACGACTTTCCCGTCTCCGGGGTCGCAGTCAAGGAGCTCCTCCACGCGGGGTCGGAAGACTATCGGCGTGAGGTAGAAGCCCTCAAGACCTTTGGCGGCCGAGACCAGCCTCATGTCATTGAGCTCCTTGCCACTTTCAAGCGTGGGAAAACCTACTATCTGGTATTCCCCTGGGCCGAAACCGATCTTCACGGCCTCTTCGCTGGCCAGCCATCTTCTATGCCTTGTGACACGGGCAGTACCACAAAGGTTACGACATTCACCGCGAAGCAGATGCTTGGCGTGGCCGAGGCCCTGAAGGCAATCCATTACTGCCGGCTGAAGAAGCGTCCCAACAAAGAATGCCATGAATCACCTGTGAGGACCGTTCGTGGCTATCATGGGGACATCAAACCGGAAAATATTCTCGTCGAGAACGGACAGTGGAAGCTCGCCGACTTTGGCCTATCCCGTATTGGTAGCGGGACGGACCATTCGCTGGGAGATAGGCCTGCAGGCTGTTCGCCGACGTACCGCGCTCCGGAGCACGATGTGGGCGCATTTGACGGCCAAAAGGCAGACATCTGGTCACTCGGCTGCGTCATGAGCGTAGCAGCTACTTGGATGACACTGGGACGCAAAGGGGTCAAAACATTCAGCGCCAATCGTCAGACAAAGGCCGATGGACGGCTCGACAACTCCTTTTTCGAGGTTTCCAAAGACCAGGCGAAGGGGACTCGAATCAAACTCAAGGATGCCGTCTCTCACGTGAGTAGTAACGGATACTGAAATGTTCGACATCAGTTGTACGTATGCTAATGCGGTCTGAGCAGTGGATCAGCAGGCTTCGTCGAGCCCCGACAGCGAGCACATTTACACGCGACCTACTGGATCTGATTCGGGACGAAATGCTGGAAGTCGACGGGTCCAAGCGGATAACCAGCGCCGACGTCGTATCCAGGCTCGAGAAGATGTACGAAAAGTGCGCCGATGACCCTGGCTATACAAAGCCAGGACCTTGTGGAGGCATGTCAAGTTGGAACTGCCGAAGCGCGCTTTTGAGGGGATCCTCGCCTCACGAAGCTCGGTCTCTCAGTGTGAACATGGTACAAATACCAAGTCCAAAACGACAGAATCGAACATTGCAGACTGTTCAACCTCCGCTCGCTCCCTGGAGTCCCTGCTACTCAACTACTGGGTTTGGTGACTGGGTTGACGCAACGTCTGGTGTGCCATCGTCAAGCTCATTGTCGGAGTCATTCCCTCCGGTTCAAGCTCATTACGACAGCTCCATGAATCAGCCAGTCCATGTCTTTGGAGACATGGCCTTGTTAGCCTCACGAGACAAGGGTGAACTCACGTCTCCGAACATAGAAGAAAATCTACCCGCTTTCGAGAATTCCTCGACGTCTCGCCTCACTGTCCCTCAAAGCACCAGGGAGAAAAAGCGGCGTCGTGGTCCTACAAGCGAGCAGGCTGGCCGTAAACGGCAGAGGTCGCAGAAACCGCTGACATGGAGTGCTGCATCTTCACCAGGGGCGGCCGAGTCATGCTCCGAGTCTCCTACGAGTGCCCAGAGGGTAGAGCGACTATTTGCTTGCCCCTATTTCAAATACAACCCGGTAAAGTATGGCGTGAAGGAATGGAACTCCTGTGGAGGTCTTGGCTGGGAGATTCCCAGACTCAAGTAAGTTCAGCGTCGGCCTCATGTTTCGTCTAACCTGGTCAGGACGTACGTGATGGCACCGGCTAATACCCTATACTAGGGAACATCTCCGTCGTAAGCATTACGCTGCTGGATACAGATGTAGCAGGTGTCTGCAGCGGCTACCAACGGCGACAGAACTGAATGATCACTACAAGGCTAAAGTCCCATGCCTTAGTCGGAATGACGTGGTTGATGACAAGATGGACGACGCCCAATTGAGCTCATGTCAAGCCCAGATGCGCGGCATGCCGGGTGCCTACAAATGGGGTGAGATCTACAAGATTCTTTTTGGGTCGACATCCCCAGAGGAAATTCCTTCTCCATGTACGTGTTCTTCAAAAACCCGGGCCGAGGCTGGCGTGGAGAAGCCTAATACGAATGGAGAGCTGACTTGTTAGATCGCGACGAGCTTGAAAGGTTCCGCGAGTTTCTGGAGTCGCAGAAACAGCATGGAATTTACGACAACGTCCAGTTGGAGATTGACATATGCCTAAAGTGGGTTCACGAATTCCAGAACCCAATGTCTTTCACACAGTCATCGACGTATCTATCTGAAGCGCCGTCGATGACAGGTGGTTGGTCCAATGATTCAACACTATCCTTTGATGCAATATCGACGCAAGTTGAAGCGGAGCGGGTTCAATATGAGTACAACCGAGCGACTGATTTCAACTGTCAAGGTCAGCAGATCTGAATCATGAGACAAGATGCTGCAGTGGATGGAAATCAATTTCTTGTTCATGGTTGTTGCGAATCAGTTTATGGGGACTTTACCACGGGGTCTTGATGTTAAGCAGAACCCCGAGCTACTAGCCGGAGTAACGGACTCTGGGCATTTGTTATTCATTAGAAGAAGCTGCTAGATCCGGTTATTGAGATATTGAGATACATACCCCAAGCCTTGTCACGCATTGTCCGACGTTAAAGAAATTCCACATCGAGATCAGATGTTTTGACAAAAAAATCAATCCGACAATGGTTTTCAGGTAAGCACAATTGGATCTTCCTCTGTAGATCCATAGGGCTATATCATTCTTGTGTCGTCTCCTGGTTGCGCCTGAGAAAAGTTCGGCTGCATCCGAAAAGAGATTCATGTGATTTGTTCTTGTGATTGAGATTTCTAATCCATGTCATGCATGTGTCGATGCCGGGCCCGTCTACGTCAACTCTTGAGACGAGATGGTCAATCAAGGAAAAGTAACACGTGCAAAGTACGGCATGGGCATAAAAATCCAAACCGGCGACAAGCAGGGAGGAACCCAAAGACGATAATTAATGCCACCTCAATAAGATTTTACTAATAAGGTAGACTAAATACAAAATTCCGTGAAGCCAAAACACCCAACTCAATCGCATTCCCGGGTCCATACACGCAACAAGAATTACAAGAGAGTTCCGAAAGGAAGAGAAGCGAAGGCGATACATAGGGCGTGGTCGTCTAGCAGCTGCAACCACAAGACTTGCAACCCCGGCCGCATGCGAGATCATCCATATTCGCGCAATCAGACTTTGTATCGCACTTCTTCCAAGATCCGTAGCCTTTATTGCGGGCGGTCCAGCACCACCGCCCGTCGCCGTCGCAAGCCTTGTAGCAGTAGCCCCCCGAACAACCATAGTCTCCGGGATCGACATCCCAGCAGTTGCCCCAGCCGCCGTGGTGCCAGCCCCAGCCCCAGTGGCTCACGGTGGAGTTTCCTTCCTTGCCGTCAACGTCCTCAATAGAGGACGAAGCGGGGGAGGGAGTGGGGGTGGGGGAGGCCTGGGGACGGGGTCCGACGGCATGTTCGGGTCGAGGGTCCGGGCCCAGGGGGTGCTCCTGGCAAGCGCGGATCTGGGCGGGATCCACGCCACCGGCGGCGTCGAGAGATGCGGCGGTATAAGCCATCACGCCGAGGTTTCCGCACTTTTCGGCGGCGGTGGCTGGTGCCACACCGGCGAGGATGGGGGTGGCAAAGAGGAAAAGTTGAACGGGCTTCATTGTAACGAAGCAGATAGCTAGGTAGATGATCCTGCGTTTCTCAGGATTGAGTTTTCGGGGAACCCGGGTACGGGGAGATCAGGAGCCCAGCCACGTGGATAAAGTTTGGACTGACGGGAAATTCGGAAATTTAAAAAGCTTATTTTGAATGATAAAACAAGGTACAGTGATCAGTATGTATGTGTGTGTGTGTGTGTGTGTGTGTGAGGGATCTTTGGCTTATCAGGTGGACGAAGAGATGTGATGGATGCGTTCTCATCAGTTGATTTTGAGAAGGGAATTGCCAAATTTTATACTTGGACTTCACACACCCACTTCCAACCAATAATGACCTATGTCCGTTGGCTTTCATCCGTCCCTGATTTACTGGTCTCGATGAGGCTAGAACTCCCGTCACCTCCGTGGAAAGCAAGTTCATTATGCGAACACGAACTATGGAAATGCGGACTCGGCGGAGTCACGACGGCCGGCACGGCTTCCTTTCCCTTTTCACCGGGCCGAGGCTCAACTGACACAACCAGTTCCAGTGCTTTCGGCTTTCCTGGAAAGCCCGTCTCAGTCATCGACATGGCAAATTTACGTCATTGAGAATAATGGTGACGGGAAAAGTCTAATATCGAGAATAACGTACCCGCGCACATAGAAGACCATCATAGGCTGCTGATGTGAGTTCTGAGGCATGATTCTGATTCAGGCAAAGTGATAAGCGCCAACGTCATTGTTGAAAGTCCGCCGACAACTGATGTCATAACTTTTAAGGAAGCATCGCTTGTATCTCGGCATCCTTGAACTTGAAGCTCGGCACTCAGTATCTTGCACACTTTCCGAGACTTTGCCGGTGGCCGTTTCTAGCTGATGGCATGCCATCTCATCAATCATCATCGACTTCGAGACGCACATGTGATAGTAATCATTGAAGTATACCTGATACTTTATGTTATTGACGTGCAGTATGGCGGTCGCGCGTTTTTCAACATCTCTGTTCACTTGCTAGCAGATCATCCAACTGTAGCTGGAGACCGCCTCACTTCAATACTTCCTCTCGAAATGACATTACCGTATCCTATTTCGTCGATTGATATCATAGACCTTGTGATGCATCGTCGACTTCATTGTGCAGGTTTGGAATAGACTTTATGGCAACAAAGTAGCATGATGCTCCCATCTATGAAGGAGAATTCAGACTTGTCGTTCCGTGTGATCAGAACAAGCTTAAATCCTTCAACTAGGATGTTCCGTCTCAATCCTTGCCTCATATGGCCGCTACATCAACAGACAGAAGTAGAAATGCCGCTTGTCCGGCTTAAGAGCCCCGATCGGCAATGTACATCAGGTCTCGGCACCTTTCCGAGAAATGGCGTGCTTAATATGGCGTCGAAAGAAACCAGCATCCTCACCTGCGTACTTGCTAGGATGGCTTCTTTCACCTACCAGGCCACCTACTGGCTAGGATCCAGTAAGCATTATTTGAGCCTCCATACTGACCATTCGGCAAGGAAGAACTAGGAGTGCATAGAATACCAAATTATCTTCTTCCATGCTACTTAAGATGAGGGCCGGAACGCAACGGAGACAAAATAAAGTTACTTTGGGCATGGTCACATGAAATTTGCAGGTCTCTCAGACTACAAAAGTCCTTTGCTATACAGTAGGTCGTTTTTCACCAGCGTACCCGAGCTGAGATGTGAGCAGAACATAATTGTGAGCTCATTATTTACCAGTTTTTGTATCTCAATCCACTATTCGACCCGAAGTTTGTCGCAAAAACGACGCCGTTAATTGCGGGCAAAAATTAACGCTATGTACACTATTGTGACAATTTTGTACCTTGAAAACTCAAGAATGTCAGCCTTAGCTAGATGAAAGTGGCGAATAATTTGCGTCAACAACATTAAAATATGTAAATTCGCTGAGATTTATTTATCTACCTGTACCACAAAGGTGTATCTGGCGTTAATTGCGGGTGGCAATTAACGGCGTCGTTTTTTCGACAACCAACTATTCAAATAATGGAAGAATAAATACATATCTACTATTCATGGCTGAAAATATATTGATCTGTAGTCGATGAATTGTTGTTAGGCAAAACTCATCTTTCGGTTATCTCGGGACAAATCATACATAGAAGCCTGAGATAAGCCCTCCACCTGCTCGTATCGCATGTTTCGACGCCACTCTGCTTCAGGTATCCTGATTGGAGACGAACGCAACCAATACTTGCCTATCATAGCTCTTCGAGTGAGATACTGTTGCATAAGAGGGACACAATCTGAATAGATATAGTGGTTTGATTTGCCGTTTCGCCATTTCTCAACGTTGGCGAATGAAATTTTATTAAGGAGTGGCCATTTCGCGAAACCGCTGTGGCACAATTTAGCCAGCCTGCAAATGCCTAGCGTCCGTGGCAGACACGAGCTGCGACTTGGCTGCAGTTCCGTATGTTTTCACACATGGGATCACCAGAATTCCTCGTCAGCTGCGTTAAGGCTGTTTAAGCCTCCAAATCTCCTATCCCAGGTAGGCAGTGTGGCAGGCTAGTCTCAAGGGCAAGCTAGCATCACTCCCCTTCGCTTTTCGTGACTTATATATAGGTCGCTCCAATCTTGGTTGGCAGCGTATGAAATTCTTATGCTCATCATCGTATACCAAAACATCTTCTTCAAATCAATATAGGGAAATAAGCCAAAATATGAATATGTTTGATCTTGTATCTCTTTCCTACTTCGCCATCTTAGCATATTGTGTCAACGCCCTATCATCTTGGCCACCAGAGGCGCCAATGAACGCGACCTGCAATGTTGAGGGTAGCATTAAACCCGGATATGGAAATTACGGCCTTGGAGTTGATAGCGACAACGCATGCAAGGGTTGGGAGCTATGCACCGACGCTCGCCGGCCACCCCGCTGCCAGTCCTTTTCATGGGAGCCGAGCGCGAACGAGTGCAGGCTATTTGAGGTTTCAGCGGAAGCCGGAGTTGATGGAGAGGTTGGCACAGGTATCACATTCTACAACAGGGATTGCTTCGTATACAACCCGCGACCTGGCATGAATACCAAGGACTAGAGACGCACGTACGACTCAAATGTCTTCATTTTTCTGACTTCTTTGCTCATGTTTCTCTCCTTGCAAGATTCAATAGTTCTTCGTGTGTTTATCGTGTCAATACTCCAATGCAAAACCCTTTTAGACAGCGGGAAGCTCTACTGAACAGAGCCTTGCTTCTGGATCTTCAGTGCTCACTGAAGCCATTTTTCACCTAATTCCAGCTGCTTTCCGCCTATTACAATCTCAGACGGCTTTGCGTCCACAACTATGCCAATCATACGAACCCATTCATCAGTTCTGTTCGCCCAGCTATGACAAAAAATAACGGATTAGCTCTAATGTTCAGAAATGGTATTCATTTGGCTCTAGGGACGAGAGTAGTACGTACGCGTGCATAGCCCCGCGTTGAACGGCAACATCTCCTGGACGAAGCAGACTTTCAATAGTGTCTTTATAGTCGGCCTTATTGTTTTCGGCGCTGAAAGCAGTCTTGGGGGTTATAAGGGTGCGTGTTCCCTGGCTGACGGCAACGTAGTCGACTGACACGGTCCGATGCTGAAGAGAATTGAGTCAGAATTGGAGGTAAATCCAAGCCATGACTTGTATCGAAAGTATTTAAGGGCCAAACAATCGGTATAAAGAACCCGACAGTTTCTACGTACCATCGGAGTTGTATATCCTGGGGCCAAGTCCAAAAAGTAAAGATTCACGCCCCCAGGCAAAACAATGCCACTTCCAGGCACATCAGCAAAAGCTGGGAGACCTCTGCAAGGAATCAATATCAACTCATTCGATTCTGGGAGCCTGACATTACGCACAATCCCTCGTTACTCGCAGGGACCGCAGAGACAGTACCGATCTTGGTCCTCTGCAGAAGACCGTCGAAGAGGTTTTCTGTCTCCAAGTTGTTGGTTACTACCTCTACCCCGGGTTCAGTATTGATGTTGCCATCGATCGAGTTGAGATGAAGATTCGACAAGACGATGCGTCGGCGGGGCACTGAATCTGTCATGTTGAGAACAAAACTATTACTGTATTGTCTTTGAGTGTGACTAGGCAAGCTCAGAATAGCAAGTAATACTTGACTGGTTCGATTCTAGCAGTAATATCACAGTGATAATTCTAGCAAGTCAAACCTTATGTAGCCAAAGTCCATGTCGAAGACGGGTTGGAAAGTCCGGGACTAACGCTGTCGGCGCCGGGCAGAGCGAATTTGTCACGGCGCGACATGCCGGTCAGGTGGGGTCGAATAATCACTTCTAAAAAGGCAGCCCTTGGGACTACACGAGTCTACGTCATCTTTGTCAGCGCTCCCTGAATTTAGTGCTTACTTTCGCCGCCGGCTCCGAAAACAATGCACAATCAATTGTCTTACAACTGGTATATATTAGGCAAGCTGAAAAATAAAGCTGTCGGCGCCGAGTTGATTGCTCACATTGGGCAACTCCACACAACACCAATACAGAATCGCAGTGTGGCTAGCTCGGTCCATATTAAGAGATCTTACCAAACGTTCATTGAGACATTTTCTCACAGCCGAACCCGTCCCGCTCAGTTGCCTAAGTTTTCTCATCTCAGGACTTCAACGCACCTGCGCCAACTTGGCAGCACGCAATTCGCTAGTTTGGTCAATTTTCGCCTGAAATGATCGTAAGCTTAAAAAAAGGTTTTTCCTATGGGTTGTCTGAGGTAACTGACAGAGAAACTCTCGAACAACGATTAAAAACAATAAATCGACAGCAAGGCGCCGAGCGTGCTGCTGTTACTCAACGACAGCCGGTATCTTCTTTGGTGATACATAAGGGACAATATCCACGCGAATCAATGTCATCGACGACCTTCTCACCGTACAAACATCTGGATTCAGGCAATTCTGGTATACGGAGAGTTGCTCAGCATATGTTCATTCACCTCGTGAACCGCATGGGCAGCGTGCTAGGTATGTCCAGATAGCCGAGCCTGCAAACCCAACATCAAGTCCGATTCCTATCGTTCGCCTCCACACAAATGTAACTTCTTTTTTTATAGTCCAAGCAAGATCGTATTGATTTTGAGGTGACCATGAGCAACAATTTACACCATTCTTTGTAGGTATACCCAGTTCGATGTCGAGATACCCACAGTAGGTGAGATTCATTTCAATCGTCCGTCAACCCCAAGAACTTGAAATTGCAAGGACTTGCTTAGCCAATTTTCATGTTTCTCCCGAGTAGACCTAAGAAAATTTTGCTCTCCGCGTTGAAATTTTCAAACCAAGTACCTTGCTGAATATGCTCCCACCCTCTGATATGTTCAAAGCGGGCATGGGAAGTGGGAGGCCCAACGAGCAGGGATGTTCACCTCACCCACCGCTGGGAACCAGAACTTCAAGCAAACGGTATGAGGTGGGCCGCAAATAGTCCGTTCTAGCCCGAGTTGTCTTTGCAGCTTCAAAATGTAGGTAGCAGCAAGGCGTCAGCAAGATAGACGCCGGTTCATTTAGGAGACAGATGGGTTGTGCAGCGACGTGGGGATAGCTCGCTGTGGCTCTGCCTCCATGCATCCACCGAGAAGATTACAGAGTATGTTCTTGAGAGACACCGGGCTCTGGATGTCGTTGGTGATCGCCAAGTAAGCACTGCATCATCACTTGTGCATTGAAGATCTGCGGCTTCACTCCCAACAAAAACAAATGTTGCAGAATAGACAGACATATGATCACCAACATGTGGACGTGTATACATTTGAATGTAGTGGGCTGGCCTCTTTGTGTGATAATACACGCCTTTGCTGACTAGGTAGAGTGCACAAAACAGAGGATGACTGAGCGAACATGGGTGGCGGCTATGTATCCTCCCCTCACATTTGATTGGCTTTCAATTAAACTTCTGCTATCAGCGAAGGTTCAGAAACTCCCCGAGTCTGCATAAACCTTCATGGTGGTTGTTGCGAAGAGGGAGAGTTTCAAATGACTTGGGCCGAGTCAGTCCAAGAAATTTTGTACAGCCTGTACAGCCGATGCTCCCTGATGGGAATCTGTACCCTTTGCTTGAATCTCTAACAACATGAATTTTCTCCCATCTGACAAGGCTAGCCAGCCAATTTTGGTATGGCGTTCAACAGCATGGTAAAGTCAGACACGCTTTCTGGGAACCAGCATGCTACTTGATGGCACGAAGATAGAAATTAATATGTGGTAAATAACCGGGCATTGATAACAAATTTGAAATTGAACACGAATGAACGATAAGAGCTCCAGGACTACCAAGCTTCATATGCTCGTTGATGGCTCTGTCCACCAAATTGGCTGGTTCTTTCCTCGGTGATGACCTCAACCTCGTTCGATACCACGATACCATTCGGCAGCTTCCCTGATGTGGGCGTTAAAAAGCCTTCTAGATTTTGCATTTGAACGTTGCTCATTATGCGCTCTTTGCTTTCGGTAAAAGTCACAATGGAGGCGACAGGGTTTGCGCCAGGAGGGCCAGTGCGACGGATAGAATCTCCGTGGCTGACTCCGATAGTTCGGAAGCCGCTTGTTGTCCTGTAGACCTTTTTGGGATTCTTCGTTGAGCGTAAGAAATTGGGCCAAAGAGGCTTGACATGGGTTCTGATGAGTGGGAAGATCATGGGAAGGTTTGTAGTGACGGTTGCGACGAAGATTTCCCGAGTGCCCCAACTGCCGGCAAGTTGGGCACCATTGACGGGATCCTAGGCCAGTGTTAGTAAACAGATAAATAGTTCAAAGAGAACATGAATAGTTCTGGAGTTCTGAAATGTACCACGAAGACGAAGATGCTCTTGAGCGTGGCACAGACCAGGACGAAAATGCCTGCGCCGAGCACGATTGTCGACGCGATCTTTTTAACAAGCCGCAAAGTAGTCCCCCACAGTAGAGGAATAGGGATCAATATAAGGTAGATATCGGTCAAGGCATTTGTAGCGAAGGATGTCCAGATTATCGGTAACGAGACGGCAGCTTGACAGGAATCTAGAAGAAAACTGATCAGCATGGGCTGCACTTCAAGCTTTTGACTTTGGAAACCTACTGCCGGGGTCCGGGCTTATTTGCCAATACTTGCTGACCGGTCTGCAAGACAAGAAAACCGCCCCAAGAGAGGCGATGAATGTCCCAATCACAAGGCCGAAACCGATCAAGATACGCATGCGGTATCGACGACCTAGACCTTCCTGCGTGCTTGTGTTAGTCACCAGCTACGATACGATATGACTAGGTAGTAGGGGTAGGTACCGTGAGCCGAAGGTAGAAGACCAACATCGCGAGCTTCAGCTGCCAGATGAGTACCCAATACGTGGTCCACCCGGCAATCTGGATCTTCGACCCGGTGACTCTATTTCTCGTCTCAATGAATGGCTTCAGGTATTGAGTTCATTGCAAGCCTACCTTAGTTGATATTCCGGATCACTAGTGGACAGTGCTGCTCGCTCTGAATCTGTCATGCCATTGTTGGCGAGGCCGTTGGCAATGTTGCCAATAGAGTAGGCCAGGGTTGACAGGACTGTGTAGAATAGCTACACAGATTGACTTCAGCGACATGCCCTTGGTGCCTTGCGCTGTCTTGGTAGACCACATACGATTGCTCCCCATACGAGGTAATCATCAGCCCGGAAATTTCGAAACCCCACGGCTTTGGCTCTGGCGTACGTCCTGAGGACAGTCACAGCGACTCCGATTCCGTACAGCGTCCAAACTTCGATTGTGAACTGTTGATTTGATTCGGTGGCAGCTGCTGCCGTTGCCTGTGCAGCAAGGTCTGTAGGCTCGCTGGTCGACATTGGTAGATTATATCGCAGTTGAGAGAGTATGGGTTCTGAATTCGCCCGATGACTATGGAAATAACCAAGTGGGAAGGCAAGGTAGACCGATAGAGTGAGGAGTGCCATTCGTACGAGTATTATAACCCTGGAATGCTGGAAGGAGCATGTAGATGTTTGAGTCAGGGTCTACGATCCAACACTAGTGTAAGGGAACTAGACCATAGATCATTGGAAACACAGAAACAGGCTTGAACGCGGCAAGTTGGAGCGCAGCGTCCCAACTGATGCAACCCATGGTGGAGGAGACTTTTCCCCTACTATCAGCACGGCGACTTTGGATGAGTTTACAAGGACCCATCCGACTTTGCCGGTTGCATACCTCCATCTCCAATCTGTCACAGCGCAAACCAAGCTCCGTGTCTGGGAAGCACCAAGACAAACCATACCTACTACCGTTATAAGGGTTCGAGTGTCTATGAACATGTTCGTCGGATGAAGCCCGCATCTGATGAGCAGGACGCGGGGTTACCACAACGGTGGTGGCTCAGGATGATGCTACACTCGCTCATCGTCGGGCTTGCGGTTGTCTCCCTCGCCTTACCCCTGGCAGTCCAAGTTGTCTCGGTAATTCTGGCTCTTTGCAGGGTTCTAGGTGGAAGGATTTGTGGGCTCATAGGTAAGGATACCTACAATGTATACTTTAAGAATTGGGCCCCCGTCCGCTCCATCGGCACGCTTCGATCCGCAGGCCCCCTAACATCAGCTCAGATTAAATATGATAATCACACGCAGCCTCGCAGCCATGTTCTGGGTCGACGTAGCCTCCGCTCTCGCGCTTGTCCAGCGTTCAGTTGACGCGGCTTTCCTCCGCTCGTCAAGCTCCTAGATCATAATGGCGGAATATGATGCATGCCTACCCCATGACTCGAAATGAACAGCTCCCCTGAGCCCTGTAGGAGGGCCCAAGTGGAACGCAGGTGCTTCCCTCGGCGTAGAGCGCCCACACTCTCAATACTTTTCTTTACGATAATTAAGGTAATGAGGATACCTCGGGTGATGTGGGGAGGGGGCGGGGGGAGTTGCGAACACTAGACGTAAATGGCTAGGATTTGCAGACGATACTGCAGTTGAGAGGGCCCGGCCCCAGAAACGGGCAGCTGAATACTTCGGTCGCGGTGCTCCATATCAGACGGTCAAGCCCGAGAGTACTTCCAGAAGGGGAAGAAGATGATGGAAGACCTTACATGAGTCCAAGAGGATGGTTGACAGGTCAAAGCGGCCCGAGAGACCAAAAGAAAAAAAAACTTTTTAGAAGTCCTGTAGCAAAGGGGCACAGTGAGGTACAGACTAGGGGAAAAACTCCGGCCTCACGTTCAACCAACTTTCCAGGATCAATTGGACCCAGTGCAAACGCGCTCCGAGTAGCAATGTCCTTACTGAAGAAAGGCACTCCACAACAGAAGATAACGCCCTCCCAAAGGGTTGGCACGAGGGATGTTTTTGGCTGCGCTGTACCCAGTGCCGCACAGCCGAGGATTCAGAGGACCTGGAGTTCTATGCAGCAGCAATGAAGGGTAAGTTATGGGAAGGGGTGGGGGGTTGAGAGTGGGATACATTGCTGGGCTACGTAGAGGTGTAGCAGATGGGTCAAATTCGAATTTTTGTCTCTGAATTGACTTGACTTTGCGCTAAGAAGCCGGCAGCCGTTGGACTCGTTGGTACACAGGTGTCCCATGGTACGGAAACAGGCCGCAGGATTTGCAAACACTGGCCGGAACTATTCCACTATTCCTCCTTGAAGTAACCTGGAACTTTAGGGGTCCGCTGAGGAATCTGTGCTGATTGGAAGTTTGGTAAACGAATGTAACACACTTACAAATGAACACACACAGAGATACGTGGGCTGAGAGGGGGGGCATGTCGAGGCATCTCACTCACATGGGTGTAAGGAAAGACGTCTCGCAGAGAACACGCACGGTTAATTCCATCTCTCAGAAAACGCAATCATCTGGCCAATTCGGCATCGTGTCCCCCAAGATACGCAGAATACGGCGACAGATTTCGACGAGGGTTGCGAGGAGCTTTCGCCACCTTTGATCAACTTGGTTGGCGGCTCCGTGGTCGAAAAAAGCAGGGGCGCATGCATAGGGGCACCGCGGGCAAGGAGCCGAAATTAAGAATGCAGTCAGCGTTGCGCCCGGTAAACTTGGCTTATAGAACCCATCACTCCTCCCTTGTACAACAAATAATGGTGGAAGCGCTGCTTGTCGACGGATTGACTGTTTGGAACTAGGCGCACTTAACTATGAGGGGTCTGTTCGTTTACTCCCACCACATTCGGTTCGAACTCTTTTGACATCTACATTACAGCTTTTGTGTCACCTGTTGCATCCTTGGGTTTTTCGAGAGTTTATCTACTGCCAATCCGGCTCCCTCTTCTGCCACCCCCCTGCTGCCGAGATGCATCGATTCAAGATGGAGGTCCTTACAGCCATTGCTACATGGGCAATCACCTCTGCAAGCCTAAACGTTCCTGTCGCGCGTCAGCTCCTTGGAGGCATCTGCCCAAGAGACACGGCCGAGCTCGGTGACAGGCTGTCACCTGCTGCAAAGGTTTACCAGCCGGGCACCGTTGAGTTTACAAACGCATCGATCCGGTGGTCTAATCTCCACGCACCCAAGCCAAACCTCGTCGTGATTCCTGGGACTGAGAACGATGTTGCAGAAACGGTTAGTTACTGACTCTAGCTTCGTCCGAACGTAAAAGCTACGAAGCAGGTTGCTCACTAGCTTGCGTGCAGGTCAAGTTCGCCAACGAGAAGAACATGCCCTTCCTTGCGTACAATGGCGTGCATGGAGCTATCACTACTCTGGGCAAGATGGAGAGCGGTATCGAAATCTACCTGTCCCAGCTGAGCGGGGTCGAGATGGCAGCAGACGGGACAACAGCCAAGATTGGTGGTGGCACCGGGTCCAAGCTCGTCACTGACACACTCTGGGAGGCCGGAAAGCAGACAGGTCAGCTCCATTCTAGCTTTATATTCCTCCATCGCTAGTATCGAGGATGTTTCGTTAACTACGTGCTACAGTCACGGGAACTTGCGAGTGCGTCAGCACTCTCGGGCCTGCTCTCGGTGGTGGCCATGGATGGCTTCAGGGCCACCACGGCTTGGTCGCCGATCAGTTTGTATCCATGAACATTGTGCTAGCTGATGGTACCTTACAGTCCATTAATGAGACCTCGGACCTCTGGTGGGCTGTCAAGGGCGCTGGCCAAAACTTTGGTATCGTGACCTCCGTCAACGTCAAGGTCTATGATATCGAGCACAGCGACTGGGCAGTTGAGACGTTCATCTTCGGCGGGGAAAAGGTCGAGGAAGTCTACCAAGCTGCGAATGAGCACCTCGTCAAGAATGGTACCCAGGCTGCTGAAGTTATCAACTGGTCTTACTGGCTCAACAACCCCGATGCCGACCCCGAGAATGTGAGTGCAGCCCGCTTATCATTGTCTGTGGCTACTGCTAATTGTAACTAAGCCCATCATTCTTTTCTGGGTCATCCAGGAGGGTGTCACCTCCGTCGACTCTGTGTATACCCAGCCCTTCCGGAACATCGGACCTATCTCCGCCACTCCGGAGTCCGGAACCTACCTCGACCTCGCCACATGGACGGGTATTGCTCTGGACTCCATCCCCTGCCAAAAGGTTGGCTTGAACAACCCTCGCTTCCCTATTTATGTTGAGTCATACAACATTGAGGCTCAACGCAAGGCATACGATCTCTTCGCGTCTTCTATCAAGGGCAACTCACCGTTCAACAACTCTCTCTTCATGTTTGAGGGTTACTCGAACGAGGGTGTGAAGGCCATTGAGAGCGACTCGACCGCCTTCGCCTATCGTGGCGACAATCTTCTCTTCGCGCCTCTCATCACTTACTTGCCCAACGGAACTGAACTCGATCAGAAGGCCGCCACACTCGGTAACCAGCTGCGGGATATCATTCATGAAGGGAGTGGTCGCACTGAGCAGCACGTCTACCTGAACTATGCCTTCGGTGACGAGACCCCGAAGGAATGGTACGGTAGCGAGCAATGGAGACAAGAGCGTCTCCAGTCTCTGAAGACCAAATATGACCCTAACGGCAAGTTCAGCTTCTACGGTCCCATTGCGTAGAAGAATTTAAAGGTTTGGCCTTTGTATCTACACGAAATTATTGTACTTTGAAGAGGGAATCAGCCGATAGTAGCTTAATCTTTAGAAAATCACCACGTAAATCGAAGTTGGCAATTAGTACCGACATAAAGGTCCTCTCCTGCGTTGAACATGCGTGTAATTTGTATTTCTCAACTTAGGAAAAAAGAACAAGTTTCTATGCTCTCCCTTAATTCATGCACATCTCTCGCGTCGTTCTCACTCAACTTCTAAAGCCTGCGATTTAGGTTCACAACGCAGCCTTGGCGGGAGGTTTGGCCCACAGCCTCAATCCTTCTTGATTCCAATTTTCCTTCATAAATACAGAGTAGGATACTCAATGGCTTGCAAATATGTCATTAGTCATGTGTTGAAGACGAACATCTCGACGATGTCCCTGCTCCTCATTACTCAGATAGCGGCCTCATGCAACGCAAAAGTCTGTGTCAGTGGTGAGATTCATGGTTGCCCGCTTCCTGAACAGCTCGAAGCGAATTTAGGTCGGTTTGTGTTTTTTTCTTTCTTTGTCATCTATTACTTCTTTTTGATGCTGTGAAAGTATGCTCATTCTCGGCTTGCTTAGGTGGGAGGTGAAACTAGACAACTACAGCGGAGAAGGCTGAAACCAATGGTGATCATTGTTAGAAGGACGACGTTGATGGCGATTTTAATTAATGCATAGAAGTATAAATAACGAGCCGAAGCGTAGCCCTAGATTTATTGTAGAGCTTGCACTTCTTTTCGGTACGGATGTGACCTGAGCCTTAAATATGGTGATTTAGATGACGGCAAAAGACCGAAGTAAGCTATAATACATCAATCAGAGGCACCTTTGCTGTCCTGGGCATAGCCTTCATAAAAAAAACTTCACTCACTATCCGTATGTAGCACCTGATTCCCTGACCAGATAATGACGGCTATTAAAAGAGTCCAAGGGGAAAACATTTTCACTGTCAGTTAATTGTAAGGAGTTGATACTGATTACCGGAAGTTAAATCAAAGACTTGAAACAGCAGGTTTTGATTTCTATCGTTGAGTATTACGACCTACGTCCGTTTGCGGCACTGATCATCGTAGCCGACTTCACCGCTGAGACCAGACTCGACAAGAAGTGTTGCATGTAGCTTCGGATAAGGTAGATGTCACAGATCGAAACGCAAGTTCAATTCCCCCAGCTTATTCTTTGTCATTAAACGGGCCATGACTGAGGGAGAAACTCAGGAAGAAAACCAGAAAGAAAGGCTGGCATCCAGGATGAAACCGTTCGGGCGCTCCAGCTTCATCAGCACCAGAGCCACAGGTTCTCTCTGCCAACAAGCCCCAGTATGACCTTTATAAAGCTTAGAAGAAAGGGAACTACGGTTAAAGCTTTTTGAGAGCTGCCAAAACCATGGACCAGAAGACTGGAATGATGAATTTCATCCTCCCCAACTTGAACCTGAGATGGGAGCATTGGGTCGGGAATATATAAGCATTGACAGCCATGAATATATTCACCTCATTTTTGCCCTAGACTTTATCCGATAGTCATTATTGCAAGTTCGAGATACCTAGAATACAGTTTGTGAGAATCCAAACGGGTCAAGAAACTTCTGCTCGCTTCTTGTTGATATCACAACCTTCCATGGGTTCCGATCACAATTCAGAAACGAAATGGGTCGGATGGTATTTTCCCATTGATCCACTCGGTGCAGTGAGCACGGCGAGTTACCCATGTGGCGCAATTATTGACTGAGATTTCGAGCTCATCGTCATAGTGAGGATTCCAACCTGCAAAAGACTCAGTCTGGCGATATCTACCTGACATCTAATGACATCCAACCTCCGCTAGGCATTCAAAGTCGCCGCTCAACCTGCAGGCGATCTCCTTTTCGTCATGTAGATCTCAATTGCATCAACCCCTGGTGAGTCCTGCAGTAGCTGCATCTTTCAGCTCCGAGGCACTAATGCACAAAACGCAAATACTGAGAGACATCTTGCCTCATCCACTCTCTCTGTTTGTTCCTCCACTCTGCAGGCCCTCGATTCATGTTAGTCTTTGGGCTACCAATAGCGAGACGAGCTCCCCCTTCTTTACGGGTGGATTACCGAACCAACGAACCACCCGTCGAAACCCAGCTGTCGCAAAAGTCCGAGACCGAGCATGAGGGAAAGACGAGGTTATCCTCAATTTGGCATGTCTATTACCCAATAAGGATCAGCCCGCATTCCCCGGATCCCATCTTCCAGCTTTCCCTAGCGTCTAAATCCGAAGCCTCGTCTCTGGGCGAGAGGGGGGGCAAATTCAACCACCGAGCGTAATTATGTATGTCCGAAATCGTTAAGCTGCATGAGCGGCAGAGACATGCATAAAGCGAGAATCTAGATTGCAGCTGATACGCCCGCCCTGTATATTGATGACTATCATTGCAGATGAGAGCAGGACTTCACATGGGGCAGTACCCGAGCCTCATCTGATCGCCTATGCTACTGCAGTCATTGATGAAGAAAATCAGGCCGACGGCAACCGCCATCGTCAGCAACACAAGTGAAAGTAGGTTACGCAAGTGGACGTTGCATCTCAGGAGGTGCCACCAATTCAGATTTCGGCTTCTAAAGCTTCCCTGGACACGCACTTTTGCTGTTTCAATCAACGGCCACGGCATTCTCGCCACAACAGTAATAAAGCGTGGGAAGAGGCCCCCAAAGCCAAAAAAAAAAAAAAAAAAAAAAAAAAAAAAAAAAAAAAAAAAAAAAAAAAAAAAAAAAAAAGGAAAAAAAAAATAAAAAAAAAAAAAAAAAAAAAAAAAAAAAAAAAAAAAAAAAAAAAAAAAAAAAACCGCGCATAGTCTTCGTGAAAGACAATAGAAACAAGTCAAAACGATAGACATTTGCAAAGCCCGCAAGCCCTCATCCGACACATTCCGGCCGGTTCATGTCTCGACCCCTCAAAACGCTGCGTACGATGGCTGATAACAAGACTGGACAGAGGAAAGCCAAGTCCAGCCCGTCTATTGTGGTGGAGGGGGCGAGGCAGGCCACCAACGGGCACCCTTTGCGGCAAATCGTCTTTCTCTTTCTCACGCTCCCGCCGCACAATTTACCCGTTTTACATTCCTCGATGAACGTTCCTGTTCGTTGCTCAGAGTCTTTTTTCTTTGCCCTGTCCCATATTTTGGGCCTAGTCCAGTGCAGGCCGCACCGGCGCGAAAACCCGTACCGGCCGGCGTGCGCCACAAGTCTCAGTCCGTCTCTCCACGATCCCTGTCACAGTGCGTCTTCACCTACACCACCCTCATCTCTCCGCTTTTCGAGTCTCTTCTCTTGCACAAAATCAATCATCAGGCTTAGTTCTGCGATTCATGGTTGGGTCCCGAGCACGTGGAACCGGCCACCCCTTCTTGCGCCCCTGTTCTCTTTCCGATCGGGAACGCAGGACAGATGAGACAGCGCAGTGTTGAGTCGCCCTCAGGGATTCGGATAACAACTCAAATTCCATTCCTCGGAACCGGGACCTCTATCCCCTGGCTCGTTAGGCCAACCCTCTTCGGCGTCTTTATAGCAAGACGGCAAGAAAATGAAAAGGCACGTCTCTGCACACACCCCCTTCCCAGCATAAGAATAAAAAGCAATGATATCTGATTAAAGTTGAGTCTATCTTGTCGGCTACGCTACTCAGATGAACCCGCCGCTAGCCAAATGTGCCATTGTCAACATACACTCACCACACCCCTCTACCCTTTTACCCAAACATCACCACCATCGCGACGCGTCTCCACCGGCTCAGGCACGACGCACGTCCGCGGGCCCAAAACAAGGAAAGGCCAGGTAGACAACCAAGACATAAACAGGGTCGAAGGCGATCTTCCCAGATTCGTGGGAAGGAGCGCCGAAGATCACAACCTTGACCATTCTCATGTTGCTCCGAGTGCCCCAGTCTCTCGTCCGAACCAGATGAGTCCTGTCTCCTAGGTCAAAATGAGGCGTTACCTTTTTTTTTTTTTTTTTTTTTTTTTCTCTTGCCTGGCGTGCCTGGGTAGATAGTCGATGGCGTATGCCAAGTGGCGTAGACGAACGGCGCCGTCAGCATTTCCTCATGGTGTGCTCGACTTTTTCCTCACATCTCATATCCGTCAAAACAGTCCGCCGCGGCGCTGCCCACGCGAGGCTCACTCTGCAGATACGAAGAAAAACCAAAATATTTCCAGCAGTGCTGAACTAGTTCATGTGCCCTGAAGGCTTGCTCTGCGAGCCTAGCAGGAAGGCGTTCAGGTGTTCCTGGACAAGCGCGAGGAAAAACCAAATATCGATAGGTTTTTCTTGAGCCACTATCACACTCTCCTCTCCACACTGGTGATTATTGGTTTTTCTCACACGAAGCCACGAGCCGTTCTTGAGTCCGTCCAGCCCTTCTCCCCCCCAGGTCATGAGGCTGTGGGCTTGCGCTGAGCTGGAGCTCAGCGGCGCCGCCACGGTGTCGGACCTTTTCCGCGTTTGTGTTTGGGACGGTGCTCCATATCCATGCATGCAGCAAAGCTTTGGTGTGGTTCTTCAATTTCACCTTAGAAGATCCCTTATTGAACACAGACTTCGTGGAATACTGAGCTTACCTACCATACTGTGAGCTGTACCGAGAGAGCGCCCATGCTAACAAGCTTTGGATCAACCCGGGACACTGGGTTATGAGATGGGCTGTCCACAAATACTTCATCATTTCCATTGATAAATCATGACGCGGGGTCATCTCATGGGCATATGAATCTGAATCTGATTGGTTTACACGTGCAAAGAAGGGAGGTCCGGCAGTCCGTGTCCCAGCTGTGCATCCTGTCTCGATATCCAGCTCAGATAAGCGAATGTAGGGCCAGAACCGTCAGATGGCTGCCAGGGAACAGGCATCCTAGAATCCAGGGACCAGCAATACCTCTCTGCCAGACTTGAAGAGGGTCAGACTGTTGGTAATTGCGTAATCGCCAAGAGCCAGCGGCAAGCCAAGGGTTCACAAAATCAGATCGAATGCGCACGTAATGCAAGCTGAAATGACGGGTCGCGAAGCACCGACATCTCACCGGCGCCGATCAACACTGACATCCAGCTACTGCACGGGCATAAAAAAAATTCGTCATCGTTGCCAAGGCTAAACGACAACAGACCTCGAGATTTGGAATAATGGTACCTCTATAAACTCCATGTCCCCATGGAGCCGATCGCGTACGTCCGTAGCATGAAGATTGGGCAAATCTTGCACTTATTCTTCTCATAAGAAGAAAACGGCGGCTCGTAGTTCGCAAGAGCGAGAGAAAGAGAGAGAGAGAGAGACAGAGAGGACTGGAGGCTTCGCTTCCTCCTCAACGAAGGGGAAACCTCCGGTGCGTTTGTAGTAAATTAACGCCCGATCGAATCCCGCCAATCGCGGCTTCGAGATCCCGCCTTGCCGCAACTCCACCTGGTTGGCCTCCCCTTCTCGGTTACATCGCGGCGCACCTCTCCCCCCGGACAGCGCGCGGATGACGGCAGTCAAACCCCGCATTTTCCGCCGGCAGTCCATGCTTTCCAGGGCAGATTATATCTCCTCGAATCCCGTGCGTTGAAAGCCATGCTGGGGTAAGCGGTACGCCAGGTGATGTCGGTATTGGGCTTGCAGCGCCACAGGCTGGATTGCGTGGTTAATTTCCTGGAGAGAAGAGACGCCAGACGAGATAACTTTGGACTGTTATGGCTATCTTATCTTGCGTAATATACTTCTAGAACTAGTTGTTTTGTGTTCCAGAATGCAGCTTCTCTGAGAAACATGGGCAAATAACCGCGCTCTCGAGTTTTGTGTATAACGTTCCAAGAAAGTTTAATTTCTTGACTGTCAATCCATCCATGGTCCTGGTTCCACGCGTCTCCAATAACCGGGTTCCCCTGATTCGTGGTTCCCTAAACTCCCGAACTGGATGGGATCTCGCCCGGGTTTGGCAGCAGCACGATGCGAGCCGCCAATGGAGACTCGGCACCCTGACCTTAGCTCACTGTCGTACTGAAGAACTTATATCAAGAGCGGACATGATCATCGTCCCAATTGGTAACTCACCCCGTTACGGTCCCAAGGAGCAAAGGCACTCGTGATCAATTTAGTCTACCCTTTCGAGGTAGTCACGGAAGGTAGGTCCACGAAACCGGTCCGGCATTGGTGACGATTCGCGCGGATATATCCAACGTTCCCACGTGGACAATGATATTGACGACAAGCTGGCTGACATGGCTGATATTGCCGGGGACACCACGGAAGAACGGATGGATTACAGGGAATGAGGCAGATTATTGACTCCCGGGCTTAGGAACTCAATATCAACCTTGAACGTAGGACCATTTTGATATATTCTAAACGTGAGGGTATATATAAACTTGATTACCGTTTCGCAGTGTCAATGCTCTGGAAGCCTTTCGCCAGTGTATTATCCCATATCCATAACCAGTCTCCCATTCTATCCCAACTTCGGTGCCCCTCGTCTCCTCCCCCGTCAAGCAAAACACGCCTGCAAGTCCACCATGAAGCTCTCCGCCGTCCTTGCCATCCTCCTCCCCCTGACGCTCGCCACGCCGACACCGACTGTCGAGAAGCGCGCAACGACCTTCTGCGGCCAGTGGGACTCGGCCGTCGCCGGCACCTATACCGTCTACAATAATCTCTGGGGCATGAGCGCCGGCACCGGAAGCCAGTGCACGACCCTCACGGGCCTCTCCGGCAGCAACCTACAGTGGTCCACCACCTGGTCCTGGTCCGGCGGCCAGTACAACGTCAAGTCGTACGCCAACGCCGTCGTCAATATCAGCAAGAAGGCCCTGAGCACCATCAGCAGCATCCCCTCGACCTGGACCTGGAGGTACTTTTTTCGTTTCTTTTTTTTTCCATCACGTTGCAGCTTTCACGTTGGACACACACACATACAAAAACACACGTAGAAAAGAATGTTAACATCATCATCAAAAAGCTATTCCGGAACCGGCATCGTAGCCAACGTAGCCTACGACCTCTTCACCTCCTCCACGGCCACCGGCTCCGCCCAGTACGAAATCATGATCTGGCTCGGCGCCCTCGGCGGCGCCGGCCCCATCAGCGCCACCGGCAGCACCATTGCCACCCCGACCGTCGCCGGCCGCACCTGGAACCTCTACAAGGGCGTCAACGGCCAGATGACCGTCTTCAGCTTCGTCGCCCCCAGCGACGTCCAGAGCTTCAGCGGCGACCTCAAGGCCTTTACGACCTACCTCGTCAACAGCCAGGGCCTCCCTTCCTCCCAGATTCTCCAGAGCATCGGCGCCGGCACCGAGCCTTTTGTCGGCTCGGATGCAAAGTTCACCACCACTGCTTACACTGCCTCTCTTTCCTGAGTTTTGACTAGCAAGTCAGGTGACATTGGATGGAGGGGGGGGGGCGCTTGACTGAGACAGACATGTGGGATATGGTGGGAAAAGAAAGTGCCTCGAGGACTCTATTCCACTTCACTGTTCATACTTATTTCAAAACAAGTATATATCACAAATGACGAAAAGTTTGCGCCTTCACAGGAGAGAGAGAGAGTAAGACGGGCCACCAAAAACCGTTGGAAATCAGAGAACTTGGAAAAAGAATGTTCATCGCCAATAATCAGGCGCTCGATAGTGTGCCATGCTCTGCTGGGCAGAGACCTCAAGCCTCCCCGACCAAAAGTAATCTTGCGGTCTGGTGGTAGTCAGCTCTGCCACGCCTTCAACGGTAGTCTTCTTCGCGGCTTCGTAGGCCGCCCTAGTCTCGACGCGAAACGCCTTGATTGCCTCCAAAACGTCCCGCATGCCACGGAGTCCTGCCGCTCTGGGAGGTCTCAACTCTGAAGGCATGACGATGGCGTCCCAAGCCGCGTGGAAGAGGACAGTTCCTTCTGGAACACCGGCTCTGACGTGCGCTGGAGTGGCTGGTCCGGCCCTGGTTCTCAGCAATGGGTTCGTCACGAGCTTCATGTACGCATCGACAGCAGGATGATCAGAGCCCAGAACGCCGGCGCCGACCCAGATTCTCCGTTCGAATTGTTTCTCGCCCCATGTGTCACGGTAGCGCATAAACTCGCCCTCAATATCGCTGTAGGGGAACGCGCTCAGACGGACTGTGGCGGGCTGGGACGGGCGCGCAGCCACCTCGTCGGGCGCTGTTGCTTGCTTTTTCCTGCTGGCTTCAGGGCGCGGCTGAGGCCTGCGCTCGTCGCCGAAGAAGCTGAAGCCCTCGCCCACGCCCACGTTCAAGAGCTCTTCGGCGTCAAGGTCGTCTGCGGCTGAAAAGCCGGCGGGATCCTCAATAGGATCGGCTTCGAACTCTAGACGGAGATGGCGAAGGCCGCGCAGCAGCACCGGGCCATGTCGCGATAACGATTGAGACGATGTTTCTAGGATCGCACGCTCCTGTAGACCAACCTGTCTGAGAAAGTGCAAAAGCTTGTCGATCAATGGGCCATTGGAGCGACGTGGGATTTTGGTCAGAGTTAGGGACGTCAACCGGGGGTTCATGTCCGGCTCAAACGTCTGTGGGAAGGCCATCTCAGATCGTTTCCTGAGGACTGTCTCGGCTAGCCAGAGACGTGCCATGGTTGACAGGCCATCGGTCTCAAGCGTCGGAATCTGCGTCACGAGCGAATGGTGAATTCTCAGCTCCCGGAGGTTGGATGAGAAGACGGGCCTGAATATGTGCGCACAACCCAGAACGCCGCGCAGGGTGGTGTTCTTGGGCCATGGGAGGAGATGCTGTTGCTTCAAAGCAGATCCCTGGACGGGTAGAAAAGACGGAGCATCGCAGGACAGCTCTTCCAGCTGGCCTTGCGAGCTACGCAATAGTCTCTCCACACCTGAAGAAGTGATGTGAGTGTCTGAGATGTGCAAGTGGGTGATCCCAGCAGGTGCAGAGCAGACGTCGAGGTATGGCACGTCTGACCAGTCAGGTACCGGATGATCCATGCCTCCCGAGGTTGCGGCCTTAACGCAGTCCACACTGTCTCGTCTCAACGGGGTTCTGCCATTGGCTCGCACCGCTTCGTCCTCCTGCAGATCGCGACTTGCATCGGCAGAGTAGATGGGGGCATCCACGAAGTGCCGCTCTGCATGGCTGAAGGTCCCGCTCGAGTCGGATTCTTGAATGAACATGAACGGCCCATGTGTGTCATTATGTTGGCTATCAAAGACAAGTTTGCCCTCAGTCATGAATCGGGACTGAGACCTCAAAGATGGACTATTGAAGCAAAGTGCAGTAAATTGACCAAGAATAGCGTCTGTGATGTTGTTTTCGCTGATATCCAGACTCCACAGCGAGCTTTTGAACGCCTGGAACAGCATCAAAGCCAATGGGTCGTTGATCTCTCGACGCCTCAATTTGAGGACCTTTAATGCGAGTAGGTTGCGACGTCCGTGTGCTGCCGCAATTAGGGGCTGCAGGGAACCTGACAAACCGGAAACGTCTAGAAAGACCAGCGACTGGAGCTTGTCCGACATGTAGAAGCCGTTGGGGAGTTGCGTTTGGCAATGGGCAACACTGAGAAGCAACAGACCTTGACAAGGATCCCGAGGTGTCACGTTTGCTTCGGACGCCGGGGTGGCTGTCAAGAAGGCAGGGTTCGCCTCGGCGTGGCCGTCCAGGAGGATGCATCTGAGATTCGGCAGTATTGGGGGGAGTTGGCGAAGAGTTTGAGGTATTGTCCTGGTGCTACTGTCGGACGAGAAGTGGGCAGTGTCTTTGGCAAAGTCACGAAAGTCGAGAGTGATGATCAGAGCCAGGGTTGTCGGCCGCAGGCGATGCATGCGATCGAAGACAAATGCCAGGTACCATTCCAGGTCTTTTGCACTCGAAATAGCAGCGATAAGGGTCAGCAATGGGGTTTTTTTTTTTTTTTTACGGGCGTGGGCTGAGACAAACATACCGTCACTTGGATCCAGTCCCAACCGTCGAACGGCGACCAACGGGTCGTTCCACAGGCGGGGTGCGAAGACGGCGTAGAAACGTCTATTCACAGAACAAAGACTAGCAAAGTCCTTGTCTGCTACATATGGTGCCACCAACTCGAGCCAGTCGAGTATACTGACGGCATCCTGATATGATGGCAGCGAGGCCATGTTGGTGTTGGTGGTTTTGTTTGCGCCTCCTGATTGAGACCACTTGGGAGTCCTATGCCAGGATCATGGGTATGTAGCAGACGATGAAACAGTTTGCCGCCTTTCTCCACGGGTTTGGGGGCCAGTTCACGCCGAAACATGCGCCGATGCAGAGGAGCAAACGTGGGTGCGTTTATTGCTGGACGATCACGCTGGAGCGAGATGAACAGGCGATACGTTGCAACGCCGACCAAACAGTCGATGGTCGTTGAGATGATGCTTTACTGACGGCATGCACAGCTAGTCGCGATGTGGAAAAGTGCGTGTGTAACACCCGCGAGACTGAGGCTGGAAAAAGTAAAGTGGCGTGAGAGTCGTGAGATGGTGGTCGACAGACATGAGAATGATGCAGTTCCCATTCCAGTGAATGATGACCCGCGCCGTCCAGGCCGCGACCCTGCGGGAGGTCGAAAATCTTTGACGACGGTCTCTCGGGCTTGTGCCAACAACGCGATGCGGCGATGATGAAGAGCAAGGGGGGGCAATGCCAGGAATTCAGTCGAGGCGTGTCAGCTTGAAAGTCGTTGAGGATGACCTTTAGCAGATCTATTTGCGTTGAACTTCAACAAAGCCGCAATTGACCTGAAGCAAAGGCGGGCATCCAGACGGCGTCGACACGTGGGTGACATGGGAGTGCCTGGGGGACAGTGGCGTGAGTGGCAGGGCATGGAAGCGGTGCTGATTGTTCGCTGCTGTGTGTGGTGATTGTCGAGCAATCATCGCTGAGTCGGGCGTGTAAGATTGCGCCGATTACTTCTGTCGCCTCGCATCTTTGGTGTGTCCGCTTGCTTGCCTGCTTGCTTACTTGCTTTCTCTGCCTGGCCTGACTTGTTCTGGGCGATCGGGCGGGTGTTGGTTGACGTCAGCAGCAAGTCGAGGCTGTGCATAATACATGCCAACGCGGTTCGTCCGTAACGCAACGTGCGTATGTCTGAGGACCCTTGGCCAGGTTCTGTACGACTGTACGATTGTGCGGATAAACCGATAATGTCGTTTAACTGCGGGGTAACCAAGTTTATCCGGGCGAGAGACGCCAGGGAATTTTCGGATTACCTAGGCATGGTTCCGGTACGTACCTCGGGAGTCCCCGGCGTGTCCGGCGCCTTCTTCCCGTGACTAAACGCGGCAAGGCCGGCAATGGCAATAGAGTGCCGCAAGGTCACGCCAGAGTATCCTCTCTACTATGTACTAACCTCACAAGACGACATTTGCCGAGGCTAATACTGATTTCGATAGTTTTCGTCTACGCGAACGAGTCCGTCTGATAGATAGCTTGCGCACTGCGGAGCGATTGGCGGGTCCGGAAAAACAACAACGGCCAGGGTCCTCCCCAGCCACCCAGTCACCTCCCTCGGCGCTAAGTGCCCGGAGCTGCGCCCTAGCAGTTCCCCCCCCGGCCACCAAAGGAACTTGAGTCTCCCCTCGGTGGCTCGCTAGCGCCCACCCAATCCCGCCCCCGTCTGCACCCCCGCATCCGAAAGCACCAAGAGTCGAGATCCGGTCAGCAGCCGGCGCCGCCCCACAACGCACACGGCGCACCTAACGGCTTCCCACACCCACACTAATTGTGGAGCGGTTCGTAGATTTTTTCCCCTCGCGCTTTGGCCCATCACCACGGACGAAGCTCCGTACCTTTACCACGTCCACCACACCACACCTTATTTCGTCCATTCATCAGCCCCCGAATAAGAAAAACATTGCCCTTTTGACCCGACAACCACCCGTCACAACAGAATCTGACAGTTTGTGGTTCTCCATTCATACTTTTTAGTGTCTTGTCAATATGAAGACGGATCAAAAGGCAGCATCTAGTCGTGCGAGCCAAGAACTTGTCCTAGCCAAGTAGCCATGCAGCTCAAAAATTTCAAAAGAGCCGATGTGGCGCCAATGTCCGTATGACCTGATCGTTGACTCATCACCCATCGAAACTTGATTTGAGGCATATTCTAACTACCAAGATCCTCTTCTCTGCCGCATCTTGCTTGTCAAGCCGTCGTCCCGCACCGCACGCTACGCAACTTGGCCGGACACTAACGACGATGCCGCCAAAAAAGCGACTTGGAGACTTTGTTTTGATACGTTACCTCGGCCGTGGACAACTTCCCGTCTTATCTCGTACTCTCCGAAATCGCACAGCAGCCTCCCTGGTACCTTACCTGGGAGAACATACTCATTTTGCTATCCTTCCGTCATTGGTATTAGTGATGGGGTGGGTTGGAAGTAGCAGCCAGCTGAGGATGGATTGAAAGGCAAAAGAAGAAGGAAGAAGAAGGAAAAAACCATGAAA